TATATGTAACCTGGCTCTCCTGGGAATCAAACCTGCTAACGCTTGGTCTACAGGACAACAATCCAAACAACTGAGTCACCCAGCAAGGGCCCAAACCATTTTTCAATACCAGATGCTGACAGCCATAGTTCTAGAACATTCTTTAGAACCATACTCATTTTGAAAAGATTACAGCAACACTCTTTCAAATAGAATTACCAGCATTCCAGAAAATCCTTTGCATCTCCAGCAACTGAAAGCGTAAAGGGGTAACTCTAGTTTCACAAGGTGATGCTTTCTATGAAAATAAAGGGCTTTTTCATTTAGCAGCTACACTGTGCTTTCTTAAAGGGAAGGCATGCAGGTACACAACCGAGCATCGGTGCCTTTCTAACTGGAGATGCAGAGAGGGATTTATGTGTTTGAGAATTTTGCATGCAGTTGGCACTTCTAATGCCACACCAGAAAATATGACTCTGCTCACAGGGAGGAATTTGTGAGAAGACTTGCAAATAATACAGATGTGAGAATCAACTATGCAGGAGAAGTTGGTTAATTAGGGGCTTTAGAATATTTGCAATGATTAAATGGGAAAAGTATTTCACTTTTTATCAATAAAAGAGGCTGTTTTTAGTAGCTTTGGTTCCAATTAGCCACTGACTCAAGCATTTATATTTGTGAAAGTTGGGAAGTTGAATGGGATCAGTACCTCTCAACTTCAACTTGGTGGTACACGAGGGGGATCAAAAAACCCCAGAATTTATTTATAAAAAATTTATTCTTACATGTTTAAACTTGAGTCACCTTCAAAGTACTCTCCATTTGATGCAATACACCTATCGAGTTTTTTCCACTGCTCAGAACAGTTTTTGAACTCATCGATTTTGATACCTTTTAGTGCTTCTGCTGTTTTGTTTCACCTCTTCCACATCTACAAAATGTTTCCCTTTGAGGACTTTTTCACCAGAGGAAACAAACAAACAAAAGGGTCACTTGGCGTGAAATTGAGTGAATAGGAAGGGTAGGGCACAGGGGTCATGTGTTTTTTGGTCAAAAACTGCTGAACACCCAGGGAGATGTAAGCAGGTACGCTCATAAAGTACCCATCATGAAATGGGCAAACAAGTTGAAAGAGTCTTCAAAAAAAATTCACTGAAGCTGAACACAGCCTTGCAGAATGCCAGCAGGTACACTGATACAGATGGGTTCCTACAAAACTCACCCAGCGGGGAAGCCTATACCACAAAGGGCCCGTCCTCCAGAAGATAATTCCGGTTGTTGGGGGAGAGGGGGAATTACAATAACACTACAGGTGCCTGGACCCAGCTGAGAACTGTATATTTAGAATCTCTGAAGGTGACACCTGGGCTGATAAGTATGTTTATTTAAATTTTCTCTTTCTTTTAAACCAGAGTAGACTTATACTTCTTAAACTGTCATTGCCTATGAATTTTCTGAGAGTCTTGTTAGAATATAGATTCTGACCCAATAGATCTGGGGCCTAAGAGTCCCAGCAATTTCTAACAAGTTCCCAGAGTGAAAGATGCTCTTGCACAGTAGATTTCTCCAACTCACAGCTTTTGGCATTCTATTAAGCACACAGAAATTCCTGTCCACAACTAGAATATCTTCAATTGCAAGTGCTATTAAATGTTGCCTTTGCTCTGCACTTTAAAAATAGTGACCCCAAAGAGTCACTGGTTCGATTCCCAGTCAAGGCACATGCCTGTGTTACAGGCCAGGTCCCCAGCAGAGGTTGTGCGAGAGGCAACCACACATTGATGTTTCTCTCCTTCTCTCCTTCCCCTCTAAAATAAATAAATAAAATCTTTTTAAAAAACCAAAAAATAAAAATAGAGACATAGACGTCTATCACTGTATGTGAGAGTGAGGTAAAGAGAGTATCTGGTGCCAAGGTGTCTTGTGACAAGGAAGGAGAAGGTTAAGTCACGTCCTCTTCAGTCTCATACATCTTTCCCTTTTGGATTTAAAGGATGCAAAGCCATTTTCAGCAAAACATACATTTTCTATCTTGTGATTCATGTTATTCCTTTTAAGTCATTCAATCTCTTCTGAGTGATACCTGCATCTCAAAAGGAAACAAGTCTTCGAGGGAAGCAGTTTTATAAGAAAGACAAGTTGTAATTATGACAAAACCACTAAAGTTTACACATCATCTAAAACTTCTGCCTAAGAGAATAAGCAAGTTGTGAGAATTTTAAATATGTCTCTAACCTAAGATTTACTATAATAACCACAACTAACGTTTCAGTGGTGTCATTTGCAAGGTCTTGATTAGCTTTTTGTTAATTAAATTATTTAATTCCTATTTTATAGCAGTAGAACTCAAAGAGCAAGTGTTTTTGGAGTTAGAGGACATCCTCTTGGTCTTCCCTCTCCCTTCCTGCAGGCCCTCTCTATCCTCATTCAAGCAGATTTTCAACACAAGAGCAGTCAGAGCTGAGATTTAGAACCCTCCAATAATGGCCTGGAGGCCCCTCCTCACCAGCAGGGCATGGAAGAACACCCTTCGACACAGTCCTTTCCCCACTAAACAGCCAGGCTACATTTTCATACAACTCTACCAAGGTATCAAGAGAACTATCACATGCCAAGAGAGAGGATCCAGATCAACAGCTTTTAGCACTGCTCTGAGCCCACCCCATCTACTGATTTCATCAACAGAGTTCTCTGTAGGATGAGACATGTTCCAAAACCAACTTAGCTCCCTGACTCTGAAGATATTTGGTCTCTTTCAGCTTTAACAGACTATACTTCTAAACCTCATGACTCACAGGGAAGTGGCATAGTAGTTAAAAACACAACCCTCAGTCTGTGACTTTGAGCTAGTCATTTAACCTCTCTGAGCCTCAGGTTTAATAATTCATTAATAACAATATCTCATCTCATATGGTTGTATTAGGGAATGCAAGTAAATCACTTTATTATTGTTAAATTATAAAGAAAGAAAAGACCAATTTGTGGGAAAAGCTACAGGTGGTATGTTTGCAGACAGAAAAAACAGCTGAAGGCCATACATTAAGTTTTTACTGGGCTACAAAAGAAATCTCACATTTTGTACAGTTTTCAAAACAATTTACTACTGGCCTCTACTTTTTGAAGTTTTTAAAAATAATAATAATAAAAAATAAACATGGCTTTTACTTTCACCTTCAAAAATTTCACTGCCAACCAACATCTCCCATTTGAAAGGGAGAATACGAAGGGTAAACACTCCAAACTGCCTGAGTTAGTGGACTAAGGCACCACAAGGGAGCTAAATTTAGTCAAGGAAGGGCCCTGGTCTATCCAGGGAAAAATGGATTCCAGCAAGGTTCCCTGAGCTGTATCTGGTCTGGGCATTACACCTCTCTGAAAAGCAATGTTTTTTGTTTGTTTTGTTTTTGGTACATTTGCTTGGTCTGTGTCAGATCTTGCCTTACATCTTCGTATCTAAGTTTTTGAGGTTACCTAAAAACAACAACAACAAAAAAACCATAACTAGATCACCAAATAAGATTCCTTGCTCACTTCTTTACAAAAAGAGAGCAAAGAAAAAGAGAGCAAAATAACAGATGCAATCCTATTTACTATTTATTTTGTTTGTAATTTTTTTTTAAGTTAGTGTACCAGGAAATAAGCTTCAAGCATAAAGACAGGGGAAGGTTCAGAAGGCAGCTGTTTCAGGCCTGTTCTACCCCAACTAATTTTAACTCGGGCTGCCACCTTGGCTCAGAGTCCTGCACTCCACACACTGAGCAATTCTCAGAGATTGCAGGTTCTTAAGCAACGCATAATGAGGACCTGGGTAATTAATTGTCCACTAAACCCCATAGATGAGCGTCCAATACTGCATAGAGGTGACTATTCTGAACCACACCCAGAAACCGTGAACTCACTCTCCTCAGTGCATTCTGTTTGGTCCTATAGCTTCTCCACAACCACCAGTGCCCTGCCCTTGGGCCAGAATTCATCTCTGCCAGATCTCATTGTGCTCCTGAGACTCTGAGATTGGCACAGAAGAATGACTCAATAAACAAGTCGAAGAACAGCAAACCAACTTAAGAAACTACTCTATTAGCCCTTTTTCACACCCTCCAAGTTTGGATTTCTCCTGTCTCCCAGGCCAGCTTGCGCTACCCTGTGTTTACTCTGAAATGGAAATGTCAGGCACTTCTTTAATGGCAAATGAGTTCCTTATAAAGTCTGAGGGTAGCTTTTTCTTTTAAGACGTATGGTATCAGCAAGATTCCATAGAATATCACCACCCCATTCTGTAAAAGCGAGAGAAACACTTAAATACGAAAAGGCGGCTCTTAGCAGAGCAGGCGTGTGTGGATGTGTGAAACTATATAACACGAGGCACTTTTTATTTTAAGATCCGGTATTGAAAAGGCCTATACAGAGAGCGCAGCCTAGGAAGTGAATATACAGTGGCCACACCTGTCAACTCCTGGAAGAAAAAAATTGAGGCCCTCACTCCTAGAGGCAGGGCAGCCTTCACCCCACACTGGGCGATGCGTTCCGGAGAACAGCGTCCTCTTGTCCCCAAGTTCAGCTTCCTTGTACAAAGTGGCAGGCACAATAGAGACACTGCCAGAGCCCGTCGCTCCCTTAATATCCTTCCTACACTGCCGAACCCGAGCGGACTTAGTCCGGATCCAGCCCCAGGATAGGGTTACACCACTTTCCTCTCTCTCATTTTTAAAGGACGGGGGCCACTACTGACATTCCCCTAGCAAGACCCTAGTCGGAGGACGGTTGAAAAGGTCATTGTTCTTGCACGGGCCTGGCAGTATTTCCTTACTCTCAGGGCCCCTGCCTGTTTAAGCCCGAGGAACGCAAAGGAAAACGGGACCCTGGGTTGCTGCGGCCTCGCCCTGCGCACAGGTTCCCAGGGCTGGGCCGCCTGCAATTGCCCGGGCCGGCGCCGCGCGTGCAGAGCGTTTCCGCGAGCCGGAGTCTGGCCCCCGAGCCCCTCCAAGCAGACCCCATTAGTGCCCCGGAGGGGTCCCACTTACCCTACAACTGAAATCATCATGGCAGCCACCACCAGGTAGTTGGTCTGATAGTAGAGCAGGTTGCTCACCACGCGGTTGTTCCATTTGGAAATGTCCCTGAAGTCAGGCCTGGCGAAGCGGTCAGAGCCTGGAAAAAAATCGTCCCAGGCTCGGAGTGGGGGGATGTTTACGTCCATGTCCGCACTCTCCACCTAGGTTTCTTCGCCTCTGGAATCTGGCGGCGGCGGCGACTGCAACCGAACCTCCTGAATGGTTAGCGGTGACGGCCGCTCCGGCTCGGCCGGCTCTGCGGTTGGCAGCAGCGGAGCAGAGAGAATTGGAAGCGGGAGAGCGTTTTTCTCGTCTTTACTTCCTCATTGGCTCTAAGTGGTTGGTTACAGGAAAAATGGGGTCCCGCTACAGAGCAACGAGCTGAGTGCAAAATAGATACGAAATGACAGGAAGGAACCAGGCGAAATCTTTTCTGGTGAGAGATGGCAATGCCTTCCCTAGTCCAAACACGGCCTCCTTTAAAACACCCCTTCTGAATATTTAACCCAAGGAGTGTGTTCTGGACTTTGGGGGAAATTTTTGCGGCGGTTCAGATACCAACCTAACTGAAATGGAATGGAAGGCATTCTGCAGTGTTACTGGGGGATGAGCTGGTTTTCAAAAGTAAGCCGTTACTAACCTCTGCACATCTGAATGTAATTATTATGTTTTCTCTGTTTCACCCTGAGTGTCTATGAGTGAAATCACATTGACAAAATCGGAAAGAAGAACGTGTAGAACGGAAGATTGGTTTGTTCATTCACTTCTTTGTTTTCCTTGTCCATTCTCTCCAGGCAAAATTATTCAACGACTGTGTATTCTGATAGAGTGGGCACAACATGCCCAGATCTGGTCACTTTAGCCCTAATCTGGGCATGTGATTTACATTTGAAAGCAAACTATGGTCTGAAGCGAATTTAATTGTTCTGCACCCAGTATCTTCTGGACAGAAATATGGATTCCACTCAAAAAGATCTTTCTAAGTTTTATCATAATATTTCTGCACAACTTTCACTAAGGGAGAATGTACTTTAATAGATAATATGATAGTTTTGTGTCTCAGCCTAAACAATTTAGTTGTAAATTCTCAGCTAAGGTTTCCAAAGGGTTTTCCTTTTTCCAATTAAGAGGTGGGTTGATATAGTCAACACCCTTTTATCTCAAGTGCATGAGAAAAAAAAATTTCAGTTAACTTCATAGTGTGGTAGCCAAAGTTCTAAAATGCTACTGTGTAAGATAAGAGTCTTTAAATGTTCAATCGTGCTGTTTTTAAAAACTGAATTCACTCTCCTAAGACCACCAATTTTCACCAAAAAAAATTGTAAAGCAATAAAATATATCTAATGCAAAGTCTAGAAGACATAATTTAGTTTTCCTTGGTGATTTAGAAGGTAGTTCAAGAACCCACAATGACTTTGAAATAGTTCTGAGCTCTCACATTTTCTTGATTCTGGAAAAATGGGAATATTTTAAGTCAGAGAAAGCAAAATTAGAGTCCCAGCTCCTCCATTTCTTGCTAGTGACTCTGAGAAATTACTTAATTTCCTCCAAGCTCAGTTTCTTCATTGTAAAGTGGGTATAATAAAAACATCTGCCATGTATAGAGATAAAAAAGTGAATGAGAAGTGCTTAGTGCATACTAATTGCTCACAGTTAGATATTACTGTTATTGCTATTAATAATAGCACAGCCCATGATTCATTTGGTATCATGGAATTAATAGTGTTATAACTTCATTTGTTTTCTATGCTTTCATAATAAACATCTACTGAATTTTCTCTATCTTGTTGCAATTTTGTTGTTTTAGTTGTATCTGGGTAGACTTGATGGGGCAAAAAAGGTTGAAAAATTTCAGTGCGATGTCAAAAGGTATTTTGAGTCCTTTCAAGGCCCTAAGAGAGCATTGTGAGAGATTAAAAAAAGTTGAGAAGCATGCAGCCTTGCCCTGCCTTCAAGGGTCTTGCAATGCAGTAGAAATACTAACTTAAATACCAAACAGTGAGAGGAGTGCTGTCTAGACATGTGCCAGGCTTTGGTGCTGAGTTACAGGAAGTCAGAAGGTGTGGAAGAATTCCCTTGGGTGTAGGAGGCCCAGTAAAGTCCACACTCATTGGAGAGATCAGTGAGCATTGGGAGCTGTGATCAAGAATGTTTATTAATTCCTCAGTACCACATGACCCCGTAAGTCATCAAGTGTGTGTTAGTAATAATGTGATTACTCATTGATCATAAGTAATTGATATCCATTAAATATTTGTTCAGTATAATTTTATTTATTTGTTCAAACCTCCAAAGAGGTTTAAAAATAACAAAAGAAAATTTTAAAGTGATATAGAGCATGATCCCCTTTTCCCTCTCTCAAAATGTTAAATATGCTTCTCACTCTGGATTATGGGACTTTTTGTTTTTTCACTACACATTTCTACCTTTGTCATGTAGGGGAGGAGAAAATTCCTCCTTCTTCCCATTCTCTTAGTTCTTCTGGCTGGTCTAATAATCAATTGACATGAAACAGATTAACAGAAGAAAATAACCAAATTTAATTACATATGTATGTATAGGGGTTTCATAAGAATACTGGATCAATTGAGGCTAATTTGCTTTCTTGAGCTGAGGCCAAGGGGGCAGGGAGTAGTGGTTTGGAACTTCAAAGGGAAGAAAGGCAATTCGTGTGGAATGGAAAAGCATGTGTTTTGAAAACAAATGTTTGCTGGGCTATCTTTAACAATGGGACAATGAGAAGTCTTCGATCAAATAGGCCTTGCTCGGTCCTCCCTATCACACTACTGTAGTTCCTGTTAAGCTACAGTTATCTAGAATGATATCTCTCTTCCCAGAGCAGGTCTTTTATCTAAATTCTTTAGAGGGAAGATCGAAGGATTTTCCTGAGTCTTTCATTTCTTAAAAATAATTAGGTTAAAAGAAGGGGAAGGGTCAAATTGAGGAACACCTGTAAAGGACCCAGGGACAAAGATGATAGGATAGGGGGCAGAGGATTAAATATGGGAAGGGGAATGGGTAGGGCAGGGAAGAGTAATGGGAAAATGAGGACAACTGTAATTGAACAACAATAAAATATTTTTTTAAATAAAGTGGTTAAAATGGCAAAAAAAAAAAAAAAAAACCCCACACAACACTAGCTTAAAATAATATCCCCCATCCACCAAAAAAACAAACAACAACAACAACAACAAAAATATTTTGGGATGGCAAACTCTGCTCCCCTTCAGTCATAAAATTAATTTAGATAAAAATGGACGCGTGGAATCCTTACTTTATTTCAGGCACTGTTTAAAATGCTATTAGTAGCAGCTGTTTGACATTATTCATTCGAGGAGATCGGATTCACTGTAGGAGCCTTCCTGGTGTTCTTATACACAGACTTGGGGTTCTAGATAGGACCACTCTGAGTATTTGTTGTGGGAAAAACTCGATTCTTCTCACCAACTCAGTAAAGAATTATAGATCAGCAAGTCTATTAGTATGCAAGCAAAGTTTATTAATGGTAAGTTCTCCCAGAAGAGTACAGGCCCTGCTGGGGTCGGGGAGAAAGGCATAGGGCACAGATAAAGGCAAGGCAACGACTGCAAGAGCAGGAGGAGATTCAGGTCCTTTGTCCTGAGGACTTACAAGGTCTGTCCACAAGGTATCCAGTCATGCAATATAAAAAAAAATACTTATTGAAGAATATACAAGATACAAGAAACATTGTACATAGGACAATGACACCTCAGTCCCCTTCAAGGTAGGCGCCTTGGCACCTCACACAATTCTCCCAATTACCATCAGCTGCCCTGTCATACTTTCCTGAATCTTATCGATGGCCTGAAATCTCTTTCTTTTCAAGAGTGCTTTTAGTTTGGGGAAAAGCCAGAAGTCACAGGGCACCAAATCTGGGCTGCAGAGGGGCTGAGTCATCTTGATGATTTGATGTTTCACCAAAAAACTCTGCACAAGATATGATGTATGAGTGGGCACATTGTCGTGATGAAGCTGCCAGTCACCAATTGCCCGTAGCTGCGGCCTTCTAAATCGTCCAAATAATTTCCATGAAGGAATGTTCAAGCTTAATACAAAATTCAATGCAAATTTTTGCTCTACTCACTCAGTCATTTTGAATGAAATAGCCACACAGTATACATGCTCACTCAATGGCATATACCTCCCCCACTGACTAGTACAGTGACGTCATCATTGTTTATGCATGCATTCCAGTCCACTCTCCTTGGCTGCCAGGTTACATTGATGTCGCACAAACTCTTCTCGTTATATTAATAATGGCTGGACTTTTTCCAATCAGACCTCATATATAGTTGTGGGATGAAGTGAGGGAGTTATGCATTGATTGATGGGTAAAGGTGGTATCAGCTTCCTCCAGGGGATGTGACTACCTAAATATAGGCATGTGTGAAGGGCTGTTAACACAGGTCCCTAGCCTGATGCAAACCACACCTTGTCTTCCACTGTAAAACATGTGACTGGAAGCAGTAAATCAAAGTTGAGACAGTTACACAATGTTATTTATGGGCTCTTTCTGTAAGCACTAGGGACCTCCTCATAAAACAGATAGTGACCAGAGGCAGGCAGGCAGCTGAAGTTGTATGGGCTTTTTCTTTGGGCACCGTGGATCCCCTCTTTTTCCCCCTTCTAGACCTTAGGATGAATGCACAGTTTCAAAGGCTTTCTTCCCCAGATAGTGGAAATGATATTACATACAGAACATCAAGGTCTCTACTTTTCCAGTGCTAGACGTTGTGTTTCTTGTGATGTTTGGAACACCTGGCAGTATTATCAGACCAGGCTCACCACCACTGAGTTAGTAGGTGAGACTGTCTCTCTCTTCCTCCCTAACTTGGTTTACTATTTATCCTACCTAATATATTCATCTATCTGTATGTAAACAATAGTGGATAGACTAATATTCTATTTGAAGTGAAATAAATCTGTTGCAAGTTTTGCTTGCATGTCTTTGTTACTTTTATTACAGGCAAGTGCAACTGGCTATTTCCAATCAGTGAGTCTGAGCCAGGGGGAGGGCCTGGTGTCATCTATGAAAATACCACCACAGTGAGTGAGGGTATTAGTTCTAAGGCACAAAGATGCAGGGACAAATGCCTTTGCAAACCTCTTCATGGGACAGCAGGATCCTGTGCATGGGCCTCAACTTCCTCCTCTGTGATGTGAGTGGGTTTAGACTAGGTAATTTCTAAGATGCCTGTTGGTTTTTAACACCTGAAGGAGCTGTGATGCTCACTGCCACTAATCAAAGGTCTCCCAAATGTAGCATTGCTGGAGACAAGGATATAACCTCGATGGTTTCATCTGTGGAGTAATCCAGGCAAGAAAAAGAGGTTTCTGGGTTGATATCAAGACATGTGACCTGGAAAGAAGCTTGTGTTTCCTGTGGATTGTGTGCTCCATCCCTCCATTTATTGCCTGGCTCAGTGAATGCTACTGAATTGAATCTCACTGCGGGGGGGGGGGGGGTGTGCTAAATGAAGTAGAGGAGATAGAATATCATAATTTATAAACGGCAGCTACATTTACTCAATACCCATCGGGCTGCATACCGGGGTGTACAACACATGGCCCGTGGGCCTCATGCAGCCCAGGATGGCTATGAATGTGGCCCAAAATAAAATCGTAAATTTACTTAAAACATTATGAGATTTTTTTTGTGATTACTTGTTGCAATGTTACGTAAATGTAGGTACACTCTCATTATTTGTACACATGTGTGGCTTCAGTTTTATTGTGGTGTGCCGCTTCCAGTGTGTTATCTTCCAAGTGCAGACAGTAGAAGTGACACCATCAGGCGTTATAAGTGCTCATGTTGACTTAGCCAGTGACTATCAATAATATTTCAACCTACCATTGCAACATTGGCTGTTTAATGTTACTTATAAGTCAGGTAAACATTCTTATTTGATTATTAAAGGTATTTCCACACCGCAGTGTCACCCCACACACTGCCCGGCAGGCTTTACAATTGGCCCTCTATCTCACTCTGCAATCAGCAGCCAGGAGAGCTGTGGAAGGGCCCAAACCTTGCCTTCTGTTTTCCTGTCAATTAATTTTCATAATAAAAGTAAATAAAGTCCCTTATCTATTATCATTTTTTAATCCCGGCATGGCTTCTACAACGTATCAAAAGAAAAAAGAACCCCCCAAAAGAAAATATTACAGATGAAGGAAGATTGTTCAATGAAAAGTGGACAGATGACTACTTTTTTGTCAAGGCAAATAGTAAGGCACTCTGCTTAATTTGTAGGGAATTTGTGCAAGTTTTCAAAGACTATAATTTGAAAAGGCATTATATGCAAAACATGCTGCCAAATTCAATGCATGTGAAGGATTGTATTATCAGGACAAAATAGCAGAACTGAAAAAAGTCTGTATTCTCAACAAAAATTTTTTCAAAAAGTTACAACTCGGGTGGATTCCATTGTAAAAGCTAGTTATGTGGTAGCATATTTAATAGCAAACTGAGGGTGAGTTTATTAAGCAATGTATAGGAAGCATGGCAGATATAATTTGCCCTGGAAATAAAGGGGGATATTTCTGAAATCAGTTTGTCTCACCAGACTATAGCAAGGGGAACTGAAAAAACTGGAAATCTGTTAAAAGAAGTTTGGAGAGTAAAGCTGCTTATTTTAAATTTTGTGCTTTGGCAATGGATGATAGCACTGATGCTACAGATAGGCTCAACTTGCCATTTTTATTAGAGGTATTGATAAGGAATATGATGTCACTGAAGAATTGGCTTCTTTAATGCCATTAAAAGACATAACTAAATCAAGAGATTTACACAAAACAGTAAAAATTATGTTAAAGCAATTTTCTTTGTCCATTGTCAAGATATCAGGTATAGTTACTGATGGTGCCCTTGAGATGGTAGGTAAAAGAGAGGGAGTTGTAAAATTAGTAGAAGACGATGCAATTGCCACCCAAGAGCCATGTTTGATGAAGTATCATTGCATAGTACATCAGAAAATTTATGCTCAAAACTTTAAAATGGATAATATCATGTAAATCATCATCAAGACTGTGAATTTCATAAGAGCCAAGGGATTGAATCATTCCCAATTTCAGGAATTCCTTAAAAGTATTGATGTTGGCTATGGCAACATCATTTACTCTTGGGAAGCAAGATGGCTAGCTAAGTCAAGTCCAAACATTGAAAAGATATTTTATGATTTGCCACATGTTATCAAGTGGTTTATGGTATCAAAAAACAAATTTGTGCCGAAACTTTACGATGAAAACTGGCTTACAGATTTAGCATTTTTAGTGGATTTAACTGCTCATTTAAATAAGTTAATATGTGTTCAAGGTGAAAACCAATTTATTAATACCACATTTCAAACCATAACAATGTTCCAAATGAAACTGAAATTATGATAAGCTTGAATTAAGGCAAACAATTTTATGCATTTTGACATGTTGGCTAAATACAGTCCAGTGAACAGTGAAAAATATGCAGCCTTGCTTTTTCATTTGATACAAGAATTTGAAAATAGATTTCAAGATTTGCAGGAAAATAATCAATAATTTGCTATATTTGCAACTTCATTTTTAATCGACATAAATAAATGTTACCGCTAATTTTCAAATAGAATGCATAGAGTTGCAATATGACATTCAACTTAACAAAAAATTTGTATCTCTTTACTGGATTTTAAAGGTTCTGTCTTCCCAGACACAAATATCCCTTGCTTCACAATCATACCTTATTCATGTCACACTATTTGGCTGCACCTACATTTGCGAACAACTATTTTCAAGAATCAAACACATTATGGGTAAAATTAGAACCCAAATATCTGTTGAGCACCTTGAGAACTCACTGAGAATTGCAACTCTTTTATCTAACCAGATATTGATGCACTAGTTTACCAAATACGATGTCAAACATTCCACTAGTTTTATGTTGTCCTCTTTTCTTTTACTTTCATAATAAAAAGATATTTAAAAAGTCAGTGACTTTTTATTAAGTAATAAAAAAACTTAAGTATGTACATTTTTGATATTAGTGATCACAAACTTGGGACCTGCTTGATGATTTTAAAGGATTATGGAAAAGGCTGCGTCATAATTAGGGTTATTATGTGAGGGCCTCTTTGCTTATTTGTGGTGGCAGATATCACAAAAATTATGCATGGACTGTTTTTTTGCTCATCAGTTTTCGTTAGTGCTTGTGTATTTAATGGGTGGCCAAAGACAATTCTTCTTCTAGTATGGCCCAGAGATGCCAAAAGGTTGGACCCCCTATATATATAGTCCCCATTTCAGTAGTTCTCAAGCTTTAATTTGCACAGAAACCTAGAGGGCTTTGCAGCAGGTTGGGGGTGGAGCCTGAAAATTTGCATTTGTAAGAAGTTTCCAAGTGATGCAGACAAGATTGATCAGGAGTTACATTTTGAAAACCACTGTGGGTTCATTAAATTTTCAGAGGCTTACAAGGCAACTATTATTATCTCCAGTTTACAAATGAAGACACAGATGTCCCCAAGATCTCATAGGTAATAAGTGGAGAGTTAATAATTTCTTTCTGACACTAAATCTCATTCTCGCCCACTTTAAGGAAAACTATATGTAATTATTTATATCTATATCTAGCTATTTCTAATTTAATATAATTATTTTTCTGTATTTCAGTCATACACATATCTATCTATCTATCAGTTTTTGACTCTGGAAGAAAATACCTAGTCCAAAATTTTATCATCATTTATCTTTAGGTGATGAGATCATGTGTGTTCTAAAGGATTAATTTTGGTGTTTTTCTTCATACTTTTCTTCTATCTAAATATTATATTTTTCTCAGAGAAAAATGTTTCTTCGATTGTTCCATTGCCACTGAATTTCTTATATGACAGAATGATGTGACACTATATTAATATTGATATTAACAAAAAACCCCAGTATCTTCATCCAACCCCTATAAACTGATTTAACTGAATTTTACTCTCAAAGTGAGTACCTTTATGCAAAGATGTTGGAACCGTCCTGAAAATCAGTAAGTGAAAATTCCCCTGGTGGTTTTCCTCAGCTGGAAGCTTTGGCATATTCAGGTGACTTTTCCAGGAGTTTTCTCACAGAATATACAATTTTATATAATTATTTAACACATAAGTTATATAAACATTGTATTAAGCCTATTATTTTCAAGCAGCATAACATTATACACTAGATAAAAGTTAGGTACTTAAGGGTCGTTTATTAACATTATAATTACAATGCAAGGCTTTCCGGGCTAGGGGTACGTCCCCCGAAGTCGGCCGGCCCCCACGGCCCAGCCGGCCCCGCTCTCACTCCTCGTCCCCGCCTCCGCGCCTCCGGCCCCGCCTCCGCGCCTCCGGCCCCGCCTCCGCGCCTCCGGCCCCGTCTCCACCCCCAGCCCCGTTCCTATGCTTGGCCCCGCCTGCCGTGGGGGTACCTGGGAAGAGGCGGAGAACAATATGGCGGATGGCGAGGAGCCGTAAGTAGTTGGGCTCTACTGGCGCGCCGGTCCGGGTTGGGTTGTGAGAGAGCGCGGCAGTGGGCGGTGGCTGCCGCCACCCGGGGTCCTCCCACACCCCGGCCCTGTCCCCTCGCCCCCATCCTCTCGCGGCGCCCAACGTGTAGCGTGATGCTGACCCTTCTTTTATTCTCTCTTTCTTTTAGGGAGAAGAAAAGAAGGAGAATAGAGGAGCTGCTGGCTGAGAAGTTAGTGCTGCCGGGAGGCCGGGGCCCTCTCCGGGGACCCCCGCCTCCCCTCACCCCAGGCCTAGGAGACCAGCCGCAGCGGGCCCGGGGGGCTGGGAGGGGGGCACCCGGAGCGCAGGCCGCGCGGTCTTGGTCCCCGCAGCAGGTCCCGTTCGGGCCCGCCCGGTGCTTGACCCACAGGTCAGGCCGGACCATCTGGCTCCCCCTCTTCCAACATCCCAGTGGTCAGAGACGTGACCTTGTGAAAAGGGAATCTCACTTGAACACTCCAAAGGAACACTGGGCCGTTTTGGCCTTCCGTAAACACAAACAACAGTTTTAATTGCAGACTTTCTCAGAGAACTTTCTATGGTATCGGACTAAGCACATAAATTATTTTTGCAGAATAATTGGCTCTTAAAGGAGAGTGTTCATTCCAAAGAGCTTATTTTGCCAAGTTTTTACACACCCTATTTCTTATCAGATGGTTAGTTTTGTATGGTGAGACAGATGTAAATAGAGTGTTTTTAATTTTTCCTCTGCCTCACGGGAAGGGACGCAAGTACCTTTGCGGTGGGTGTGGTGAGTTAGTAATCCCCGATCCAAATTCCAGTAGCAGTGATTTTAGTCTATGTTTCGCCCTCAGAAAGTTGAGTGTCAATTACCAGAGGACTGGGGGGGACAATCTTTATTTCACATTCCTTCCCGCCTTTCTTTTCCTTTCCGCTTTTGCTTAAAATGACAGTGAAAGTTTGAGTGCTTACTATATTCTCACTCTGACCTTAAGTAGCTATAAAAATTTGCAGATGAAGTTTATGGCTGTTGAGTAATCTGTTCAAGGTCAGTCACAATGCAATTAATTGTGGAATCAAACCTAACTATAATATCAAAACCTAAGGTCTTTATTGCTAGGAAATATTTCTTGGTCCCTTTTGTAATACATTTGAACATAGATGTGGGGTTGTAGGAAATTTGAAAACTAAAAATAATTACAACCAATTATGAGTTTTGCATTGAGTGGGAAATACGTGGATTACTAGTGTATTAAAGGAGTCAGTGTTAGAACACACTCAGTTGTGTGATATAAAAGATTTCTAGACAATAATGCCTACCTGTTGTATAATCGTAACCTAAAACTTTTTTTGTATTCAGTGGCAATAAAAAGCACCTCATAGTATTTAAAGAGATTGTTTTTTGAAAATTGGGACCTCTGTTTCAGATAAAAATCTGTAAGTTACTCTCATCAAAAATGATGTTTAAATTACATCTTTCAAACTTGGAAAGGATAGATGAGTTATATTAGATGTGAAACATCGCGATTCTGAAAGTGGAGTTATGTATTTATTTTTCTTTTATAACTGATATTTCCTGATTCAGGTGTATTGAAGGAACAAATTGGGGAAGTTCACAGTGATCTTTAATAACCCATTTCTTTCTGATTAAACATTATCCTAAGTTTTATTTTGCTTTGCTGTAGGAACCCAGAAACACATAGACTGATGTATTTCATTAAACGTGCAGTTTTTAACTTTAACTAAACTCTGTAATAGCCAAGAAAAAATTTAAAAGCATAAATATAATCACATTAAATAATTCCCTTTTTATTTGAGCAGCTCTGGTGTGGTTATTATTTGATATGGGAAACAATAGTTGTAGGTGTGGGTTTTTTTCTTACTGATCTTTGCAGCTGAATTTACTGTGTTCTGTGCAGAATGGCTGTTGATGGTGGGTGTGGGGACATTGGAGACTGGGAAGGTCGCTGGAACCATGTTAAGAAGTTCCTCGAGCGATCTGGACCCTTCACACACCCTGATTTCGAACCGAGCACTGAAGTGAGAAATATTTATTTTTAAATAACTCCTCTTATAGTTTTGTTTCAAAAGTAAAATGCTTTATTTTTCACTTATAATAAAAATACTAATACAATTGTGTAAGTTATCTTGAAATACTAAGTTGTATATTTGCAACCGATTTTATTTGAATGGCTAATAGTTGAGTCATTTTCACATTTCTCATGTAATGTTGAAATTTTTTGAGTACAATAACTTTGTAATCTCTAATATTTAGAGTTTTAAGTTATACTTCACTTTGAATTTCATTTTATAATGATTTCTGAGACACATGCCCCTTTTTAGTTTTCCTATGAGAAATTAACTTTGATAGTAAGATAGATGTGTTTGTTTAAATTTTGAAGTTTAAATGAGCATTTTAGGATTGAAGATAACTAATTTCATGTTAAAAATTATGTGACTGCTGTATGACAGGAATAGAATTTTGGACAGATAGTGTTTGACTTAAAGCAAGTGTTAAGTTAGATAAAACTTTTTTTATTACAAAGTAGAAAAAAGTATTCTTTATAGTACATTCTATGTCATTTTGTGTTTACAAAGAGAGACTGTTTTGAAATAGAAATATTGTACTATTCCTAAAGGTATAAACGCTTGGATTTGACCAGTATCTTATCTGAGTAACTTTTTCTTCTTTAGTGTCTTTGGACAAAATTGATAGTATTCTTTCATTCTTTGGACCCACCTTATTTTCCTGGTTCTGAATTTTTTTTTTCCTGATTGTTTAAGATAATTCTGTTAAGTGATTGTTTCAAATAGATTTCTGTTAATATACAGTTTTCTAAGAATTTTATCTTTTTTTTTTTTTTTTTTTTTTTTTTACCCCTTCCTGAAGACCTTTAAATACTTCGTGCACTGTTTGATTCTCCATTCTTAGGATTTTTACACTTTTCTCTTTTTAGGAAGTCAGGGAAATAATGAATTTGATGCCTTCCATACTGTTTCAAAGTTAAAAAAAGATAACTTTCAAGTACATAGTTTTTCTTTTTGGAAGTAGTCTTTTTAATTTCATACAATAAGAGTCAATTTAAAAACATTGAAATTGAAATGCTCTGAAATCATTAGGGTTATAAAATTTCTAGTTCTATGTTCATAAATTTAAGAGTTTATTAAATATAAAGTCTGCTCTTGATCCTCATTTGCATTTTTCATGGAAACATCAGAAACTATTTTATGGCTTGTTATTGTATTGATGGTACCTATGTTTTTTAATAACTAGGCTTTAATGCCTTTTCATTCTTTACAGTCTCTCCAGTTTTTGTTAGATACATGTAAAGTTCTAATCATTGGAGCTGGCGGCTTAGGATGTGAGCTCCTGAAAAATCTGGTAATATATATACATACATATAATATGTATTTTTTCTCTTTTGTAGCAATTTTCCTTTTCTGTCATGCTAGGAAATTTCTTTATTATGATTATTAACCTTTTGTCTTGAGCCTTTGTTAGATAAGTTTAGCAGGTCAGATTCCAGTCTTAAATTCTAAAGTTCTCAACTATAAAGTAGTTGACAGAAATTCTTACTTCTCTGCTTTTTAGCAAAGAAATCTTTGTGTGTCTTCTTGCAAAGTGCTCATTAATTTCAGATAACAAAACTGGTAATTCATATTATAACGAGCAATTATTTTAAAGGCTTTTATTTTTAATTAAAAAAATATTTTATTTATTTGTTTTTGGACAGAGGGGAAGGGAGGGAGAAAGGGGGAGAGAAACATCAATGTGTGGTTGCCTCTTGTGTGCCCTTCACTGGGGACCTGGCCTGCAACCCAGGCATGTTCCCTGACTGGGGTAATCAAACCAGTGACCCTTTGGTTTGCCGGCTGGCACTCAGTCCACTGAGCCACACCAGCCAGGGCTTAACAAGTAATTTGAAAGAATTTATTATATCTTTTGTTCCTTAAGATAACCCACTTATATAGGGCATTGGCTCATTTTATGTAGAGGGAGACATGATGTTCAGAGAGGTTAAATGATTACCTAACTTCTTTGGTTTGCAGTGATAGGTCTGGAATCTAATGCAGGCGTCAATTCTTAGTCAAGTGTTCTTTTCACTGAACTATAGGTTAATTTGTTTCTAATGAGTATCATTTAAGAGAAGGTATTGTTTAGTGAAACTATTGGGTATACTGGTTGGAAATCCATGATTTGTGGTTTAGTTAATTGGTTTCATTGACTTACGATAACTACCAAGTAGCTTTTTAAAAAAGATGAATACCAGTTTATTTAATAAAGATGGGTAGGAGGAGAATTGATTGAGAGCTGATATATGCCAGGCTTCTCACTGGTGTGTAGAAAAAGTGGGAATACTAGATTAGACCCCTTAGAAAATGAAACGAATAAAACAATCAGGTAAACAACCTAAAGAGTCGACCATGGGGCTGAAGTTTAAGTATAAACAGTCATGTTAATTTTGCTAGGAAGTACTAACATCACTCCTAGTGAAACTATAAAAATTCAGTGTACTTAATGGTACCTAGTGCTAGTGCTGGGTTCTGCGGGGATTGTAGATTATCGCAGTCTCTGTCCTTAATGAATTTGAAGTTTCACAGGGGAGACAACTCTCACACAAAATAAATAGCAATATATATCATGTACTCTGGGAGTACCAAAAATGACAGTGCCTTATCAGACATAAATACTCTAGCAGTGTAAGAACCAGAGTTCTAGAAGGGAAGGGTGGCTTGACTTTTTCCATTTTGGATCTGCTATTTGCAAATTAGGTATATACTAATTTTAAAGGTAAAGGAATTGGAGATTAGATCTGAAGAATAGTCATCAGCAGCTTTAGGAGTGACCTTGTTATTCATTGCATTGTAATACCCTCTTACACAATAAAAGAAAACTAAGGGTTTTCAATTTTACCACTTGTTTCTGTGCTTCAGACGTAAGTACATAAGAGATACACATCTTTTTCAAAATTGATTGTAAGCTTCCCAAGGCTCATTCTGAAAAAAAGAATGAAACATTAGTGTTATTGATTGAGTAAATATTTATTAAGCCTCCTACCCCATTTGCCAGGCACTATTTTAGGTGCTAAAGATACAGATACGCATTAAACAATACAGACAGGTCTTTTGGGGGCTTACATTTTAGTGGAAGAAAAAAAGACAAAATATGTAGTCTGTCAGATGGTAATAAATTTTTTGGAGAAAGGAAAGATGAAAGGTAGCCTGGTGGAAAGGGAACAGACTTATAAAAAGGGGCTATTTGAGCAAAGTGCTGAGCAAGAACATTCTAGACAGAGGGAACAGCAGGTGAAAAAGCTGTGGAGTAGGAGCATGACTTATGTTTCAGAACAGCAAGGCTGTCCTTATTGCTAAAGCAGAAGTGGGTAAGGGGGAGCATTTTCAGAGAGATATCAGAGGTAATGGGAAATGGAGGGGCTTGAAATTAGTATCACAAAAGGCTTTGGAGGTTACTGTAAGAACGTAGCCTTTTACTCCTAGTCAGGAAGTCATTGGAGAGATTTCAGCAGATGGATTGACTTGATCTGACTTTTAACAAGGATCACTGTGGCTGATGTATTGAGAAAAGGCTAAAGGAAGAATAGAGGAGAAAGCTGAGAAGCTAGTTAGAAGGGAGTTGCAGTCATCTAGACCAGAGAGGACAGTGGCTAAAGGGTGATAGCACTGGAGGCAGTAGGAGGCAGTAAGAGGCAGTCCGAAGATGGACGTGTTTTGAAGACTGAGTCAACAGGATTTGCTGATGGACTGGTGGTGGGACATGAGAGTGAGAAAGAAAGGAGTAAAGGATGACACCACAATGTTTTTGCCCCGAGCAACTGGAAAGGTGGAGTGAGTTAGCATTCACAGAGAAGAGGGGACTGGGAGAAGGACAATTTTGGTGAGATTGGTGAATAAAGACGGTTGAGTTTGGTTTTGAAAACTGTTGAGTTTGAGATGTCTTTTGAATGATGTTCACAAGATTGAGGTCATCAGAACTAAGCATAAGAGCACTCTGTATTTCTAGCCAACAAAGTAGGAGGAAAATTGGTAAACTGGAAACTAATTTTTAAAGTATTCAAATTTTCATGAGTATAGTGACCAAGTGAAGAATGTGTTTTGAGGAATTGATCCACACAGGGCCAAATACTTTGGAGGTGGCAACACAGAGTGGAGTTCTCTGGTGACTTAGACAAGAGTTGTTTTCAGTGGAAGTGGTGCAAGTGAATGTTTATAGTGAGCACAAGAGGGAGTTTGAGAAAGCAAGTATGGACAACTCTTTTTGAGGATCGCTTCTTAACATAGGGGCAGCAAATTGGGAAATTATTGATAAGTGATTTAATTTGATCACTTAAACTGACCAGGACCAGGAAAGCATAATTAATGAATGTAACTTAACTTTTTTCAATCTTTTGCTTCTGCTGATAAATTTGAGCAGTTGTACTGTTAGAATGCCTGGCCTTACCCTTAAAACACAACAGTTGTTTGTTTTCCCTAGCTATTGTGATTGCTTGTTCTTAACTCACTACTTTCAAGGTATCTTTTACATGTGCAATATACATATGTGTTTTTGTTTGTGATATGTATCTTATAATAGTTATTTCTGAATCGTGGCATGCTTAATGTTACATAAACTGAGATAAAGATTGTATGAATTGCTTTTAACAGTATTCTGAAAAAAGAATAGTAAGTACAGTTAATTAGTAAAACTAGTAAAATTAAAACATTTAGCAGCATCAAAGTAACAAACTTTACAGATGTGTTTATGAGATTATAAAACTAGAAATTTTGAGTTCTCTAGACTAATTAAAACTGAGTAGTTACACATTTTTGACCTTTCCAAGAGCATAAGTTTATATACTTTGTAAGTCTTTAACCATCGAACATGATTATGCAGAATTTATTATTGAGAATTTGTAGCTTTAGGGCTACACTGAAAACACATTTCAAGTTTTTTAAATGTGAGGAAATTTCTGCTTAATTGGATTTTTCTATTTCCACAGGCATTGTCTGGTTTTAGACAGATTCATGTTATAGACATGGACACTATAGATGTTTCCAATCTAAATAGGCAGTTTTTATTTAGGTAAGTTATAATGTCTAACAGATATTTCCAAAAAGTTATGTGATTTTGGGATGATTGTGCTATGAAGACAGAATTGAGCCTTCTGGGGGTTTTATAAGAGAACAGTAGCTGGACTATTAGGCCCTAGTGATACGGGGGGGGGGGGGACTCGTGAGCCAAAATTTGAGTGGTGACTCTGGGACAATGGAGTTGTAGTGAAGTTTGAGCTTTTTACAGAAGGGGAAAAGACATGAAGAGTTAAGGAGAGAAAACCAAGAGCATTTGAAATGGAACATGAAATACGAAAATCATCTGGGAATGGTTTGTTAGAGATCATTTTGAAAACTGGAAGTGGTGCACACTTGCAGGGGTTTGAGTGTCTAGATAAAAGTGTCTGTTAGTTAAAGAATAACAGATATGGAAAGATAATGAACTTTTTTTTCTTTCTCTAGAGATTAGGATACTAACAGCAATTAGTCCTTGGTATATAAGATAAGGTTAGGTTTGCAGAAAAAAAGTTAAGTTTTAGGATAGGCATAAAATCTCTGCCTTATCTTTGTGGAATTTCTTAGAGAAATTGAAGGATGGGTTAAACTAAGTCAAGTTAATGAAATGTTGCAATGTGAACTCTACATTTAACTTTTATTGTTTTCTTTATTTTTTAACCCTTGATATTTCCCTTCTCCATAGAAAGGTTTTGGCGCCCTTGCTGGTATGACAAATTTTGGTGTATAAGTGTTCTAAAAAAATACTACTGAATTAATTGGTTATGATAATAATGATCGTGCCCTTTAATTTGTGGCTAAAATAATGATGATCTTAATGATAGTTAACATGTATTGATTGCTTAGGATGTATAAAGTTTTTTCTAAGCAAGCTCTTTATATTACCTCATTTAATCTCAGCAACCTTCAAGGTAGATCCTTGTTTTCAAGGTTAAATAATTAGGCCAAGGTGTCCTGCAAGGATGGTGTGTGTGGAGGGCCATTTTATTCAAGGTGCAGTTTTTAGGTGGAACAATGTGATTCCCTAATCCTGGAATGGTAAATTAGTAAAAATCTTCACAAAAACAATCTAGGGGTTATTTTGTTTTGGATCTACTGTGAAGGCACATAAAATCCATACCTTAAAAGACCCTTAGGAGTCTGCTTTATCGTGTTTACATACCTGAAGAGCCCTGTGTCTAGAGTAGTTGAATGCAATACTGAAATCTAGTTCCCTGATTTATGTATGCTAGAGTCTTTTCTATTGCAAGTTAGGACAAAAAATAAAACTCTTATCAGAAGTTTTGAATGAAAAAAGAACACTGCTTTATTGGAAGAAGAAAAATGACTTGTTAAAATTATTTTTTTAATATTCCAATTTTAAGTAAAATATTTCTAATAAGCACACAGTGCTGTTTTAAAAAAGGTTCATTAATTTAAAACTCTTTACTCCATGCTTAGATATGAAGGAATATAAAGATATAAGAATATGGTCATTTTCTTCCAAGTGTTCATAGCTAATGAGTATGACAGACCTATACATATAAAAAAATATGTTGTGAAAAAGTAGTAGTGAAGCACTTACTATGTAAATATGAGGGAGTGATTTCTGTGAGAATAATGAGGAAATACTAGGTACGAAAATACCATTTGTACTGAGATTAGAAGAAAGAATTCCTGTCCTTTTCTATCTATAGCTATGATTCTTATCTAGGTGTGATCTTTTGAGGCCTTATATTTTTAGCTTCTTGAAAATATTGGTGACATTTGCAATTTTAGATAATGTCTTTGGAATTATTCCTTCTTCAAAAATGTGGTTATAGTCTCTTCTGGGACACAAAGTTTACTACCCATGCAGGGAATAAATGAAGGGTCTTGCCTCCCTAGAATGAATCTCATTGTATATGTTTCAGCCAAGACCTGCATAGTAACACCTTGAAATTATGGAATTCAGGGCAGGTACTCAGAAGGCTCTAGGTCTGGGATAATGTTTTTTACATTGGGAAATGCCACAGTGAGAAATGGCTAGGAAACCTGCCATAATTATGCTCTACTGAGGGGGCAGGAATCTTCACATTTTCACCTTACTTAGAATTGTCAGTACTTGTAACAACTTAATTTACAACATCAAAAAAGGTTGACATTTAGTGTTGAATGAGTATTCATCACAAATATTTAGATAAAAATATTTTTTAAATATCCTCTAGCTAAATTCATCATGGATATTTTTATGTTTGAAATCATGTAGATCATGTAGATTTATATCATGAATGCTAATTTAGGTATAATTTTTCCTGTAGGCCTAAAGATGTTGGAAGACCTAAAGCTGAAGTTGCTGCAGAATTTCTAAATGACAGAGTTCCTAATTGCAATGTAGTTCCGTATCCTTTGACCCCTGCCCTGCAAAAAAAGTTAGTTAATTTTTTGAAGCTTTTGTTTTTTTCTATACTATAAATGACATGTTTAACATAGAGAATACAGATAAGCAAAAGGAAAAAGAGATAACAGCAGTAAGTTATTACTGAGGTATCTACTGGTAACAATTTGCTCTATCTCTTTCCAGTTTCAAGGTTATATAAATTCTTTTGCCCTAATTTTTAAATTAAACTTCTGTAGCCAGTGCTATCATTTATTCTGCATTGTTGACTTTAAGTTCAGTATCAGTTGCATGTCTCCTCTACTAACACTCTTAAGTTCCTAGGCTGGATCCAATTAATCTCTGTGTCTCCTTAAAGTAGCAGACAGAATAGAAAGTCAGTATATTATTAACCAAATGGAAGATGTGTCAGAGTCAGTATATTTTTATAAGAAGTATGTTTTTAAAAAGGAGTATTCACACTTTTGGTTTTCACACCTTTAGATCAGGGGAACTTTTAGTATTTCATAGAAATTCAGGAGATGGGACTTGCTATGTAGAAAATCTCACAGGATACAAAGTCAACATACAGAAATCAGTTGTATTCCTTACAGTAGTGATGAACATGTGAAATATGAAATTTAAAGTACAATGGCATTTACAGTCACTCAAAAAAAACCTTTAGGTGTAAATAAAATAAGGATGGAATGTCTATGCTGAAAACTGCAGAATGCTAATGAAAGAACTCCAAGAAGAGCTAAATAAATGGAGAGATATTCCATGTTTAAGAACTGGATAGTTAAACATAGTAAAGATGTCATTTATCTCCAAATGTGTGTCCAAGCTTTAACACAATTTCCACCAAAACCCCAGGAAATTTTTTTTTGTCAATACAGAGAATAGTACTCTAAAATTGATACAGAAAGACAAAGGAATACCTAAAATAATGCTGAAAAAGAAGAAAGTGGGAGGAGTTACTATCTAATTTCAAGATTTATTATATGGCTACAATAATCAACACTGTGTAGTATTGCCACAGAGAAGGACGTAGATTAAAACAGAATAGAGAAGCCAGAAATAGCCCCAGGCAGGTACATCCAATAAATATTTGACAAAGGTACATGAACAAGTCAATAGAGGAAGGATAATCTCTACAACAAATTGTGATAGAGCCATTGGATATCTGTAGGTAAAAAAAATGAATCTTGACTTAAACCTCAAATTACAAAAAACTAATTCAAAATGGATCATAGGTTTAAGTGTCAAGTGTAAAACTGTAAAACTTTGAAAGATAACATAGGAGAAAATCTTTGGGATCTAGGGTTTGGTGAAATGTCCTTTGACCACATTAAAAACATGATACATAAGAGAAAAAAATGGATAAATTGAACTTCACCAAAAATTAAAAACTTTTGCTTTGTGAAGGACCCTGTTAAAGGATGAAAAGATTGGAAAATACAAAGCAGATATCTGACAAAGGACTTGTACCTAGAATATATAACGAACTTTCAAAACTCAATAGTAAAAATAATGCAATTGGAAAATGGACAAAAATACGAAGGGGTATTTTACCAAAGAAGATGGCAAGAAGCACATGTAAAGATCTTCAACATCACGAGATATGAGAGAAATACAAATTAGGACCACATTGAGATAGTACCACTCCCCTATCAGATTAGCTAAAATAAAAAATTGTGATAATAGCAAATGCTGGCAATGGTACAGAAAAACTGGATTACTCCTTGCTGGTAGGAAATGTAAAACACTACAGCCATCTGGAAAATAGATTGACTGTTTCTTTTGAGGGGGGGAGAAACATTGCTTTGTTGTTCCACTTATTGATGGATTTATCAGTTGATTCTTGTATGTGCCCAGACAGGGATTGAACCTGCAACCTTGGCGTATTTGGACAACGCTCTAATCAACTACCTACCTGACTGTGGCTGCTTCTTAAAAATCTGAGCATATACTTTCCATATCACCCAGCAGCTTTATCTCAGAGGAATGAATACTGAAGTCTGCATAGAAACTTGTTCTTTATTGTTTATAATAGTTTTATTTGTAGTAGCCCAGAACATCAGTCACTAGGTAAATTGTTTAACAGCCATACTATGGAATAATATATTCCAATAATACAGCCATACTATGGAATAATACTGAGCAATACAAATGCACCAAATGGCGAAATATTAACAGCTTCGATGAACATTAAAGGAATTATGCTGTATGAAAAAGCCAATCTCAAAAGGTTATATAGTGTATGATTTTTACTTAGATAACATTCTTCAAATGACAAAATGGAGAACAAATCAGTAATTGCTAGAAGTTAGGCATGATGAGCGGAGGGAAGGTGTGACTCAAAAGGGGTAGCAGGAGGGAGAGCTTTGTGCTGATTGATGTTATTTGTCTAGGCTGTTAGTTACACAAATCTACATGTGTGTAAGTGATACAGTGAGACACACTTGTACCAATGTCACATTCTTGGTTTTGATATTGCACTAATGTAAGATATAACTGTTGGGGGAAACCTGGTGAAAAACACAGGACTTCTCTGCACCATCTTTGCAACTCCCTGTGAATCTACTATTTCAAAATAAAAAAAAAAAATAAAGAATGCAAATACAGGCCCCTGTTAGGGAGAAAGGGAAAACAAAAACAAAAAAACCCAGCAACACTATGTTTATCCCCATTATTTACATCTGGGAAACTGCGTATTTTATAGAAATCCAGGAGATGGTATTTTTTCGTCTAGCTCCTTGGGTTCCTCCCCTATTCTTTCTGTGTTTGTTTGGGTTCCCTTGATGTTTCTGTTCTAGTTTGAGCTTAAGCCCCCGTTTGCCTAGCTTCAAAAGGAATAGAGGTCTGAATGGGCGAGGGCTAGTACTGCATTTATTTTTCATGGAGGATAAAAAATTCTAGGGCATTCATATATTGTTACTCTTTTTTTCTGTTTTCCTTTTAAAATGGAAGTATAATGGATTATTGTAATTTTAGAGAAGTATAATTTATTAAACATTAAATTGCTCTGTTAGAAAAATTTAAATGTTTTTCACACATATGTGCTATTAAAATATTAAGTGCTATGAGTGAGTCATACCCAGCCAATATTGAATGGGATTCCTTTTGTAGCCTTCAGGCAGGGAAGACTGCTGATAGGGCTTGGTTGGATAAAAGAGAGATGCTTGGAAAACTGAGTAAATGAGAGGAAGAATTCATACCTCTCATCACACCCACCTCCCCCAAAAATTCAACACCAACAAATCACTGGCAAATGAAGAATTTCTGGGTTTTCTTTGTTTTGTTTTTAATTATCTCTTCATTAACTTTTTAAATGACCCAGCTCAATAGGAACTCTCATGTGCTTGTTCCCTTCACTCAACAAAGTTTATTGCCTCTTGGCTTGATGCTGATGGTGTATAACACATGCATTCTGCTTTCCCAGGCTCATGACTTTATATAAAACTTAAAGCAGAAGGTTTAACAGAGTCATAAATATAATGATTTGGGAGTTCAGAGATGAGATTAAGTAGTTATAGGGAGGAATGTTAGAAAAGAGGTTTTGCCAGAAAGTGGTATTGTATTCATTTTGTCACATTCCTTGAATTCCACTACTTTGAATATTTATTATCTATTTCTTGTTTTAAATATGCATGTATAAGTTTTTTCTTATGGTATTGTCACATTCAGCAGCTCAGGTTCCTTTACTTATATTCAGACATTTCAACAAGATCCAGGATTTTAACGACACTTTCTATCGACGTAAGTTGTTCACTTGAAATTAAATTCTCACTATTTTTTGTTGCTAGTTATTTGAGGCTGTTCAGTTTTTTGTCATCTCTTGGTGTTGGTTTTTCAGTAAGGTTCTTGACAGATTGAAAAGACAGTGTGGCTATTTTAAATCTTACTTAACACCATTACCTGTATTTTTCTATGCTGACTTGAGTAGGGATTATTCAGGGATTGGGGGGGCGGTGTGTGTGCGTGTGTGTATTATAGTAAAAAGTGGTTTTTTTTGGTGTGTGTTTTCTTAAAAGGTGTAAATTATGTGGTACCATAGCATTTAAAAAAACAAAACTTGAATGTTTTTTTCTCGTAGAATTTCATATAATTGTATGTGGACTAGACTCTATCATAGCCAGAAGATGGATAAATGGCATGCTGGTAAAGACTTCTTGCTGTTGCTCTTAATATACTGAAAATCAGAATTGCTTATCATATTTTTGAAAAATCAGAATTTATTTAATTTCCAGTAAGTTCATGGACTTCATTGTTTATTGCTAGTTATTAATTTTCAGGTGAGACCCAAAGTTACTAATATTATCATCCCTTGATTTGATATATTAGTATTAAGTCATGTATTAACTTGTGGAATTACTTGACAACATGCTTTTTCTTTCAAATTCTTATCCCTACTTTTAATATTTAATTGAAATAATTTTCCTAGATATCTCTTCTAAATTATGAAGATGGTGCATTAGATCCAAGCTCCATTGTCCCTTTGATAGATGGGGGGACAGAAGGTTTTAAAGGGAATGCCCGGGTGATTCTGCCTGGAATGACCGCTTGTATTGAATGCACACTGGAACTTTACCCACCACAGGTAATCCGGAAAGCACCTGCATTTATTTTAGTTTCTTGGGATGGAATTAGGGTTGAACTATTAAGTCTAATTAATATTTAGGATTTTTAATTAGGGATAACCATATTTTTAAAATCATGCTAAAAAGAAAAATGATAAAAATAGGAAATTCTGTATTTATGGAAAGGTGTGGAATGAATATCATACTTTTGATTGTTTTTATAATTTGTATTAATTTTTTATTTGAAGAGTAGGGATCAAGTGATCAATGTTTCTTTGTGATTGTTTTTATTTTTATTTTTTTATTTTTGTTTAATTATAGTTGTCCCAGTTCATCCCCTATTACTCTCTCCTGCCGCATCCCCCCACTCCCACAGTCAGTTCCCACCTTGTTGTCCATGTCCATGGGTCTTTTATACATGTTCTTGAACTACACCCTTCCCCTTCTTTTTCCATTCTTATCTCCCTCCCCCTGCCCCTCTGGTCAATGTCAGTTTGTTCCTTATTTCCATGTCTTTGGTTATGTTTTGTTCTTTGTTTTGTTGATTAGGTTCCACTTGTAGGTAAGATCATATGGTATTTGTCTTTCACCCCCTGGCTTATTTCACTTAACAAAATGCTCTTCCGTTCCATCCATCCTGCCTCGAAAGGTAGGAGTTTCTTTTTTCTTTCTGCTGCGTAGTGTTCCATTGTGTAAATGTAACACAGTTTTTTGATCCACTCATTTACTGATGGGCACTTAGGCTGTTTCCAGCACTTGGCTTGGATTACTTTGATGAACATTGGGGTGCTTCGGCTCTTTTGAGTTGGTGTTTTGGGGATCTTAGAATATAATTCCAGCAGTAGGATCACTGGATCAAAGGCAGTTCCATTTCTAGTTTTTTGAGGAAATTGCATACTGTTTTCTACAAGGGCTGCACCAGTCTACTTTCCCACCAACAGTTCACTAGGGTTACCTTTTCTCTACAACTTTGTCAGCCTTTGTTGTTTGTCGATTCGTTCATGGAGGCCATTCTGACCAGCGTGAAGTGGTATCTCATTGTGGTTTTAATTTGCATCTCTAATGGTTAGTGATGTTAAGTGGTCCTTTCATATGTCTGTGGGCCCTCTGTATGTCGTCCTTGGAGAAGTATCTGTTCAGGTCCTTTGTCCATTTTTTAATTGGGTTGTTTGTCTCCCTGTTGTGGAGTTGTATGCGTTCTTTATATATTTTGGAGATCAAACCCTTGTCCAAGGTATCATTGGCAAATATGTTTCCCCATGTGGTTGGTTCCCTTTTCATTTTGCTGATATTTTCTTTACCTATGCAGAAGCTTCTTGTTTTGATGAAGTCCCAGTTGTTTTTTCTTTCCTTTATATCCGTTGCCCTAGGAGATATGTAAGTGAAAAATATTGCTGAATGGGAGATCTGAAATTTTACTGCCTATGTTTTCCTCTAGGACTTGTATGGTGTCACAGCTTATGTTTAAGTCTTGTATCCATCTTGAGTTTATTTTGGTGAATGGTGTAAGTTGGTGACCTAGTTTCATTTTTTTGCACGTTACTGTCCAGCTCTCCCAACACCATTTATTGAAGAGGATATTTTTACTCCATTTTATGCTCCTGCTCCCTTTGTCAAATATTAATTGACCATAGAGAGACATGGGTTTATATCTGGGTTCTCTGTTCTGTTCCCTTGATCTATGTGTCTGTTCTTATGCCAGTGCCAGACTGTTTTGATTACAGTGGCCTTGAGATTTAGTTTAATATCAGGTATTGTCATCCCTCCTACTTTGTTCTTCTTTCTCAAAATTGCTGAGGCTATTTGGGTTACATAGAAATTTTTTGAAATACTTTTTCTATATCTGTGAAATATGTCATCTCATATGTCAAATATGGGATTGCGTTGAATCTGTAGATTGCTTTGGGTAGTATTTACAGTTTAATGAGGTAATTCTTCCAGTCCATGAACATAGCATATGCTCTCATTTATTTGTGTCTTCCTTTATATCTTTCTTCAGTTTTGTGTAGTTTTCTGAGTATGGGTCTTTTCTCCTTGGTTCTGTATTTTTCTTGTTGCTATAGTAAATGGGGTTTTTTTCCCCTAGTTTCTGCTTCTGATACTTCATTGTTGGTGTACAGACATGCCTTCGATTTCTGAATATTGACTTTGTATCCTGCTAATTTGCTAATTCACTTACTAGGGCAAGTAGTTTTGTGGTGGAGTCTATAGGGTTTTCTACATACACTATCGTGTCATCTGCAAACAATTACAGCTTTATTTCCTCCTTTCCAATTTAGATGCTTTTTATTTCTTTTTCTTATCTGATTGCTGCGGATAGGACTTCCAATACTATGTTGAATAGAAGTGGTGAAAGTGGACATCCTTATATTGTACCTGACCTTAGGAAGAAAGCTTTAGTTTTTGCCTGTTGAGTATAATATTGGCTGTACATTTCTCATATATGGCCTTTATTATGTTGAGGTATGCTCCCTCTACTTCCACTTTGCTGAGTGTTTTTTCATAAATGGATGCTGTACTCAAGAGATAAATTTTAAAACTGTATGTTGGATGAAGCTATAATCTGTTTTCTTTGGTTGTTGCCTCTGATTATGTCAGGGAAATAAAGATAAGAGGGATGAGAATGACCTTTCCAAAGATGGGACTCTTTCATCTACTTACCCACTTTAAAAAGCAACATGAATTTTGATTTATAACTATAAATAATTTTATGATTATTTACTTGAAATTACTTTAACTCTGAATTTGCTTTTGTTTTATTTTGTACCTTCAGATTTCAGTCAGGTTAACATAACAAAATGCTCATATTTGAGAAATTATTCAGCACTTTTGTTCTCACAGCCTAACAAAGTTAAATGGGGCAAACCTAATTTATAGGTAGATCAACCTAAGTGAAGTGACTCAGATGCTTTTAGAAATATCAGTTGTACAAAAGTTTTATTTCTATAAGTGGAAGGCTAAGATGAATTAAAACAAACTGCTACAAACTAGATCATAGCTATAAGTTACATTTTAAAATAGTTCATTGTTTTAAATCCACTAAAAAGGGCAAACTGTGGTTTTAGGTTAATTTTCCCATGTGCACCATTGCATCTATGCCCAGGCTACCAGAACACTGTATTGAGTACGTAAGGATATTGCAGTGGCCTAAGGAGCAACCTTTTGGAGGTAATGAACCTAATTTCATAATCTAAAATAACAAAGTATTTATTTGTTCATATTATTCATTTGGATAGTTACAATAAAAAAAGTTGATTCATGTTTATATATTTATATCTTCCTATTCTTTTTTCCCCTAACAGAAGGGGTTCCATTAGATGGAGATGATCCTGATCATATTCAGTGGATTTTCCAAAAATCCCTAGAGAGAGCATCACAATATAATATTAGGGGTGTTACATATAGACTCACTCAAGGTAAGTTTGTGAATTGTCATGAATAATGATCTTGGAATGATCCTTTGTTTCCTGGCTGGAGATGGCTTTGGAGGAAATAATTGATAAGTGATTTTAGACAGGACCATCCATTTGAAGTTCAGTAAAGATATCATGGAAATGATAGTTTTCAGGTGCCTTAAAGTGGTAAATGAGTTCAGCAGAATCCATACTACTACTTAGCTAGGAGAACTTTAATAAAATCATTGAATCTCATTTAGTTATTGGAAGAGACCTTAATGTATCCACGTTGACTCATACACTTTATCTTTCATTGAAGAGCAGTTTATTTTTCCTGGGGCAATCTGTTCCACATTTGGACAAGGCTGTTGGACAGTTGTCCTATATATTGAGCAGAAATCTCCATCTTTAGTTTGATCTGAGTATTGTCCCAGGTTATACCATATATGTATGAATCTAATTTACTTTTAAGTAATAGCACTTAACAAATTGAGAACAATGAGCACATTTCTTCGAAATCTTTCTCACTGCCTTGAACCTTCCTAATTCCTTTAATCCTTTGACATGTTGTATGGCTGTAAGTCCCTATTACATTGTTTTTCTCTAACCATATTTTGGTTATCCATACTTCCCTTAACATGGTTAGAATGCAGTGTAGAATATCTAAAATATTCTTAGTTTAGATAATAGCCTTCTGATAACTCTGATAATTGTATAGTCTTAGAGGAGAGCAGGATTTTTTAGTTGTTTGTTTACATTGATCCTATACTTTTGACTTTTTGAGGTGATTGTCCACTAAAATCTAGAAGTCTTTTCCATATACGCAGTTACTGCGCTACATCTGCCTGTTAATAGAAGTTGTTGGGGAGTAGTAGTTTTGTTATTTTTGTACTGAAATATGGGTCCTTACAAATTTATTCTTAAATTCAACCTGCTGTTCTCTCTCATACATTCTTTAGGCCTGCCAACCTATTTATTCTTTCAGCTTCGTTTCTCCTTTTGTTTTGATAACCGTATCCTTTATCTCTTCATAATTAATTGATTCCATATAATTAATTAAAAATTTAACAGGATTGAACTGGCCGAGAATTGACATCTGAATCATACTACTGGTCTGGCCCTTAATTTTAGGTTTTATCTCATTTTGTTGACAGAACTTTTTGAATATGTCATATTTCTTTGTCTTGTTCACAAGATGTCATGAAAGGCCATTCCAGATGTTCTACTCCTTGGTTTGCCAAGCTAGTCATAGTAAGTAAATGAGACAAGTCCAACATGTCTTGTTTCAGTAAACAATAATAATGCTCAATCTTAGTGATCAGTGCTTCCTAATTTAGGTACTCACAGTTCGTCCTTTATAGAATTTTGTCTGAGATCATCGCTAAGTTCTCAAGAAAGAACTTTTGTCTTCTTTTTGAAAGTCTGCTAATTCTTTTCTATGATTTTTTCTTATATTTACTGATGTTCTAGCAGCGTCATTTGAAAATTCCGCTCTTAAACACATTCCTTGTTGCTTCCTGTGCTCCCTCCATTCTCATCTGCTTTGTGTGCCTTGAGCAAACCAAGCTCATTCCTACCTTAGAGCTTGAATACTCCTAATCCTTATGTCTGGACTCTTCTTCCTTGGATCCCCTTAAGTTTAGCTGCTTATCCTTTAGGTATCAGCTTAACCAGTTGTCCTGATGATTCAGCTGTAAATCACTTCTTAGCTATTTACTATTTTACCTTTTTATAATTGCTTAAAACTAATGGTAGTCAATTTTTCTGTGCCAGGAATGTTTCATACTTACACTCTCATACGTCTCTACAATGGGGCCTTAGCACTGGCTTTTTACAGAAATTTCCATAGGTTATTGTATGGCTGGGTCTTTCTCATGGTTTAGGTTTCTGCTCAAATTATTGCCTCTTCAGAGAGATCTTTCTTCCCTGACCATCCTAGCATTGTCAACCCTAACACATATGTTGTTTTACTTTCTTCATAGAACTCTTCAGTATCTGAAATTTTCTAATGTACTTACTTGAGTGTTATCTCCCACGCCAGAATGAAAGCTCTGTAAGAGCAAGTAATTTTTTTTCGGGGGGGGGGAGGGAACTGTAGCACCTAGCACAGTGTCTGGAATATGGTACACAGTTGGTAATTGTCCAGATTAACAAATGAATTCAGTTTGTCCTGATCAGAAATGGAAATTCATTTCCATATGTATTCTCATTCATCTTTCTATACCTTTGAGAAGTGTATATGCTTTGCGCTTCAATGATTGAGGGCCTCAACAAGGAGTACAGAAGCAAAATGAGAAGTCAAGTTCAGCTTTCTTGAGGGGTTCAGAGTATGGGGAGGAGTCTCTTATCATTTTGGCAGTGCTCTTATTGGGCAGTGTCTCCACTACTCCCCACTGTTTGTGACTACCTGTTCTTCATTTCAGTACATCTTAACTATGCATGGCTCACTGGAGAGCATCTAGTTTAACTATCTTGAGGTTAGCTCCTCCCTGTTTCTCCTGCACTGAAATTATACTTAATCATATGGTCGGAATTAACTTTAAAAAACAGCTTTCCATATTTAACTGACTTCCTTTCATGTCTTCTTAGATATCTGCCTTTTTTCTGAAGTTTTTAAGTCACATCTTTGAGTGTTTCCTCACACTCCAAGATAATTAATATGGCTACTTTCCATTGAAATTTTTGTTTACTAAAATGAACAGTTTAAATATAGTTATAAATTAGAATATTTATTTTGTACTTAAAAATTGTTTAAGGTGTTGTGGGGGGCAGGGAGGTATAAGGGGATCGATCAATCAATGGTAATGGAAAAAAATACTAAAAAAAAAAAACCCCAAAATTGTTTAAGGTAGAGATTTGTTCATTTATAAATGAACTTATATAAAAAAGTAGGGTAGAAATAGAGAGGTATATTTACTATTTTGTGTAGTGCATGTTGTAGAATGAAATGAAGGTAAGTTGGAGCCTTTTTTGTTCTAAAGTTTTGTGAATCAAATGGCTGAAATTATATGAGGAAAAATAAGATAACTCTTATTTTTTGTACTTTACTCAAACCTTACTGAGTATGGCATTATATAATGTATCATTTAAGATTATGCCCTTTGGGGCCATCTGGGTTTCATATACCATATTCATCACTTATTAGGTGTAGTGAATTAGGTGGCATTGTGATTTAATTTCTGTCAACCTCATTTTCCTTGTCTTTATTATCAGAGTAATAAGACTATATAAGGATGTTGTGAAAATTCATAATGTCTATTTAAGTTTCACAATGTGCCTGGAACACAGTGAACACTCTAATTGTTAGCTATTATGATACTATGGTCTCATCTTTATATGAAACTTAGAGGAGTTTACTTTTCTTTGCTACTGTAACTTCCATAAGATTCTGAACATGCTACAAAATCATGGGAATGTGGAAGAAGATTGCTTCATGGTTAACCTTAAGTCCATTCTGTGACTTGAAAACCTGACAAATCTGTGGAAAATGATATTTAATAAATCATGTTGTTTAACTAAAGATACCTACTTTTTAAAAGAAATTGTCATGTCTTAATAAGTATATTTTTTCAGGGGTAGTGAAACGAATCATTCCTGCAGTAGCTTCCACAAATGCAGTCATTGCAGGTGAGGAAAAAAGGTCATTACTTAATTTTTTTTCTTTAGTTTTTGATTCAGTATCTAGTTTGATATTTCTGCAGCTACTTGATCTCATAAAACTGGTATTACAGGAATTTGGTATCTTCTTGGGTGGATGGTATAATTAAGCCGTCCAAAAAAGGAAAAGATATTTCATATCACAAAGTGCTCTGTAGTAAGCAAACACTTTCATACCATTTCTTTTTGATCACTGTAACAGGCTGCTAATTAATCTGAAGAAGAGGAAGGAAAACATGTAATGTTATTCTATCACGTGGATTGTACAAAACATATAAAATTTGTTACTTTTTCAGTTTTTTAAAATGAGTACATATATGTTAATACATTTTTAATCAGTAGCCTATAAATTTATCTGTTCTAATTTACAACTGACTTTCTAACAAACTTCTAGTTTTAAATGTCTAATTTACATTGCGTTATAGCACCTTTATTTTCTCCCCTTTTCAGCTGTGTGTGCCACTGAAGTTTTTAAAATAGCCACAAGGTAATGGGTTTTATTTTTAATATGTATGTAAATCTGTTTTGTTCTGGCTCGATAATATAAATAATGGACATTTTTTCATTACAGTGCATATATTCCCCTTAATAATTACTTGGTATTCAATGATGTAGATGGACTGTACACATACACATTTGAAGCAGAGAGAAAGGTTAGTAGTACTAATGCTAATGAAAAAGTTTTTGATCATGCATACTTTGATTTTTAAATATTAATTATTGGTTAGGAATAGAAATGAAATTGCTCATACCCTAATTATTTTCTAATTTCCAGAACCCTATTCACTATATATCTTTTGTAGTATAGTCTGAAATAAATACTATACAGAAAAATAATTAATGAAAAATGGCCTATTATGAAATGCCTAGGTTTTAAAGCATTTGTTTAATATGCATGGTTATAAAGCAACTTAATTTTTATTTCATTATTATAAAGAGACTATAATTGGTGCATGTGCTGCTGTGATTTATTGTTTTATTATGTTTTACATATGTAGGAAAACTGCCCAGCTTGTAGCCAGCTTCCACAAAATATCCAGTTTTCTCCATCAGCTAAACTACAGGAAGTTTTGGATTATCTAACCAATAGTGCTTCTCTGTAAGTGTTCTGCACTTCTGTTATATGTAGAAATATCTTTTGAGATTTTAAAACTTTAAAAACTTAAAATTGTTTTTTTTAAGAAGTGATCTTTGATTTTCTTTTCCTCATAACTTTATTTAGGCAGATGAAATCTCCAGCCATCACAGCCACATTAGATGGAAAAAATAGAACACTTTACTTACAGGTGATGTGTTCAATTTTTATTTCTTTTGCAATTATATTAAAAGTTTAATATCATTTGATGTGTTTTTTATTAAAATAATTTTGTCTTCTAGTCAGTAACTTCTATTGAAGAACGAACAAGGCCAAATCTCTCCAAGACATTGAAAGGTATTTTAAATGAGTATATTTACTAATCAGCTGCTTTTTTTGGTGAAAGTAACAAATCATTTTAGATTTGCTCTTCATACTTCAGATGATATCATCATCATTACTTATATTTTCAGAAATAATAATAGAATTGCTCTTTTAGTAGAGTATATAAACATTTCTGAACAATCAAATATAATATTACCTTGACTGAAAAGAACAGAAATTTGATATTTATCTCAACCATAATATTCTATAGTTTGTGAATCTGTGTTACCATTTTTGGTGAAGGTTTTTTTTCTTTTTTTTTTTTTTTGCTTGGGTTAATTATACTTTTTCTGTTTTAGAATTGGGACTTGTTGATGGGCAAGAACTGGCAGTTGCTGATGTCACCACACCACAGACTGTACTATTCAAACTTCACTTTACTTCTTAAGGAAAATAAATCTTCACATAATAGAAAATTTATGGAAATGTTATACTTTGTGAATGCTAAAATGATTTGATTCATTTTTTAGCATTAGTGTTGCTGGAATTTGACTTTTTTTGTTTAAATATAATGAACCACTCTTTTTGAAGACAGAATTTGGAGTTGGTGCTTGCAAGCATTTTCATTAATATGGGAAATGATGCCTGGAGAGAGAGATTATGAGTAATTGCATTGCTTCTTGTAGAGAAAGGAAACACACTCTTGTGTGTGAATTTTGTTATTATGTCCAAGAATGCAATCCTCAGTTTTCATTTGAGCGCCCACATATACAAAAGAAAATAAGAAAATTAAGTTTTAAATAACATTAAAGGTTATAACTTGACATCTGAAGCGTATTGAACATAGCCTACATCTTGCTTGTTTAATATTCATTTAATCGTGGCTGTCCAAATGAATATTAATTTTTGCAAAGGTTACTTTGTCCATAATAATTTGTAAATGGTGTTCGAACTGAATACCTGTGCATGGAAATGGGAAATATTTTCATGTGTTTACTTGCAGTGCTATAAAGGCCAATATACACAACATTAAAGCCAAGACATGGATGTTTAAAAGAGTTTAATGTTTAAACAGTTATCACTGATGCTTTTGCACTATTTATTAATAAAATATATTGTCTACTTTTCTCACTGAAACTTTTTAAAATATATTGATACTACAGAACTACTTTGCAGGAATAATTTTTAAATGTGTAACAAAATTACTAATACAAAATTTTTATGACACTTGCATTTTCCTTTGCCACAGTAAATATCTATTGTTTTAATTTGCTCAAACATAATACTGTAATGAAAATGGAATAACTATATTTTTATATTAGTCTCTTAAAAAATACCTCCTCCTAAACCCTGCAAAAAAAAAAAAAAAAAAGAACTAAATCTTAAAACAGAATCAAGCATACGTACTGAAAAATGAGTTTTAGTATCTCACTGTGGGAACGTGTAGTATGTGTTCTCACTCTGACTTAGATGGCAATTTTCTATTCAGAGGCTTTGTAATTACATGTCACTGGGTTAAATTTTCATTAATTCTTTCTAGCTCCATGTTGACAAGTAATTTGTTTCATTATAAAACCATGTGGTAAATTTCTCTACTTAAAAAATTACAGATCCAGTATAAATTTTTGAATGTAAAGGAACTAACATTTAGCACTTCCTTTATACAGGTACAATAATAATTCTCAAAGTAGACTTGTGAGAAGGTAACAACAGTATTTCCATCTGAAAGCTGAATAATAGTTGTAGAAAGTTTAGGTCATTTATCCAAAACTGTACAATTAGAAGTCCTGGAAGAGGGATTCTGAAAGAAAAATATTTCCTTATGGCTCTCTCAGTTTCTTGCAGTGGGGTAAAATCCTCAAATATAGGGAACGGATGGACAGGTAATATAAATAACCACAAGGGAGGGTGTAATAAGAGAATGTAATATTAGTTAGTAAAATCTGTGGCAAATGGGAGTAAAAAGTATTTGTCAAAATGGGCAACCATTCCAACTGAGTCTTCCATGTTGGCATTCTTATTTTTCAAAATCAACTGGAAATTTGGATTTTTATATGAAATCTGGCTTTTAAATGTTGGTAGGATTTTATCTTTAACATCATAGGGGCCAAGCTAAACATAGCTGCTGACTAGAATAGCAAGGCCACGGATTAGATTTCTTCGTACAGCTAAACGTTTCAAGAGTGCATGCAGAAAAAGTTGCATTTTAAATAATATGCACGGTACATATTAATAGGGTAAATAGGCTTAGTGCTTTCCAGGTTTGTTTTGAATGGGGCGGAGAGTGGACCTATATTGTGAGGGAGAAATTGTGCCCTCTGTACCCTTGTTATAGCCTGTTACCCATTGTGGAAAGTGGCTTTATATTTCCATCAGGTGGGCTGGGGCAGGTTTTTAGACAATGTGTAGGGTTTTTAGGAAAAAATCCAACGGCAGGTTTTCTCCTTAAGGCCAAGTTAACACGGATGTAATTATTTGAGGCAAATCACTGAGAGAAGTAACACCTCCCAAACTTTTTTGCAATTGTTGCTGGCAAGCGGTAGCTCTTAGTACGGCGAGTTATTTTGTGGGAAGGAGCCTACATGAAAACTCGCTGATTTCTCAAAGAAATGCTGCCAGACGTCCCAGAATCGCTGTCGTTGGAAACCCGTTCTGCGTTCCTCCGTATCTAAAGGCGACCCTGAGTTCCCGGATGTGACGTCAGCATTCCTCCTGTTTTTGTCTTCACCGGCGGAACTTGGGACTTTGAGGTCAGGTGGTTGTGTACGTGGAAGTGGCCGGCGCATGCGCAGTTCTGCCCTGTCGTTTGGGCCGTGGAAAGGACTGAGGGTAACATTCCCGGCTCCGGAGAGACTTTGGGTCATGGGCACCCTCTGACAGGGCCTGCCAAGTGGAGAAGTGGGCGAGGTCGTTTCGTCGCACCCTCCACTGGGCCTTTACCTGTCGCCCTGGCGTTAGGCCTTCCCACCTGGAGCTGCGGCCACCACTGCCGGCCAACGAGGGAGAATGAGCTGGTTCAACGCATCCCAGCTCTCTAGCTTTGCTAAGCAGGCCCTGTCCCAGGCCCAGAAGTCCATTGACAGGGTCCTGGATATCCAGGAAGAGGACTCGGGCACCTGGGCTGAGACCATTCCGTACGGAGAGCCGGGTAAGGGTAAGGGAGCGGCAGCGGGCTGGGCGGGCTGGGCCCTCAAGTGAAGGGGAGATAGGGCCGGTCCTTAAGCTTATTTGGTCTTGAGTTGGGTCTTTGCACTTTTCTGGGGGAAAATCCCGCCCCGCGTTCCTCCTCGCTGGTGGTCCTGGGGGCGGGTCCTTGCCTGCCTTGGAAGACAGGGACTCCGGGCACAGCCTTCCCCAGCACAGCCTTCCTGAAACTGGAGTTTTCCTGGGACACTGTTTGGAGCCCAGGTCCGGAGTCCGTCACAGGTACCCGAGAGACGGTCACCAACGTTGGGCGAGCGCTTCTGCTCGGTACCGCGAATGCTTCTCTGACTCTCGAGTTCAGACCACCCCCTAGAGTCAGGGTCGCGCGTTGTCAGTGTTTCACCCAGAGAAAAGGAGTCTCATAAAGGCCAAGTGACTTTGTCCCTGGCCACTCAGCGGGCAGGGGCAGAGTTGCTGCAGAGACGACCCACGGACACTGAGGCCCAAGATTTGGGGGTTTATTTCCAGATGGTTGTCTCTTTTTGTCAGATTCCTTAGGGTTCTTCAGGTGCTTTTGGCTCTTGAGTATAAGGAACAGTGTGGGGTAAAGATTTGCAGGTTTCGGGTGTGTGTAACCTCTGTGGAAAAGGGTAAGTTATTCTTGACTACTCCTTTCTGTTTTGTTTTTAATTTTACATCGTTGAAAAGTCAGGACCTAAATTTGAGGTACCACATTTTAGGAATTTTTGGCCCATGTCTTTGTCATGATCTTACTATTTTTTACAAGATGTTAGGCCTTGTTGGTGTAGCTTAACTTCTTTTTTCATAGGTACCCCATATTTTGAATTATAGAACTTTAGAGGAGATTATCTAAGATTTAAATATAAGGATACTCGTTTTATGAAACCTGGGACTTGGATTGTGTGCTATATAATTCATTTTTAAAAATAGGTTATCCAGAATATACTTAAACTACAGGGAAATGCCATAAATGTTTACTGATCACCTATGTTTTACTTTACATTGCCATCATTATGCCATTACCAATCTTCAGAATGAACTTAAACGAATATCAGATAAACCTGAGGTTTATATAAAACATTCTTCAGAAGGCAAATTTGACTTTTGTAATTCATTAAGATGACTTATAAATTAAATTAATTAGTAGTCTTAAATCTGCTTGTTCATTTGCATCTTAATTTTGTTTTTTGCTTTTTCACATTGTTTTCATATGCTGAACAAATGGATATAAAACCATGTGCCTAAATTGAAGTTTCTTATATACCTCCAAAGCCGTATTAAAGAATATAGACTTTAATATAGGGTTTGGGAGTTTTTAGGAGTTTTTAGGTATTTGTGCTCTGGCCACCAACTTCTGATTGTGTATAATTTGTGATAATTCTGCTCAGCCACTTTTGAGTTTTGAAAAGGCAGAATTTTTTTAAAAAGAAATACTTTAAATGTTTTAGGGAATATGCCTTTTTTCTGTTTATAATTGGTGTTTTGGTAGCATATATTTTTATGACTAATACAATTATCTTTTTTTAACCCAGAAGATATTTTTGCCTGTTTTTTAAAAATCCTAGTGTAAATTATCATCTGTATCAAAAAGACAATAATTCTAATAAAAATGCATATTTCTTAAATTCACATGACCTTCTAATACTTGCTGACATAATTTGGAATTTAGGAAGAGAACAAAACTTTCTCATAAAGTGGGTTTGGAAAGTGGGACTTGGAGAATGAGCTTGTCATTAAGTGGATGAAAATGAATTTGTCCTCTAGAAGTTACTGTTCCCATCAGTTTATTTTGACCTGTGTAAAGGACATTTGTCACCTGTATTTTGGTTCAGTTTTTTACTGTTTCCCTCTTGCCTAGTTCACAACTGTTTTTTTATTGATAGTACAAGAATAAAATTAATATGAAACTAATGGGAATAGAAGGTAGGATCAATTTGCCACGACTGTGCATGACCTTTAAGTGAAGACACTGCCTAAAATTATGAAATGCATCGTATGTGTCCTGGACGTAGCATGGGTTTTAGAACATACCATTACTTTCTTAATTTGTTGTGGGATGGAATAACAAACTTGCTTCTCATAGTCCAGGCCCAGTCCAATCTTTTATCTTTGTTCCTGTTCCTCTTGGGCAGATTCACACCAGTTTTCCTCTTTAAGGCCCAAAGTTAACCTGTGAACTAATTAATTATATAGTAAGCAAGGAGTTTAACAGGTGCAAATTATAGGTTGAATTCCACAGATTTTATTTTAAAAATGTATTTATATTGACTTATAATAATGATTGTAATATTAATGTAATATATCATTTTTGTTTTTAAATAAATGTATATATATTTTTTTGTCAAAGGATTAAGTTCTCCTGTCAGTGGAGGATGGGATACGTCAACCTGGGGGATAAAATCAAACACTGAACCTCAGAGTCAGCCAGTAGCCTCTCCGAAAGCAATTACAAAGCCAGTTCGGAGAATGGTGGTAGATGAATCTGAAAATTTCTTCAGTGCCTTTCTTTCTCCAACGGATGTCCAGACTATTCAGAAGAGTCCAGTGGTATCAAAACCGCCAGCTAAATCACAGAGACCAAAAGAAGAAGTGAAAAGCACCTTGCAGGAAACCTTGCCCACAGGACAGTCAAGAACAACTGAAACAACTGAATCAAAAGTAAACGACTCTTCTCCCTGTGTATCCGCAGGGGAAACTCTGGCAGTAGGTACTCTGCCACCTAAAACTGAAGACAAGCATGAAGAAACCATTAATAAAGAATCTGATACGAAGGTGTCAGCCATAAGTTTGAAAGTATCTGAGAGTGTAATGAATGTGAAAACAACTAGGGAAAATGTATCTAATATGTCTATGCAGTCTCTCACAGCAGAAACAAAAGACATGACCTCAGAAGCAAAGGAACAAAAACATGAAGACAGGCAGAGTAATACACCTTCTCCTCCTGTTAGTACCTTCTCATCAGGTACTTCTACCACCAGTGATATTGAAGTTTTAGATCATGAAAGTGTAATAAGTGAGAGCTCAGCAAGTTCAAGGCAAGAGACTACTGATTCAAAATCAAGTCTTCACTTGATGCAGACATCTTTTCAACTTCTCTCAGCATCTGCTTGTCCTGAGTATAATCGTTTAGATGATTTCCCGAAACTCACTGAGAGTTGTTGCTCATCTGATGCTTTTGAAAGAATAGACTCATTTAGTGTACAGTCATTAGATAGCCGAAGTGTAAGTGAAATCAATTCAGATGATGAATTGTCAAGCAAGGGTTATGCTTTAGTACCCATTGTAGTTAATTCTTCAACTCCAAAGACTAAAATAGTTGAACCTGTTGAAGGAAAATCCAAAGAAATAGTAAATGAAACATTAATTATACCCACTGAGGAAACAGAAATGGAAGAAAGTGGACGAAGTGCAACTCCTGTTAACTGTGAACAGCCTGAAATCTTGGTTTCTTCTGCACCAATAAATGAAGGACATACTGTCTCAGACAAGGTGGCTGAGCAGTGTGAAGCTGCCGAAAGTCAGCCAGAAGCACTTTCTGAGAAGGAAGATATTTGCAAGGTAACTCTAGAAAGTGGAAGAGGATTTTTGGATATGCTTTTCAGAGATAAAATTATGTGTTTATTTTTAATATTCAGTGATGCATAATGATTTGTACTGATTTTAAAAAAGACATTTTGACATTTAAATGTGGCATTAAGGTCCTTAACATTGAAACATTATTCACAATAAGTTATTTGAAATTTCTCTAAGGCAACTCTGATAGTAGCATAAGTTGATATTTCGGTATAACAGCATAAAGAAGTTTTCCTTTTATGACTTTGCTGTTGAGTCCTTACTCCTTACAATTCTCTTATACAATACTCATTAATTTGTCAGTTTGCAAAGGACTATCTTTGTAAGTTAACACATATCTTCAATTCTTTTGCAGATAGAGCTAAAACAAATCTGTATATTAGATGGTTTTTCTTAACATCAAGACATTTTTTGCATGTCCACATTACTTGTAGCAAATCTTAAGTGAAAAATTTTTTTTAGATTAATTATACATTTTTTTAAAAATTATTAATTTTAGAGAGAGAGAGAAACATCACTTTTGTTGTTCCACTTATTTATGCATTCATTGGCTGTTTCCTGTGTATCCCCTGACCTGGGATCAACCCGCAACCTTGGTGCATCGGGATGACGCTCTAACCAATTGAGCTACCTGGCCAGGGCTTTAAGATTAATTATTTTTGTATTCTGTTGTTAATTGCTTTAGTTTGTCTTTTCTCATTTATGTTATTTTTTTATATTTCCTATTAATAGCTATCTTACATGAATAAGAAAGGGAAGTGTCCAAAGAACAAAGGCATTGCTTAGGCATGTCAAATTGCTTCTACCTAACAGATATAAAGAGAAAGTGCTGTGAAGTCTTTAACTAACATTAAGTCACAGTTTTGGTTTTTCCTATGATTTTTAGATATAGAAATTGAGTGGGATCTGGCATCTTTAATAGACTCCTCTGAGATACAGGATAGCTTGAAGAAATGTCCTGTAAGTGCCATGAACTGAATTATTTAATGTAAAAAAAGTGCCAGATTCTCCTACCTGGGTATAGTATAATTCACAGGCAACATGCCATGCTGTAGCTTTACTAGCAGTTTGAATTCCTAGAAACCGATACCGTTTTTTATCAATAAGATATTTTGGAACTGTTTTCAGAAGACAAGTGATTTCTTAATTAATCTTGACCCAAATCAAGTAAGATTTATTATTTATTTATTTTTAGTGCAAAAAGTGCCATTCCCTCCCTTTGTTTACAAGTTTATCACTGCTTCAGCAGGACCTAAGGAAAATATATTCTAACGATTCCTTTTTGCTTAGTTTTATTCTGATATATTCTGGAGATTTTAAAATTGCATGCCTCTGGATTTTCTAAAGTTATTTTTTAAATGCAAGATATCATACTAAAACATTTACATGTTAATATGTTTAGATTAAAGAATAATATGGAAAAACATACACTTGTATATCCACTACCCAGCTAAGATATAGAATGTTATTAGAGGCTTTGAAGCCCCACTTTTATAACTATTTTAAATTATATCCATCTATCTATCTTCTTCTTTTGGTGGGATATTCACACTCTTCCCAAGTTTTTGCTGTAAGTATTCTTGTATAATAACACATGCAACAGGCTTCTCCTTAAGGTAGCCCTAAAAATAGAATTTTCTACATCAAAGGGTATATAGATCTTCAGGTAGATATTGTTTGATTGTTTTTGAAAATGGTTTACTAATTTATATTCCCATCTGCTATGTGCTTGTACTAATTTATACTCTCCTACCAGCCTTGTATGGTTTTTTTTTTAATACTATATTCATTTTGTTCTCAATATTGTTTTTAATTCTTCTTATGAGATAATGCTGTTTTATTAATTATAGTGGTTAGTTACCTGATCAACTCATCACTCCATATAAAAATGGTCTTCTAAAGTTAAATGTTTGACTTTTGTGTATTCTCCCTATCTAGAGAGTTGAATTTCTGAATGAGAAACTGGACAAAAGGGAGGCTCAGTTATTATCTCTTAGTAAAGAAAAAGCACTTCTAGAAGAAGCTTATGATAATCTGAAAGAGTAAGTATTTAACAAATGTGAATAATTTTACACATTTTGTAGAGGCCCATACACTTGGTTGTTATTTAAGAATGTATTTTAAATTAAAATGGTTTATAATTTAACTTCTTTTAAGTACAAATTTGAATAGCATTTCAATTCTAACCATAGAGATTATTTTTCTCCTTACATATCTTTAGGATATTACCTTTGGCATTGAAGAGAGGCATTTTGCAAAAAAACAAAAAACCTATTTCCCTTTATTAATATTTCAGTAGTAAAGATTTAAAACACATCTTTAAAGAAAACAGTGATATTATAGTTTAAAAAATACTGAGTATTGCTTTGTTTTAAGGAGGTGATCGGTAAAATGTGGCACAAGATTAGAAATGAAAAATTTTATTTACTGTTATTTTTAACATTTCAAACATTGGTGACTTTTCAATTACTAATGGCTTTCCTTTTATGTGTTTAAAAATAAGCAGGTAGTGTTTCTCTGAAAAGTTAAGATGCCTAAACCTAACTTATTTTATTAAGCTATGTGAAGACAATGTTATTTTCCTTTTGTAAAGTGAACTCATCTTGTTACCTTTGGGCTATTTAAACAACTCTCCTCAGTCTTAGTATTATTTTAAATGTAGTGAAATGTTCAGAGTGAAAGAAGAAAGCAGCAACATTTCTTCCTTGAAAGATGAGTTTACTCAAAGAATTGCAGAAGCAGAAAAGAAAGTTCAGCTAGCCTGCAAAGAGAGAGATGCTGCTAAAAAGGTAATGGAAGTTTAAAATAATACTAATTAAACTATATAGAGACATAAATTTTTAGGAGTGCCTTCATACTATTTTGGCGTGGAAAAAAGGTAAAAGGATACTGTAGAATATTAACACCTAAATTGTAAATTTGTCAATACCTTTAGAATTACAGATTTCGATACTTTAAAATTTAAATTCTAAGCAAATATTTGTCCACATAATTTATGTATAAGCCCTTGGAAGATATATAGCAAGGATCACAAGAATAATTTTTGTAAATGATAATTTCATTAGTCCAACTATTACTGAGTAAAATTTGTCATTACTTTCATTTGTTATTTTTCTACCACTTGAAACATATTTCTATATATGCGCGCGTGCACACACACACACATACATACACACATATATGTACACGGGTGTATATAATTTTTCAGGTCAAAGTATTTCTAATGGTTAGTGACTCTTCGGAGGCAGAATATTTATTGTAATGTAGGACTTCTCAACCTCAGCACTATTTGACATTTCGGGCTGCTTAATTTTATGTTGTGTGGAACTGTCCTGTGCATTATAGGGTGATCACCAGCATCCCAGGCCCCTACTTACAAGATGACAGTATCACTCTTCCCTATCGCAGTCCCACCTCTTCAGTTGTGCTGATTAAAAAAATGTTGCCAGACATTGCCAGATGTCCCTTTTGGAGCAAAATCACTCCTGTTTGGAGACCATTGTTCTGAGTCTTAAAATATGGAACAGTGGGCTATTTCAGAAATAGGTAATCAGTGAAGGTTAGTATTTATTTCTTGTATTTCCACTGTGAGTAATAAAATTCCTTAGTATTTGCCATTCTCAGGTTGTTTTCCCCCTTCTTGACCAATGTTAATGTTAATACTGTATTTATAGTTTTTCTGTGTATACTCTTACAGAAAAGAAATACATATTTCCATTTGCTTGGTTGCTTTAACTAGCTAGCTCATTTCAGGCACTAAAAATAACCTTAGACTACCTAACCAGCTTGTCTACTCTTGCCCCTACTATATTTCATCTGGACCAGTTTAATCAAGAAATTACATTTTAAATAATGTTTGTTTTTTGTATTGCAGTTTGAATTGTAGATCTAAAATAAATCCAAATAATTAACTGTAGGTGGAAAAACTTTAGGTCCTCAATTTTAACATATTTTGTGTGTACTGCCATATATGAACCCCCTGCATAGGAGGCATAGGAAATTCAAAGGTAAATTGAATTACCTTTAGTGGTGAATTTGCTTTTCTATAGTGATAGAAGACAACATCAACCACTGTATAGTACTATGCAGAATGAAGTAAATTCTAGAGAGAAATAAGGAATTTGGAATGGTATCATAGAGGATGAACTTTGACCAGGGCAACTGAGGAGGATTTCAAGGAAGACATGACATTCTACTAGACCTTGATGTCTGAATCAAATTTTGAAAGCTGGAAGTGAATAGCGGTGTTGTGGGTGGTTCAGAGTATGGGCTTTGAGATTTCACAGGCTTGGTTTGAAGTCGTAACTCTACAACCTTAGTAGCTCTCTGACCTTCAAAGTTTACTCAGTCTTTCTGAGTCTTAGTTTTCTTATTTCTATAATTGAATAATACAGGTGCCTCCCTTATAGGCTTGTGAGGATTAAATGATAATGGATACAAAGTATGCTTTACATACCTAGTAAATGTTAGTTGTTTTAAGCTATTGTTTAATTTTAGAGAATCTCTTAAAATCAAATTTTAAATTATAGAACACTTTTCATATCACCATTACTTCTCCATTGTAGCTTTAAAAGATAAACTATCTTGACATGTTTCTACTGAATCTCTGCTTTATTAAAGTAGGTCATACTTTATATAACATGTTTTTCCTCCCATTTCACAGCACATTAGTAAGTGTGAGTTTTAATAAGGAAAAGAAATATAATGAGAAATGGAGACATGTACTGTTTGCAATGTTGTTCCAAATACAGTGCTTGTAGAAAATGAACAGTATAGAAATTTATCTTATTTTCATTTACATTTTCATATTAAAACATGTGTATCGGAATTCAGGTTTTCTATATTGTTTTCAAAGCTGTTTCCTTAGTCTTAATAAACCAAGATAATAAATAAATTCAGGTTCACAGAACAAAACTTAGATATTCAAGAATGTTATTATTGATGACTTCTTTGAATGTGGAAAAAATTAAAAAATATACCCAGAATGAAAGTAATTCTTTATGGTATTTACATTTTTTTTTTAATTAGGAAATCAAAAGTATAAAAGAAGAACTTGCAACTAGACTAAATAGTAGTGAAACCTCAGACCTTTTGAAAGAGAAAGATGAGCAGATCCGAGGATTAATGGAAGAAGGTACGTACTTAGTTGATTATGAAGTTTATCATAAAGACAGGAAAAATACTTGCCACTTAACTAGCTGCTGCTTCCTAATAAAAAATACTGGAAGCAAAGAAGGTTTGAACTTAAATCTAAGAAATGTTAGGTGATAATTTATGGAAGGCACATATATAGCTTTTTGTTTCTAAGGAGGGATAAAAATAACTCCCTGAAAAATAGAAGTTTGTGCTTCCTGAAGAAAGCTTGTAACAGGTTTTAGAGCATGTCATTTAAACCAAGATATTTAAGGTTATAATTTTGGAGTTTATGCGGTATCTGAATCTCTAGCTTGGGACTCTATGGTATTACTATATTCTGGCATTTGCTAGTAAATTTTTCATTATATTAGTGTTTTAATTTTTCAGTTATTAAGCACTCTTACAAGATTTATAATTAGCAAGGTTATAGAAATTAAAGCTCCTTCTTGAGCTAAATCATTACAAATGGTCACTGAATTAATTTCATTATGTATTAATAAGATAGGAAAGAAGGTAGTTTTGGAAAAAGTATTTAAGTGAGTTTTTCTTTTACTTTTTCTCCTTTTTAAAAAAATCCTCACTCAAGGATATGTTTATTAATTTTAGAAAGAGAGGAAGGGAGAGAGAAAGAGAGTGAGATGAAAGAGAAACATTGATCAGTTGCCTCCAAATTCGCTCCCTGACCAGGGATGAACCTACAACCTTTTGGTGTAAAGGACAATGCTCCAACCAACTGAGCCACTGGGCTAGGGCCTTTTAATTTTCTTAAGGTTTTTTTTTCAGTTAAAAGAATAATACATGCTACTTGTAGAAATTTTTGAAGTTAGAGGAAGTGTATGAAGAAAGAAAAAATAGGTCATAATCCAATTTTATAATGAACTATTGTTCTAGTCCCTTTTTCACACATTTGTAATACATTTTTAAACATAATTAAACATAATTTGCAATCTTCTTTTACATTTCCCTATGCCATTAAATACTTTGACACCATCATAATGGTTATATTAAAGTCCATTTTATGAATATACCATAAAATGTGTAGTGTTTTCCTAATATTGTACATTTATTTCCAAAATGTTAATGTTACAAAAAATGGTGGGATAACTGTTTCTGTTATTAAGTCATTGAGCTTAAGTGAATTTTCAGAGTTAAGTATATGAGAAGAATTGGAAACAGTTGCTTCGTTTAAAAGAGTGTTACCCAATGTTTTCTTTTCATGTATGAGGGGGACTCCCCCCAAAATGGAATAACCTTCTGGTGGGGGGACCTCTTGAAGAACAGGCTTCCCCTGGTGGGTGAGTGTTCTAGGAACCCATCTGTATCAGTGTATCAGTTGACATTGTTGTTGAGGCTGCTCTCAGCTTCAGTGAATTTTTTTTGAAGACTCTTTCATAGTTTTTACCCATTTCATGATGGGTGATTTACAAGCACACCTGCCCACACCTCACTGAGTGTTCAGCAGTTTTTGACCAAAAATGGCACGACCATTGTGCCCCACCCTCCCTATTCACCTGATTGTGGCCCCGCCTCATCCCCAGTGACTTATTTTTGTTTCACTGGATGAAAAAAAATGCCCTCAAAGGGAAACGTTTTGCCAGTGCGGAAGAGGTGAAACAAAAACAGTAGAAGCACTAAAAGGCATCAAAATTGACAGGTTCAGAAATGGTTTTGAGCAGTGGGAAAAAATGTCTCAATAAGTGCATTGCATCAAACAGAGAGTACTTTGAAAGTGACTGCAGTTTAAACATGTTAGAATAAATACACAATTTTTTATAAGTAAATTCCAGTTTTTTGGGGGGGGTTCTCCCTCATTTTAAGCTAACAGCAGTTAGCATGCCAGATATTATGTTTGGTACAATAATAAATATAACACACTTTCTGTCCTTTAGCAGAGGAAAATAGAGGTACAAAGGTAATTATTAAACCCAGTATAAGCACTAAAATAGAAGAAAGTTGATAAAACACCGTGAAGTCACTAACTACCTGTGTTAACAAATATTAGAGATGGAGGGAAAGGCTAAGTGCATGGTTTTATTATTTTAAGAAGTTATTGAAAATACTGATATCAGATGTCACTGTTTTGGAATTTAGTGTTAGTCACGGGTGGCCTGGAGTTTTCTTTGCTTAATGAACTTTTTTATACAGAAAATAGAATGACTTTATATGAGAGTGTTTACATACTGCTTCTATATCCCCCAGAAGTATTTTTAAACTCACAGTTGAAAAGCTAAAAGCACTCAAAGTTGAAAGCATACTACAGTGAATAACTGATTGCTTCATTACCTCGATTCATCAACTGTTAACATCTAGCCACATTCCCATATCTTTCTGCATATACTAAACTACAGTTTTGTCAAACTGTTTGAAAGTAGGTGACATATCATGACATTCCACTCCTAAATTCTTTTTTTCAGCTTTATTGAGGTATAATTGACAAATAAAAATTGTATACATTTAAGGTGTACAGCATGATTTTTTTTTAAAGGTTTATTTTGAAACCTTTTAGAAAGGTTTATTTATTCTTAGAGCAGAAGGGAGGGAGGAAGGAAGAGAGGGAGAGAAACATTGATTGTTTGCCTCTTGTGTGTCCTCAACTGGGGGCCTGGCCTGCAACCAAGGCATGTGCCTTCACATTTAATTGAACTGGCAACCTTTGGGTTTGCAGGACAACACCCAACCCACTTGAGCCACACCAGTCAGGGCTGCAGCATGAATTTTGATATATGTATATATTGTGAAATGATTACAAAATCAAGCTAATTAACATATCACTCACCTTATATAATTACCTTTTTTGAGTGGTTAAGGTCTATCCTTTTAGCAAATTTCAAGTGTACAATACAATATTTTTAACTTTGGTCATCATGCTGTACATTAGATCTCCAGAACTTACTCATTATGCATGACTAAATTTTGGGACCCTTTGACCAACATCTCCTCATTTCTCCCACCACCCACCTCTTGCTTACCACCATTCCACTCTGCTTTTGTGAGTTCAAGTTTTTAGATACCACATATACGTGAGATCCTGCATTATCTGCCTGCTTTACTTTATATCATCCTCTAGGTTCATCCCTGTTGTTGCAAATGGCAGGATTTTCTTCTTTTTTAAAGCTAAATTTACATTTACACACACACTCTCTCTCTCCCTCCTCCCCCCACATTTCCTGTATACACCACATCTTCTTTATCCATTCGTCCACTGACAGGCTTTGGTATTTTCCACGTCTTAGCTATTGTGAATAATGTTACAGTGAACATGGGAGTGCAAATAATCTCTTTGAAATACTGATTTCATTTCCTTTGGTTGTATACTTAGAAGTGAAATTGCTAGACTATATGGTAGTTCTGGTTTTAATTTTTTGAGGACTCTCCATACTATTTTCCATAGTGGCTGTATCAATTTACATTCCAGTGGTAGTGCACAAGGGTTTTCTTTTTTCCATATCCTTGCCAATGTGTATATTTCGTCTTTTAGATAATAGCTATCCTGACAAGTATGAGGTGATATTTTATTGTAGTTTTGACTGGCATTTCCCTGATGATTAGTGATGTTGATCACTTTTTCATATACCTGTTGACCATTTTTTGTTTTCTTTCAAAACATGTTTATCCATGTCTTTTGCCCACTTTTTAAATTGGCTTCCTTGTTTTTTGGCTGTTGAGTTGTATGAGTTCTTTATATATTTTGGATATTAATTTCTTATCTGATTTATGGCTTGCAAATATTTTCTTCTACTCTGCAGATTCTCTTTTTTTGTCCTTTTTAAAATTTATTTTTTCACTTACAGTTAATATTCAGTGTTATATTAGTTTTAGGTATACAGCATAGTGGTTAGATACTTATATAATTTATGAAGTTATCCCTCCGATAAGTCTAATACTTGACACCATACATAGTTGTTACAATATATAGTTTGCTCATTTAAAGTGTATATTTCAGTTTTATCTTATTTTTAATTGTTATGAAATATGACAAAATTCACCGTTTTTATGATTTTTAAGTGTATAGTTACATTCACCATGTTGTGCAAACATTGCCATTATCTATTTCCAAAACTTTGCTATCACCTCAAACAGAAACTGTAACAATTAAGCAGTACATCTGCATTTTTCCTTACCTCTAGTCTTGGGTAACCTCTAATCTATTTTCTGTCTCTATTAAATTTGCTGTTCCAGATATTCAAATACTGATTTCACTTAAATGTGGAATCTAATGAACAAAATAACCTAACAAAATAGAAACAGACTGATAGATTCAGAGAACAGACTGACATCTGTCAGACGGGAGTGGGGAGTTGGGTGGAAAAGGCAGAGGGGTTAAGCAAAGAAAAAAACAGAAAATCCCCACCCAACTAATAGATACAAATAATATGGTGATTTCCATAGGGAAAAGGGGATGGGGGAGGTAAAAGAGGGTAAAGGGGGGATAAATCACGATGGAAAGAGACTTGAGACTTCTGGTCAAGATGGTGGTGTAGGCAGACATAGCTCGCTTCTTCGCACAAGTACATCAAAATTACAACTAAAATATAGATCAACCATCATTCAGGAATGTCAGAAATAGGGCTGAATGGAAGTCTGACAAGTACGAAATTGAGTTCAATGGAAGCCTGACAATTATGGAATTAAAGGAACCACATCTATCCAGACTGGTAGGAGGGGCTAAGATACTGGATGGGCTGGTCCAACACCCATGTGGATAAAAATTCGAGAGGGACACATCAGGAGTGAGGAGTCCCAGATCCACACCAAATCCCCCAGCCTTGGGTTTCAGTGCCAGGAAGGTAAGTCCCCACAACTTCTGACTGCAAAAACCATCGAGTATTGAGTTGGTGGAAGAAACTGCTAGAGCCCCAACACATCCTCTTAAAGAACCCACACACAGACTCACCTACTCAAACTCACTCCCTCTGAGTTCCAGCAGTGGGGTAGCAGCTTGAAAGGCACCAGTGGCATACAGAGAGAAACGGAAGTTTCTGTCATCAAGGCAAGCAGAAGCCATTGTCCCTTTGCTAAGCCATTTTCCCCACCACCACCCCAAGAGCCCATAAACTGGTGCCATATCTGAGACTCCATCAACCTAGCTAACACTGTTTAATCCACTTTAGAGATCCCCAGAGGCTCTGCCCCACCCAATTCATGGGCCTACCCAAGCTGATTTTCCATCAGAATGGCTGATCTTGGGTCCTAAATCCTATCAAACAAGCAACAACTGACTTGATTGAGCCCTAGCAGCAGCCAGATTAGAGTCACAGTTTAGCTTCCCCTGGCAATCTCCAAGCCCAGCACAAGTAGCAGCCATCTCAGATTGCTTTACAGCTCAGGCAGGGTGCCCAGGGGGGCAAAACAAAGGTGAGGTCTGATTTTGGCCTATACCACCCAGGAAACCCTAGGTCTAGCCCACCCAGTGGACAGTTACAGACCATGTTGGATCACCACCACCCTGCCCTGTACAGCTGTTCCTCCACAGAGGGCAGAGGTTGGAGGTCAGTGGTCACAGCCAGTCCTTGCAGCTGGCTGACCTTGGTAAATCCTTCCCATTGATCTGCCAACAGCAACCAAGGCTCAACTACAAGAGGAGAGTGAACTAAGCCCACACAAAGGGTGCACCTTGTGTACCCAGCTTGGGTGATAGGGGAGGCTGTGCCACTGGACCCTGCAGGATACCTACCACATTAGGCCACATTACCAAGACATGGAATCAAAAAAGCTCTTCGTAATACATACAAACAAATACAGGGAGGCTGCCAGAATGAGGACACAAGGACACATGGCCCAAAGAAAACAACAGATCAAAACTCCAGAAAAAGCAAATGAAATGGAGACAAGCAATCAATCAAATGCAGAGTTCAAAGCACTGTTTATAAGGAACTTAGTGAGGACCTCAGCAGTAGAAGAATGGCCCAGTGAGAAATGAAGGATACACTAACAAATAAAAAACAATTTACAGGGAAACAACAGTAGAGTGGATGACGTTGAGAATCCGATCAATGATTTGGAACATAAGGAAGCAAAAAACAACCAATCAGAACAACGAGAAAAAAATGCAAAAAAATAAGGATAGTATAAACAATCTGGGACAACTTCAAGAAGCCTAACATTTGCATCGTAGGGGTGCCAGAAGAAGAAAAGAAAGAGCAAGAAATTGGAAATCAATCTGAAAAAATAGTGAAAGAAAAATTCCCTAATTCGGTGAAGGAAATACACATTCAAGTCCAGGAAGCACAGAGATTCCAAATAATGATGGCTCGGAAGAGGCCCACTCCAAGACACATCATAATTAAAAGACCAAAGGTTAAAGATAAAATGAGAATCTTAAAAGCAACAAGAGGAGAGAAGTTAGTTACGAGATGGTTATCAGATGGGATGGTGGAGGGAAAGAATGGGTGAAGAGGTGAGGGGATTAAGTATAAATAGGTAGTTACAGAACAGCCATGGGGATGTAGTACAGTATAGGAAATGGATTCCAGGAACTTATATGCATGACCCATGGACATGAATAATGGTGGGGGTATTGCCTGAGGGACTAATGGGGCAAAGGGGGAAAAAAATCAGGACAACTGTAGAAGCATAATCAATAAAATATAATTTTTTAAAAAGACAGGGTAGTGATCCCACAATACAATATACAGACTATTTATTATGGAATTATAGACATGAAACCTATATAACTTTTTTAACCAATGTTACCCTAATAAATTCAATTAAAAAATTTTAAAAACCCAAAATAACAGATATTGGTGAGGATATAGAAAAATTGGAACCCTCATAATATTGCTGGTGTGAATATAAGATGGTACAGCCACTATGGAAAAGTTTGGAGGTTCCTAAAAAGCTGGAAATAAAATTACCATATGACTCAGCAATCCTACTCCAAAGTGTATACCCAATGGAACTGACCATAGTCGGACAAATAGTTGTATATGAATGTTCACTGAAGCATTAGTCAGTAACCAACAGGTGGTAACAAATCTTAATGTTCATCAACAGAGGAATGGATAAACCAAATGTCGTATATCCATACAATGGAATATTACTGAGCCCCGCCCCCCCCCAAAAAAAGAACGACATTTTGATGTGTTCTACAACATGGATGATTCTTGAAAACATACTAAGTGAGAGAAACCAGACACAGAAAGGCAACTATTTCCATATATAAATTGTCTCTCCACTCTGTTTATTGTACTTCTTAGTTTGATGCAATCATACTTGGCTATTAGTGCTTTTGTAGTCTGTGCTTTTGGTATCATATCCAAAAAATCATTGCCAAGACCAATGTCAAAAAGCTTCTTTCCTCTTTTTTCTTCTAGTAATTTTACAGTTTCAGGTCTTAACATTTAAGTCTTAAATGTATTTTCAGTTGATTTTTATATTTGGTATGTGATAAGGTCCAATTTCATTCTTCTGCACATGGAAATTCAGTTTCCCAGTACCATTTATTAATAAGATGATCCTTTCCCCATTGTGTGTTCTTGGCATCCTTGTTGAAGGGCAGTTTACTGTAATTGTGTGGATTTATTTTTAAGCACTCTTTTTTTTGTTCCATTGGTCTGTATGTCTGTTTTTATGCCAGTACCATACTGTTTTGGTTATGGTAGTTTTATAATATGTTTTGAAATTAAGAAACGTGGTATATCTGGCTTTATACTTCTTCAGGATTGCTTTTGGTATTTGAGATCTTTTGTGGTTCCATATGAATTTTAAGATATTTTAAAAAAATTTTTGTGAAGACTGCCCTTGGAATTTTGATAGGGTTGCATGTAGTTCACTTTTTTTTTTTCTTTTTTCTTTTTTTTTTTCTCACCAATCTAGGATAGCTCTTTCTTCTTCATGACATTAAAGACTTTGTAGAGCCCAGGACAGTTGTCCTACGGAATGCTTTATATTCAGGACTTTGTCACTTTCTTCATGATTAGATTCAGATCAAATTTCTAATAAGAAATATAATAAGTGATATTATGCACCTGCCATGTCGCATCAGTAGTCATACAATGTCAGGCTGTAGCATAACTGTTGATGCCAAAACTGAATGGTTATGATGGTGACTGCTAGATTTTTTTTTTTTGGAATAGTACATCTTTCCCTTTGTAACTCATACATAATATGTGGGAGTACTTCCCTAAGAATGTAAATATTCTGTTCCCCACCATCCTTCCATCTAGTAAGTTGAGCATTCATTGATAATTCTTGTCAGCTTAAATCAGTTGAACACTTGTGATTACAACATTGTGATTTTTAAAAAATATTCTATCATTTTATACCACTGATTAGATAAACATTCTATTTAGATTCTTAGGGAATCATTATTATTTGAATTTATGATTTTTTGCCATTGCCAGGAGAAAAACTTTCAAAACAGCAGCTGCATAGTTCTAACATCATTAAGAAATTAAGAGCTAAAGACAAAGAAAATGAAAATATTATTGCAAAGCTGAAGAAAAAAGTTAAAGAGCTAGACGAAGAGTTGCAACATTTAAAACAGGTGAATATTAATCATTGTCTACATATAAATTGTTATTACTGTATGAACAGTAGTCTGTGGTTTATAAAACATTTGGAATGATTCATTTGGGTATATCACATGGGAAGGATTTTTTTCACAATTTAATATATGAATGTTAAGATTATTCTTTGTTATACATTTAAGATTCCTGGAACACAATTATTTACCATGGTGTTATTTATTGAAGAATATTTTTGCCTGTTTCTTTAATATAGATCCTTGATGGCAAAGAAGAAGTTGAGAAACAACATAGAGAAAATATTAAAAAGCTAAATTCTGTGGTTGAACACCAAGAGAAGGATCTTGGCCGACTTCAAGTGGACATGGATGAACTTGAAGAAAAGAACCGAAGTATTCAGGCTGCTCTTGACAGTGCATACAAGTAAGAAAATGAATAAAGATGCAACTCTGTTAAAATCATTTAAATGCAGGATGTTGAAGAAATCCTTTTTTCTACTATTTGATCACTCACAACACATAAACTTAACTCTAAATGAACTTGTAACTGTTCAAAGCAAGTTCAATAGAAAGTACTTACTGCAGTCACTTTATTGTATATGAATGCCCCCTCATTCTGTAAATTTCCTAGAAATCTACATGGAAACTTTATAACCATAGCCATGTAGTTTACTGTATATTATTTTAAAGATTTTATTCATTTATTTATGTATTTTAGAGGGGAAAGCAGGAAGAGAAAGAGGGAGAGAAACATCGATGTGCAAGAAAACATCGATCAGGTGTCTGTCACACACCCCAACCTGGGGCCTAGCCTGCAACCCAAGCATCTACCTTGGCTGGGAATTGAACTGGGAACCTTTCAATTTGCAGGATGATGCTCAGCTCACAAAAAATTGGTATTTTTTTTAAATAAAACTTACCGATCTGATTTTTTTAAGAGAACTTACTGACCTCCACAAAGCCAATGCTGCAAAGGATAGTGAGGCACAGGAAGCTGCTTTGAGTCATGAAATCAAAGCTAAAGAAGAACTTTCTGCAGCATTAGAGAAGGTCCAAGAAGAAGCTCGTCAGCAGCAAGAAGCATTAGCCATTCAAGTAAGCAATGGATATGAATTAAATTTGTCTTTTAAATCTCTGTGCTTGTGCAAATTAAAGAATCCCTTAGTTAGCTTGAGTCAAACCTTATTTAATGGTACATGTGTTATATTTACTTTATAATCTTGTTGGGCAAACTTAATTGTGTGATTTTTAAAACTGTTGTTAAATTATGCTTACATTATGCCAGTATTGTTTAATGTTTTTGTGAATTTCAGACATTTGAGAATAAATATTATGAAAGCTAAGGACCCTCTTGCTGGAGATGCACACATGCAGATAAATACTAAACATTACATATAATTCAAGGAGAATCTGTGTAACTCCATGGAGTTCAGATGAAGGAAGAATCTCTAAATTTGTCACTTTGTCTTATACAATCATCAGTTAATGGATATTTGGGTGTTTTGTTTTTTTTTACAGTTTTTGTTAATTTGAAAAATGCTTTAAACCTTCATTTACAATTTTTTCTGTGAACCTATATTTTAAATTCTCTTAGATACATACCCTCAGGTCGTATGATAACTATGTTTAACTTTTTTGAGGAACTGCAGGTGTTCTGCAGCAGCTTTGTTATTTTACTTTCCCACTAGCAATATATAAGAGTTTTAATTTCTCTACATCTCTTCAAGTATTTGTTATTCTCTATTTTTTTAAATGTAGCCCTTTTAGTGGATGTGAAGTAGTATCTGACTGTGGTGTTGATTTACATATCCTCTGTGACTAATGATGTTGAGCATCTTTTTAGTGTGTTTATTGGCTGTTATGTATCCTGTTTGGAGAAATTTATTCAAATATTCAAACCCATTGCCTACTTTTAAATTGAGTTGTCCTTTTATTGTTCTTTATATATTCTATGTACTAGTCCCTTACTGGATGTAGGATTTGCAAATATTTTCTTCCATTTTAAGGTTGTTTTTCACTTTCTTGGTAGTGTCCTTTTGATGCAGAGTGTTATAATTTTGATAAAGTCCAACTTACCTATTTTTTCTTTTGTCAGTTGTGATTTGAGTGTCTTATTTAAGATACTGTTGCCTAATTTAAGGTTATGCAGATTTTGTCGTTTCCTTCTAAAAGTTTTATAGTCTCAACTCTCACATTAGTTCTTTTGCATGTGGCTTATAAAATTTCCCAGCACCATTTGTTGAAAAGGCTGTTCTTTCCTCATTGACCCGTTGCACTTTGATTTAATTTTACATGAATATTTAAAGCACTTACATGATTACAAAGTGGGATCTATGTAACAAGAATATTTAGGCAGCATTTGTTTTTTACTTAGCCCCTCTCCATTCCTTTTATTTGCCCGTAAGTAACCATTTTATTGGTGCTTGGCTTATTTTTTTCAATGTTTCCATTTGTAAATGCAAGAAAATAGACATTTTTTTTGTACACTTAACACCCATACATTTACAAATATTTATGTGTATTTCTCTCATCCTTGCATAAAATAATAGTTTACTACTTACATAGTTTTATAGCTTGCTTTATTTACAAAATAAAGTATCTTGATGATCGCTCCATAAGATGATCAAAGGCTATCTTAGAAAATGTTTTGTAAAGAAGCATTTATTTATATACTCATAATAAAACAGAGCTTTTTTAAAAAATTTCTTTTTACAGTTATAATGCTGCATTGTATTCAGTCAATTCTTATTGATGGATATTTGGGTTCTTTATAATACCAGTCAATACCTTGGTGTTATAAATCACACCATGGTCCATATACCCCTTATAGTTCTGCTACTCTATCACTGGGATAGAAAAATTATTAATGTTTTAAATTAAGATGCAGTAGGAGAATAATAAAGAAAAATTGGGGGAATAGGAGGTAAATAGTGTAGGGCATTACCATTCATAAGATCATCACTTTCTGAGTACTGTCAATTTTGTGTATTACCTTCTTGTTCTTATTTCCATGTACGTATTTTTGTACTTGATATTATATATTATTTTATAGTTTTTTATTTAAGATTAAATCATACATGTCTTTTAATGGGTATATTCATGTTGTAGTAAGATTTGCAAAAATAGATTATTACTGATGGATATTTAGAATATTTCATGCTTTGTGTGTTATTGCTAATCTAGCTGACCATGTAGGGAACATCTTTGTGTGTTTATAGAGTATCTTCTTCCATAGAGTGAATCCTCAGGTTTAGTTTTCATAGATAATACAGCCATCACATTCTGCTGGCACTGCAGATATTTATGGATGCATCATCTCTCCTCCTATCTTGTAGGGTGGGGCAGTGGTTGGGCCTTGGACATATTTATATTCTTTGTTTTTTTTTTTGTCTAACAGACTGCATATTGAACATATATACAGCTTTGGAATTGCTTGATGAATGGGATGTGTGATAATCCTATGTAAAAACTCATTGGATAGTGTAGAGTATTATACATGAACAGTAAGTCAACACAACACAAAATACAAATAAGTACATAGTTAGCAGGAAGTTATAGACAGTGTTTGAGACTGTGATAGTGTTTTGGTTCTCCTAATACAGGTGGGGGACCTGAGGCTGGCCCTACAACGTGCAGAACAAGCAGCTGCCAGAAAAGAGGATTATTTACGCCATGAGATCAGTGAACTCCAGCAGGTGCTGTCAGTTTTCCTGAACACACATCCAACATGTGTTTTTCTAGAAAAAAACAAAATGACTCAGTGGGGTAATGCTCATAGAATTGAGAGGATTACTACCATATGTATCATTTTCTGGGTTTGGTTTTTTATGGGTGTGTGACTTGTGTCAATAAAATCAGATTTGGAATCTTAAAATTATATAAGGAAAGTCCTAATCCTATTTATAGAAAATAATTTTATCATGATAGATTTATTATGTGTTTAGTATTGTTTTTTCATTTGTAAAAGCTAGTTTATTAATTATTAGTCTGATTATTCTGGGGCAGATAATCAGTGCCCAGTTTTTGTATTACTACTTTATTAATTTTCAGTAAGTGAACATGTATGGGAAAATAGAGAGAAAATGCAACTCAAATTGATCTTCATGTTTTTATAAATACTTAGAAATATTTGGATGAGGAGGGAACTGAAGGGAGGTTTGAATGATACTCATTTTTACATTAAGATGATCAAAGGCTATCTTTATCTTAAAAAGTGCTTTGTAAAAAAACAGTTAATTGAGATACTCAGTTATGCAACTTAATCTATCTTAAGGATTGAATAATTAGAAATAATTTCACTTAAAAAGTAATTCTATCTTGGAGAAAGTTTGCTAGTTTTGTTTTTTTCTTTTTCAAGTTTTCATTGCTATTCATGTTAATAACTTAAGAATTTCATGATTCAGAGACTCCAGGAAGCAGAGAATCGAAACCAGGAACTCAGTCAAAGTGTTTCATCAACAACAAGACCATTGCTTCGACAGATAGAAAATTTGCAAGCAACACTAGGGTCTCAGACATCATCGTGGGAGAAGTTAGAGAAGAGTCTCACTGATAGGCTGGGTAACTGCTTTAGTTCTTGAGCTCAATGCAGAAGCCCTTTTGTCTTGTTTATGGAAATACTGTAATGGTCTGAAATTGAAAATCACTTGATCTGACAGTTATATTTTATATTTCTTGTAGATTTTTACTTCTCCTGTTTTATATTTATTTTCTAATAATTGACTCTCAAACCACTTGTTTTTCCTAATACAGTGGATCAGATACTGTCTAAAATACTTCCATGTCATTTTTTCATTCATTTTTACAGACTACTGCACTCATTTTTTTCCTTGTTCAATGCTAAATCTGACTGTTTTCCTAGCTTCTCTTCAATAGTGTTGAAAGTAGACACCAGATATGATTGTAGTTAGTGGCAGAACTTCAAGAGCAGAGCTAGGTTTAAGGTGGATCAAGGTTAAATTGAGTATTCAAATGCTATGGAATCTTAAGATTTTATATTCTGCTTTATAGAAATGCCCCACTTTGCCCTTCTGTGCTATTAATAGAAAGAAAATTATTTTTCCAAGATGTTTATTCAAGCACAGACTGGTAGTATTACTAGATATTCCAGAGGCTAGCAAATTCATGAAACATCCATGTAATTACAGGGACATCAACAACAAAACCATTGCTTTGACAGTTAAAACATTCGTTGTAGTGATAAAAGCAGACCTGAATGGGTGTTCAGGAGACCTGGATGCAAGGCTTTGTTTTGTTTTGTTTTGTTTTGTTTTGTTTTGTTTTTAATCATCTAGCCAGATAGTCTGGGGCAAGTCGTTTCCCTTTTCTGGGCTACTCACTGGAAATCCTAAGGGGCTAACTAGGTTAATGCTTTCTCACAGTTTTCAGCAGACTCCTTAGATGTGTCTCAGGGCTGCCTGTCATGGTGAGAGGGAAGCTCCATAAATAAGGTGCTGGGCTCCCTCTAGGCAGCTCTAATGGAAGTAATGCCTCCTTTGTCTTTTTTTGAGTTCCGTGTAGGATTTTGCCTGAAAAAAGATTTATCTGTTTAAAAAGAAAATCATTGAACTAGATGAACCTTCATATATTATTTAATTTATAAGTATAAATTTCAGGTCTGTCATTTTATTTCTGACAATTTTTTAAAAAGATTTTATGTATTTATTTTTAGAGAGAAGGAAGGGAAGGAGAAAAAGGGAGAGGAACGACAATGTGTGAGAGATACATCAATCAGTTGCCTCTTGCATGCCCCCAACTGGGGACCTGACCTGCACCCCAGCCAGGTGCCCTGACTGGGAATCAGACTGGCAGCTTTTTGGTTCATAAGCTGGCACTCAGTCCACTGAGCCACACCAGCCATGGCTATTTCTGACAATTTTTGAGACCAGTTTGTTAAGAAATATGAGATACTTGAAAATGACAGCTTCTGAAAGTCTAATTAGCAGTAAGTGAAGACTAGAAGGTGTCATGTTATGGTTTTTGAACTGGAGTCTGCACACTCTTGGGGATATGTGGTATTGTGGAATATAGGCAAAACCACAGGACAGACATACTATATAATGCTATTAATAGAACCATACGTGCAGTATGGAACAGAATATAACATCTATAATAGAGATGTCATTAGGTCTATTTTGGTGGTTGGGGGAAAATACAAAACTTCTTGCCTTGGCTAAATTTCAGAATCTTATCCACTAATCTTTTATATTAATTGAAAAATATTATAGAGTTAATTGTAGATATACATGCAGTTATATGAAATAATACTCAACTTTCCCCAGTATTTCCAAATGTTAACATTTTGCAAAATTATAGTATTACAACCAGGGTATTGACATTGATAGTGTTTACTGATTTTTGAATTCAGATTTCCCCAATTTTACTCGTACTCATTTGTGTGTGTGTGTGTCTTTATGTGTGCATTAAGTTCTACACAGTTTTACCACTTCTGTGGGTCTACGTATTTATCACTACAATCAGGATACCAAACTGTAGTTGCAGCACCACAGAGATCTCTAATGTTGCCCTTTTATGACTTAACCACCTTCATGGCACTCCTTCCCTGTCCCAAATCCCTGGCAACCACTAATGTCCTGTATATTGAAAGTTTAAGAATTTCAAAATGCTACATGAGTATAATTGTATAATATAGGACATTTTGGGATTGGCATTTTCACTCAGCATAATTCCTTGGAGATTTATGCAAGTTATTGTGTGTGTTGATTAGTTTTTTTTTATTACTAAGTGTTTTTCATTGTATGTATGTACTACATTTTGTTTACTTGATGAAGGCTGTATGAGTTGATTCTAGATTTTGTCTGTACAGATAAGCTGCTATGAATATTCATGTACAAGTCTCAGTGTGGATATAAGTTTTAATTTCTCTGGATAAATGCCCAAGAATGCAGTTGCTGGGTTTTATAGGTAGCTGCGTGTTTTGTCTTTAAAGAAAATGCCAAACTGTTTTCCCAGGTGGCTGTATGTATGGGAATAATCCAGCCTCTCCACATCCTTGCCAGTATTTTGTGTTGTCCCTGTCTTTTATTTTAGTCATTTAGACAGCTGTGTAGTGATATGTCATTATGATTTTAATGTGCATATCCCTGATAATTAATGATGTTGACCATCATTATTTGTGCTTATTTTCTGTTTGTACATTTTCTTTAGTGAAATGTCCATTCAGATCTGTTGTCCATTTTCTAATCAGATTGTTTGTATTTTCACTGTTGAATTTTGAGACTTCTTTATATATTCTAGATAGTAGACGTGGATATTGTGATTTCCCTTTATTTTCTCCAAGTCTGTGGCTTTTTTTCCATCCTGTTTATATAGAGCAAAATTTTAAAATTTTGAAAAGGTCCATTTTCTCCATTTTTCTTTAAATATTTTGTTTTAGTTTTCAATTACAGTGAACATTCTATATATATATATATATTATTTTCATGTGTTTTGCATAGTGGTTAGACATTGATATACCTTACAAAGTGAATCCCCAGTAAGTCTTGCACCTACCTGGCACCACACATAGCTATTACAATATTATTGACTATATAACCTACACTGTACTTTACATCTTCATTATTATTCCGTAACAGCCAATGTACACTTCTCAATTCCTTCACCATTTTCAATCAGGCCTCCAATTTCCCAACATCCCTGGTAACCATCAAAATGTTCTCTATACCTATAAGTCTGTTTCTGTTTTGTTTGTTCATTTATTTTGTTTTTTAGATGCCACATATAAGTGAAATCACATGATATTTGTTTTTCCTTGTCTGACTTATTTCAGTTAGCATGATACCCTCTGGGTCCATCCATGTTATTGCAAGTGGTAAGATTAAATTCTTTTTCATGGCGAAGTAACATTCCATAGTATATATGTACCACATTCTCTTTATCCATTTGTCTTTTGGTTGGAGCATTTAATCCACTTAAATTTAAAGTATTGATAGCTTTGTAGTATTGCCATTTTATTAATTGTTTTCTTATTATTTTTGTAGTTCTCTTGTTTTTCTCTTACATGTTGATGACTCTGTAGTGTTGTGTTTAGATTCTTTTCTCTTTATTTCTTGTATATCTCTTATAGATTGTTGGTTTGTGGTTATCATGTGCTTCAATTATATCAACCTATGTTTATAACAGTATTTTAAGTTGATGGTCACTCAAGTTCAAACATATTCTAAAATCACTGCCATTTTTATGTACTCCCTCCACATTTATGTTTTTGTCATTTTTTTCTTCCTGTGTCTGTGTTTGCATGTATCCATTAATTTACTGTTGTAATTATACATGGCCTTTCTACCTTTGCCTTTTAACCTTTGCACTAGCTTTAGTGTTAGTTGATCTGCTTTTATTATGTGTTTCCCTTTATCAGTGAGACTTTTATTGTGATATTTTTTGTCAGTCATACTTTTTAATTTTTTTTTCTTCTTTTTAAGGAAGTCCCTTTAATATTTCTTATAATACTGGTGTGGTGAATTCCTTTATGTTAATTTTTTGTTTGGAAATATCAATTTTTCTTTGTATGGCTCTTGCTTTTGGTGGTCAAACCTAAGTACTCTTTGCCTATCTGTAGATCCTAAATATTTCTATATTTTATTAAAAGTTTTATAGTTTTGTTTTATACTTTATGATCCATTTTGAGTTAATTTTCATACACAGTGTGAAGTTTAGTTTGCAGTGTTTTTTGGGGGGTGGGCCTATGGATGCATGTCCAATTGCCTCAGAACTGTTTGTTGATCCATTGTTCTTTTTTTAGTTTTTATTTTTAAAGATTTTATTTATTTTTAGAGAGAGGGGAAGGGAGAGGGAGCGAGAGGGAAAAAAAATGATGTGTGAGAGGTACATTGATTGGTTGCCTCTTGCATGCCCCCAACTGGGGATCAGGCCTGCAACTCACGCATGTGCCCAGACTGGGAATCAAACTGATAACCCTTTGGTTCACAGGCTGGCACTCAGTCCACTGAGCCACACCAGCCAGGGCCATTGCTCTTTTCACACACAACTCCACTTCAAATTAAAATACTTGGGGGGAAAGCAGGTATAAATTAAGATTGGTTTTTTTGTCTCTGCAGGCAGTCCTGCCTTAGGCGATAAGTAGTTAACAGCTTTAAGTTTGGCTGCTTGCATCATTAGAAGTCAGAACTGACTTGGGATCTTGGCCTCTTGGGTATATTCATAGGTGACTTTTCTTTCTTTATCCTCTGTTCAGGTGAATCTCAGACCTTGTTGGCAGCAGCAGTTGAAAGAGAACGTGCAGCTACAGAAGAACTCCTTGCCAACAAAATTCAAATGTCTTCCATAGAGTCACAGAATTCTCTCTTAAGACAGGAGAATAGTAGATTTCAGGCCCAGCTAGAATCAGAGAAAAATAGGCTAAGAAAACTGGAAGATGAAAATAATCGGTGAGCATATTTCTTGTTGTTTTTGGTAGCTTTATGATTTTAAAGTACTTAAAAACATGCTGTTGGCTTTTAGCTTCATGGCACTGAGAACTATTGTAAAATACATGCTTCTAGTGTTTAAGAGTCATTAGTAATAGAATATTATAACAAAATACAGTGCTTAGATTCATTGTATTCTTGAAATTGTGTGGCATGTTTTATGTGTATTTGCATTTTCTAGGGAAATGATTCATTACTTTAACCAGATTTGTTAATGGAGTCTATAGCCACAAAATAGTTTGGAGATTATTCATTGGAGTTATTTTTATATTACAAGGGTTTTAGTAATGTTTCCATTTTTCTAAGGTCTAGGTTCTTTGGAAACCACAAGCTATAAAATCCATTTATCTGAACTTGAATGCCGAGGCTATGTAGTGTATTTTTACCCTCAGTTCTTTATTGGAAATTTTACTTTTAAAAAAAGTAGTCAAGTAAAAATGATTTATAAAGTAAAACATCTGATCTTTTGCAAACGTTTTCATAGAGCCCTCTAACCAGCTTTTGCAGGATCTGAACATATAGAATTGTGGTATTCAAAATTACTTTTGGAAAGTCTATTTTTAAATGAAATCTTAATGCAAAGCACTAATAAATAAAATGCACAAAAGTAGTAGTTTGGCTTCTGAGTAAAAACCCAAGTCATCTGGGAAAAGGTAGTTGGAAAATCAATCTGGTAATAAAAATGACTAGCAAATACATAACTGGAGTTAATAAAGAAGTGAGTTTTTAATAGTCTGTACTATCATCTTTTTTGTTTTGTTCCATCCCCTCTGGCTTAATAGGTTCCAGGTTGAATTAGAAAACCTAAAAGACGAGTATGTAAGAACACTTGAAGAGACAAAGAAAGAAAAGGTATTTTCTGTTAGTGTTCGCTTGCCTCTTAGGGCTTCCGTTAGTGAATGCTTAGGGATGGCAGCAAACTAATGAGATGACCAGAAGAAATGAGTGAGCTTACTGCTTTTGGAACTTGGTCTTTAGTAGTAAAACAAATATGAGTACATACTTTTTGTACCTTACTTTGAGATTGACTTACGATGATTTAGTATCATATGAATTATCTATTTCTCTCCATTAGACACTGTTAAATAATCAGTTAGAAGTGGAGAAAATGAAAGTTGAACAAGAAAGGAAGAAAGCAATTTTAACTCAAGAAGTAATAAAAGAAAAGGTATTGAATTTTGTGTTGTTTTATTTTTGGTGTAATCAGTTAGTAGCTCAATTAATAGGGTGATGAACTCTAGTAGGATAATCAGTGGCCTGTTCAGGGTGGTTCCAGAGTAATTTGAATTTATCCAAAGAAATCTGTGATTTCTAGGCTTTGAATTACAAAACCTCTTTTTAAATGAATTTTATGGTCTCTCACTGAGATTAATGTATCTCATTTGGTCTGTAGGCACTTGGAGAGTAAAACTTGTTCACTTTCTTTCTGGTTATTGAAGGTAATTTTTCTAAACAAGAGTTTCCAGTATTTAAAGGTTTGGCATGTACTTGGTAGTTAATATATTAAAACTACCTGTATGTATATTGAAATTACATTTTGAATTTATTTGGAACTTTTAAAAAATATACTGAAAGTAAAATGGATAAGTCAGAAAGTTTTTATGGTTTATAAAACTCATTTGTAATTTTGTTCTAAAGAAATAAGTTTAATTGGTATTGTATAGTTTGAAAGAGTTCATATAGTTGTTTCAATAAGAACATTCTCATTCCATTAAAAATAAACCAAATTATGTTGTAATGTCCGTGGATCCTGAGATGATTTGCTTAAGTCTTATCTGTACTTTTAAATTACTAAATATTGTGCATTTTGCTCTTTAATCTGAACTGAATTTTTTTCCCTTACTCCTTAAGGAACGGAAGCCATTTTCGGTTTCTACCACTCCCACAATGTCACGATCAAGTTCAGTAAGTGGAGTTGAGATGGCAGGGCTACAGGCATCTTTCCTGTCTCAGGTGATGTTTCCTTCCTTCCTTCCTTCCTTCCATCCATTTCTTTATTTCTTTTCAAATGGAAAAAAATTTATTTAGAAAGTTACAGAGGGGTAGAAGTGAGCCAACTGGCTGCGTAGGCTCAGGACACAAGTTACAGAACCAAAAGAAGGGCCCTTGGAGCTTAGGAGAGAGAAAGGCAAAGGTAACACACCTGGGGGGAAAGACAGGGACAGAAAGGTATATACATACCTTTCTTTAAAAACTATGTATTTACTGATTAATTTTAGAGAGGAGGGGGAGAGAAGAGAGAAAAAAAAGAAACACTGATTGACTGTTCCACTTATTTATGCATTCATTATGTGCCCTGACCGGGGACCAGACTTGCAGCCTAGACGTATTTGGACAACGCTCTAACCAACTGAGCTACCTGGCCAGGGCGTTTACTTCTTAAATGTGCTTAGTTCCTAAACTGAATAATGATAAAGGCAATATGTAGATAGTAATTAGCCTGTCACCATCATCTTACCATTCCATATTTGTGAATATTTGTGAAACTGAGGAAGCGGAGATGATTTTTTGCCTTTGAGAAAGTCATAGACATTTTAAAGCAAGAATTGACAGAATCATTTGTTTGAATGTTATAATGGAACACAGTCTATAATAACTGAATAACTATGTGCTTTCTTAATTAACATAGGATGAGCCTCATGATCACTCACTTGGACAAATGTCTGTATCAGCAAATGGAAACAATCTTTATGATGCTCTAAGGATGGGGGCAGGATCCAGCATTATTGAAAATCTACAGTCTCAGCTAAAGCTAAGGGAAGGAGAAATTACTCATTTACAGGTATTGGAAAAATTAAGTATACTATAAAAGTAAATGAAATTTGGCGGGCCATTAAGTAGAATTCTTTATATCCACCTAAATTCTGAGCAAATTGAGAAATAAAATGTAGTAGTGGCTTGTGAAGCCCAAAATGTATCACATATGTTAATGATAAGGGCTAGTTGGAGAAATTAACCAAGGATAAGAGCCAAATTGAACCGCTAATTGCCAGAATTGAGGAGACTTCACTCTGTCACAGGAAATGCTGGGCTGGAGTAGGCCTCCCCAGGTGGTGTAGCCTGTCCAGGAAAGATTTAGGCATCTGGGAGCAGACAGCTCTTAGGCAGGCAGCTTTTCCAGTCATTAAAAATAGGAAGTTGCTGAGCTGAGCATACTCATTTTATTCTTACTGGATTTACCACTTAGATTAGGTTGCTCCGTCTCCTCCCTGAGGAATGAGTGAAGATGGTAACAGAGGTTAGAACTGTAACATTGTGCACAGGAAAGGAAACATCATAAATAGGAAGGGAGTATCCATTCACCTTATCTTGCTGTTTAAAAACAATGTAGTGAGAAATGTTGAAACATTTAACCTATTTTGTGTTAAACTTGATACATTCAGAAGTGAAAGTTTCATCTTCCCATTGTATGGCTTTAGTGAGTTGAAAACATTACTCTTATTAAAGGTGGTCTTGAATTAGGAAAAAATAGATTAGAATAATCTTAATACTTACATTGATGTAGCCCAGCATGCTGTACTTGAGGGCCCAAATTCTTTGGTAGTATGTCAATATTATCTACACAATTGGAGATACATTAAAGTATGGTTTTATTTTTCTAGGTTTTTGTAGTAATTTAGAATAACTGAAATACATGCTATTTCCTTAGATTAGAGAAAAATATAGGGTTGCATAGTTCAAACAGATGGTTGAATTCCCTTTAGTTCTTTATGTCTTTCATAGTAAACCCTATAAATGGTGGTACACCTTGAAGAAAGTTGAAACCCTTTTTTTGGCCACTGTTTCCTTTTACTTAAGACAGAGGTACCTTATGGTTATATGCTGATACACTAAGCAAGATATATTTTGATTTAAATTACTTTCTGGTAATGTTTTGCAGCTAGAAATTGGCAATCTAGAAAAAACACGCTCAATAATGGCTGAAGAGCTAGTTAAATTAACAAATCAAAATGATGAACTTGAAGAGAAAGTAAAGGAGATACCCAAACTTCGAACTCAGCTAAGAGTAAGTATTCTTCACTTAAGGATGAATCTAAAATATTATAATCCAATTACTAAATCTCATTTTTATAGTTTACATAAAATGCATGTACATTAACATATATGTTAATGATCTCTTTGAGAATTAGAGTATTAGTTGAGTAAAGAATTTTAAAGGTGAATCTTTTATGCTTATCATATTATACATTCAAAGTATTTTTCACAATCATTTTTAATCTCATAGGAAAATAACTAGATTTTATTTGGCCAAGGCTCATTTATAATACTTCACTTTTATATGATTTTGGTACTGTTTTATTTATTGATATTATATATATCACAATTAGCATATGTGATATTAGTAGTCACTGTTAAGCCATATATGAATTTTTTGTTTTTTATTTTTTTCTAGGGTAAATGCCAGGTAATACTACAGTGAACTGAAATGACTAAATTTCATCACATGTGCTTAAATTAATGAGAAGACACTGATTAAGCAATATATGGGGGAAATTACAGTTTAGTAGAGATATGATAAGATTGATAGCCATTTGGCTTAGCGTTTGTTTTTTTTTTAATTCCTTTACGTGCTGTTTATTCCAACTGGCTGGAGTATGAGTTTGATTTTTATAAGAGCTGACTATGTACTTTTATTTAGATTGTAATGTGTTTATTGGTGACTTGTATATGATAATATCAAAATGTTCTATACAGTTATTTTACAACTTACAAACAAATGTATTTTGTAGGATTTGGATCAAAGATACAACACTATTCTGCAGATGTATGGAGAAAAAGCAGAAGAGGCAGAAGAACTTCGATTAGATCTTGAAGATGTAAAAAATATGTATAAGACTCAAATAGATGAACTTTTAAGACAAAGGCTCAGTTAATTTCTGAAAATTACATTCCCATCCAACTGAATATAAACTTTTAACAACTGAATGTAGACTTTCAATAAATTCTCTTATAGAATTAGAAAGTGTAATTTATTGCAGAGGTCAAAAATGGAAAAAATATTTGTTTCATAGTATATAGTAATATTTGCAGTTAAATTATTTTGTGCAATATTTGAACTTTATTTTTGAAACTATCTTTAAAGATTTATTTTTAAAGCATTTTTTTTTGCCATAAATAGCACAGAGATTTATTACTTTATCCTTTTATCAATATGGTTAAGGAAGGAAATGGTATTCATACATTGTATTATAGGAAACTAATTGTATCTATAATTTATATGTGTTTGTATATATTGAGGACATTTAATGAGTGATATTAACATATTGAAACTTTGAAATTTTTCACACTTCAATCTTCAACATTTCTAATTACTGTTTATGAAAATGGATGTTAAGTGTCCAAGTATAACAAATTATTTAACTTCTAGTTATTACATTTTTAACTAATTTTTTTTCTTTTAAAGTAGAAGTCACACTGACTTAGAAGTTTAAAGGGTGAATAATTTGAATTTAAAAAGTTTTGTGGTCTCAATATTTATTTCACCCAGATTCCGCAATTAAGTCTATACAAATTTTGTTACCTATCTGGAGAAAGCTGTAGCTGTTCAGAGTTATCTAGGCATGGTTAGATAATGAAAAAAATGTTCTTATACAGATTTGTGATGGTGTCACTAACAATTAAGTGTTTTTGATCAGGTTTTGTTTTTAGTAGTATGTAAAATGAATCAAAGTAATAAAATTAATAACATAATTGCTTTAAAATTAATGTTTTACATTTCATAAAGCCTTATTTTTGGCACATTAAAAATGAATGTTTGATATTATCGAACATTCATTAAAAAATAGAGAAATTATAGGAGTTAATTTACATTTGGTATTTGCAATTCTATGTAATTTATCATTTTATTTTTTTCTTGAACCTTTAAACACAAAAAATAGTGCAGAATAGCTTTAAAAAGCAACTATGCCTTATTTTAAATGTTATTTTGTTCAAAGGTTAACCAGTATGAGTTTTACATTTGTGAAATATTTTAATACTTTTTATTACTGAAAGTCATTTGGCTGCCTTTACTTGCAAATAAAAACTCTCATTTACTTTTTAGGTAAATTTTAAACATTAGAACTTTGGAGTACTAAGTAAGCCATGTTGAAGAGTTTGAATGTTTTTCAGGGCAATTCAAGTGACTTTTTTTTGTATTCCAGACAGTATTTCTGTTGGTGGATCTCTAATGTTTAGCATTATTAAGGATTCTTTCAGTGTGAGCCACATTCATAAAATTAATTTTCTATATTTTGGTGGTAATCAGGGTAATAGCTTTTGTTCACTTTTTTTTTTTTTTTTCATATTCAGGGGTTGACAGGCAATGACAAGGCTGATAACAATAAGAAACCTACAGAATTGGAAGATAAAGAAAATTTAATTTTCAATATTCTGTCAAGTGTTTGAAACGAGAAGTTTAGGAATTATGAAATTGTTCTTTTAAAATATCCATTAGTGAGGAGAAAAAGAACCCTTTAGTTGTGAAGAAATGATTGATATAAAACTATAACTTCCAATTTTATAATATTAAACATTCTCTTAGTCCTTATTAACATTAATAAAACTCCAGTAAGTAACAATACATATTGAATATTGGTCATATCTTGCTTTGTCATTAGTTAAGACTTCTCTGTCCAAGTTTTAGTAAAATAATATTTACCTTTTAATGGATAAGAATACAGTTTGCAGTGAGAAGTTTCCATTCTTGGGAGAAAACAGAGACATTATAAATCTTAACTTCAAAAATATTTTAAAAAGTAAAAGAGGTATACACTTTTTTTTTTAAAATGTATAGATATCTAAGCGCAGATGATAGTCATTCTTCCAACTCTTTGGAAGCAGAATTGAGAATACCAGTTCTTTCTTTCCCTTTGCCTCTTTTTTGAGAACTTCCAGTGTTACAGTGTTTAGCACATGGGCATGTCTCAAATGTATGTATACTGTGATTTAAGATATCCTAAATATGGGTAATTTCTGACCTAAGGAAACATTAGTTTCTGTAGTTAATAAGAATGTTCAGAAAAATTTCTTCTCTGTGATCCCTCAGTTGGCGTTTGATTTATTAACTGAAAGTTTTATTCAAATGCTTATTAAATGTATATGATTTATAGTCTTTAGAAAGTAGTCACAAGGAAAAAAAAGAAAATGACTGTAGATATTTTAATCTTGTGTTACTATTTGTTTAGTATGCATACATTTGTACTAGTGTTTCATAATTTTTCATTTTCATTTTCAAAATTAATTTACTCAGTTTTTAAGTATATTTTATAAAGGGCTGAAAGTATGATTTAAACTACAAATTGATATAAATATTTTAAGTGAAATATAAATAATAAGCATGGATCTAATTTGAATAAAGATTTTAAAATAGTAATAATGTATATCATTTTTAACAAAGTGTTCAATACCAATGAAGGGAGGTAGTATTGTTTTATGAAGATAATATAACTTGTATAAGTTTGGAATTCATGTTTTAAGAAAATGAGTAATAGCCCTGGCTGGTGTGGCTCAGTGGATTGAGCACTGGCCTGCAGACCAAAAGGTTGCTGGTTCCATTCCCATTTAGGAACATGCCTGGGTTGTGGGCCAGTTGGAGGTGTAAGAGAGGCAGCTGATTGCTGTTTCCCTCACATATCATCTTTCCCTCTCTTTCTCCCTCCTTTCCCCTCTTCCAAAAATAAATAAAATCTTTAAATTCTGTTATTTAAAAAAATGAGTATAAACCCTAATTTTGTATGTTATTGAGACTATTATTAGTATTAAGCATAGTTTTTTCTAATGAAGATTTAGTTTGAAAAACAATTTTAAGACTGATTGTAACTAATTAGTAATTGTAAGGATGATGTGTACCTTTTAAAAATCTAAAATAGTACCAAAGTATTCTGAAAGTCTTATATTTCTTTATTTAAATAATCAGATATGTTATCCTCTATTTTTAAGTTCATATGGTTTGTGCTATTGAACTCTGCAACTTGTTCCCTAAAGTACTTATAAACTTTTGCTTTTACATATATCCATATTACCTTTTAGCCAATCAAGATCCTTAAACAAAATAGAATAAAAATTAAAAGTATATTTCTTCTTAATATTTAAATGCTGTTTTCAAAACATACAAAAACCCCAAATGCTTCCATATTCCACGATTACAATGCAGAGAATTACTCTTCGTGCTGTCCAGACTCTATTCAGTACACTGCCTCATTCCCTAGTAAATTTAATTTTAGGATCCTCAAGTAATACTAAGTAAGAGGTATGAATGAAAAAGGGGCCCTGTAGAAAACTGGAGAAGCTCAGGGGGCTACTTGGCAGGCCTGACAAGCCCAGTGTCAGGAGAGTAACCACACAGGGTGATGTGATCCAAAATTCCTAACTAGGTGGTCATGGTTTATCTTTACCTTAAGTGAGCTCTGTACATTGTTTTAATTTAGGTAACATTGGTTAATAACATAAGTTTCAGGTGTATAAGTTTATAATACATCATCTGTATATTGTGTGGTCATCACCCAAAATTTGGTCTCCTTCCATCACCAATATATTTGACCCTCCTTTTTCCTCTTCATCCTCCCCTCACCCCCTTTCTCTTCTGATAATCACCATGCCATTGTCTGTGTCTATGAGTTTATTTTGTTTGTTCATCTGTTGCTTTCTGTTTTATATCCTACATATGAGTGAAATATAACTAGCTAAATGGGAAATGCAAGTCAAAATGACAATAAGTATCACCTCACACTTGTTAGAATGGCTATTATCAGTAACACAAGAAATAACAAGTGTTGGAGAGGTTGTGGAGAAAAGGGGATACTTTTACTCTGTTAGCGGGTGCACCCTCTATCAAAACCAATATTGAGGTTCCTTTAAAAATTAACAGTAGAGCTCCTATATGACCCTGCAATCCTCCTTCTGGGTATCTACCCAAAAAAGTTTGAAAGCATTTATTCATAAAGATATATGTACCCCTATGATCATTATAGCACTGTTCAGAATAGCCAAGACATGGAAACAACCTAAGTGTTCTTTGTCTAATGATTAAAGAGGAGGTGGTACATATATACAGGGGAATAATACTCAGCCATAAAAATGATGCAGTATTGCCATTTGTGACAATACAGATGGATGTTGAGAGCATCGTGCTGAGTGTCCATTGTTCTTGTGCATCTAAGTTAACATACCTTTGAATTGACAGAGTAATCTTTTCTAGACCTTTTGGAGGTATAACCACCCTCACAGGAGCAGCACTTAAACTCCACATTGTAATCTTGTTGCCTGAATACCATCTCTATTTTCTGTATGTTAAATGTTAACTATCCGGTACCCATCAATGTAAAAGATGTGTGTATCTCTCCATTTTGCTTTTTGTTCAATCACAAAGATTCCCCCGACTTGCTTTGCTTTCTCCCACCTCCTTAATCTACCGTGAATGACTTTCATTTAACCTTCTTTATGCTTCTTTGATTCTAAATGTATAAAATGAGAACTGCCATTTTATCAATTCAATGAGACCTTGCTTCTGGGCATGTCCTCAGTTTGGTTCAAATAAACTTTAATAAACTCTTACAAGATTTTTTATAGGTTTGGGTGTTCTTATATCAACAGAGGTAATGGGAAGATTTTCTATTTAATATTAAAGTCTCTTCTAATGGGCAGAGAACGTCAATTTTATACAATGCCATGCCCCTTTGTCTCTTGAAATAAACTTTTTTAGAGAGAGGGGAAGGGAGGGAGAAAGAGGGGGAGAAACATTGATGTGAGGGAGAAACAGTGATTGGTTGCCTGCTGGCATGAGCCCTGAGTGGAGACTGAACCCACAACCCAGGCATGTGCCCTGACCGGGAATGGAACTGGGGACCTTTTGCTTTGCAGGAATATGCCCAACCAACTGAGCCACACCAGTCAGGGTACAATCTTAATTTTATTTAATACATATTGTTTAAAAATCTGTGGTCATGATGATAATAGGAAATAGTGCCTGCATTATTACCGTGTGAGGAACTCACTTATGTAGGATCAGTCCCTTATCTACTATTCTGAACTCTTAAGAACGATGTGAAAACTAAATGTTTTATGTAAGTTTGCTGTCAAATATGCTTTGGTTGTAGAGCCTGGCCTGCATTGCAATTTACAGGTTTTATCTCACTTGGTGTGACTACTCACACATTGCTGCAGTAATATTGTGTGAGATGGTGGGGTGCTGACCCAGGGCACGTTGAGGGTGTCAGGTAGTAAGTAAATGGTATACATACTTCTGGCTATAAAAACAATTCAGGAATCCATATGGTCCCAGGGAATTTGAAAAGGGATTTTATACCTGAATTTTAATCTTCAATCTTTTGAGGTTGACACCATTATCATCTCCTTTTTTTTTTTTCTTTTTTATTGCTTCTAGAGAGAGGGAAGGGAGGGAGAAAGGGAGAGAAACATCATTTGGCTGCCTCCTATATATCCCGCAGCTGAGACAGAACACACAACCCAGGCATGTTCCCTGACCGGGAATCAAACCCCTAACCTTGTGGTTTGCAGGATGATGTCCAACCAAATGCTCCACACCGCACAGTTCAGGGCTATCATCTCCATTTTTAAAGTGAAGAAAGGTTAAGTAATTTGCTCAAGATCATATGGCAAGGAGATGGCAAAGTTGGGATTCTAATTTGTGCAGTTTGGCTCCAGAGTCTGTGCTGTTAACCATTAAATACATGGTGCAGCTTCCCTCTTACTGCTTTTTTTGTAAAATCTTAAGCATATCATATAGATAAACTGTAGCATAACATCAACTTCAGGCAAAATTTATTTGTTTAAAACTTTAATCCTTCTGAATTTACAATTTCATCTTGCTTTAATCTTGGATATATCAGAACGAATAAACTATGTTCTGCTGATAGTTTTTTTTTTTTTTGCCTAACACTTTATAAGTTATTCAAAATACAAATAGATGAGCAGCAAACTTGCATTTAGCAAACTTGTACTAAAACGTACAAATTACGATTATACAAAATTTCAGACTTACACAAAAGTGAGAACAGATTATGTGTCCCATGTTCTCATTAACATACACTCTGTTCATTGGGATGTGGCCTAGCTTGGCCCATATATACTTAATGTGCGTGTCAACCCACACTGATGAATTGATGCAGATTTCAGCCATGATTTTAATTACCATATTTGAGTACGGATATCATTATGATCCAGAGTGTTTCTGTAGAAAGTAACTACCTCGGCCTAGGCCAGGGAGCCCAGTCGGTTAAAGTGCCATCTCGATACGCCAAGGTTGCAGTTTCAATCCCCAGCCCAGCACATACAAGAATCAACCAATGAATGCATAAATGAGGGGAACAACAAATTGATGTTTTTCTCTCTCTTTCTCTCTCTCCTTTGTCTACAAATCAATAAAAACATTTAAAAAGTGACTAAATCATCACCTATTTGGTTACTTCTGTCATAATTCATTTAGAAAACAGGATAAATGTGCTTCATTCTTTTATTTACCAGTTTTCACAATAAGTGAGTTCCCTTCTGTCATTAAAGATGACCATTGAGGTTTTTGGCTTGCGTATTTGGTTGATTGTTTGGGTCTTTTAAAATATACTAAAATATATTTTAATTATGTAAATATTAAATAAATATACATTTAAATATATGTACAAAATATATTTAAATATATTTCAGTCTATTACAGTTACCTTTATTGATGCTTGAAATTATCTTCAGCAAGAGGGAGCTTTTTCAGATTGATTCCTGGTGTGACCCCCATGGCCTTTGCTTCCCTGCTTCCTCATGCAATATATTTCATGTTCATTTTGTTCATTTTCTGCCCCACACCCAGGATTACCGATTTTTCTGGTGTGTCTGTTTCTTTCGATGGGAAATGGTTTATAGTGATCTCAGTCTGAGTACATGGGGAGTTTGTTGCTATGGACGAAAAAGGGGTGGTGTAATAAATCATAAATTCCTAACAGGTCAGGTCATAGTGGGCCCTCATGCCCCAGGCCTAAATTGCTTTAGTAAAATGTTTTTAAGCAAGCCCCTTTCATTGTTCTGTCACATATATCAATAGGTTAACACAACTTTTAAATGTCAGAATTAATATCCCTCAAGAGAGCATATAATTTTAGCTGTCCTGTAATCCAATTCCTATCTTGCTTTCTCTCACCTCCATGTAATCTTCCTTAAATTCCCTCCTAAATTCCAACTGCATAAAAGAAACTGAAAACTGTTATTCTCTGGAGCATTTGCAAGTCTGCTTCACAGCAGTTGTCAATTTTGGCTGGAATAAACTCATAAACATACTTTAAAGGTTTGGACATTTCCTACATTGACATTGCTAGAGTTTGTTTCTAGGTCTTTTCAGTGGATGATGACTTCTTTTTCAAAGATAAACTATATTGTTAATTCATATTGATACCTCTGATTCAAATACAGAACTACAGAATTTTTATATAACCTCATCAGACTTGCATCTATACTGCACGTCAAAAGTTTGAGCTTCAAAGATACCATCTTAATCCTATTCGGTTTACCCCTACCAACATTGCCATCAACAATTTGGCTATGGAAAAGTTTATGATTCTTTTTTAATTTACTCCTGAGGGTACATTCCACTAGTATGTACAGACTGTGTTTCTGTTACTGAACAGCAATTAGGGTCCTGTTGCCCTTCGCCACCCTCTATGCAAAATTCCAGAGTCAAAGGTTTGGTGCTAAAGGAAAGGAGTCTTTATCTAAAAGCATCACAGTTTTGAAGTAACAGCTTTCCACAGGCGTTAGCCATTTAAACCTGTCAATTAAGGCTGAACTCTTTAGTTATAGCTTTAATCACTGGCGTTGGGGCCTTTCAAGGCCTGGCAGATCCACTCCAGATTAGGGCAGACAGAAGAAAATGCTCAGTGGTGGGGATACTTGACATGCCTTTATTCATGGGTGGGTGAGCCACGGGGCTGCAAGCTGTGTGTGTGTGTTCAGAGGGAAGGCCCGACCTTAAGTACTAGAGACAAAGCACACCGACAAAAAACCAAAATAATATATAACATAGCGTGATTCCGCGCATGCGAGCCCACTTCAGTTATAGGAACCGTTTATCGGACCCAGTCTGGAGTCTATGAGAACACTATTAGGCCCAATCAAGGTTGTGAGAAACTGCTTCCCTTAGTTACCAAGACACCTGGGTGAGGAAGCCAGACTGCCTCCCTTTACCCTACAATCACTTAAACCTATCAAGGCTAAACTCTTCAACACCTGAGTTCTATCATTCCCCCTGTTAGTTTTTATTTTCTTATTTCTATAGGGTTAATTTAGAAATTAAAACAAAAGATACAAAAGCTACACAGTTTTAGAATAATGGCAGGCTTCTGCCTCAGAGCTCATCCCCTCTAGAACGCTGAAAGAATAACCCTGCCGCTCTCTGCCAGGCCAGCCGAATCCTAGGCTGCGCCAAGAGTTTTTTCACACCCAAAATACCGTCTTCCGTTGGAAACGCAGGCAGCTGCAGCACGACCATCCAGGAATCCTCGAGGACAGAGACAGGCAGTGAGCTTGAGAGTCTGCCCTCATTTTATTTCCATGAGCTCTGGAGGCATCCAGCTTCTCAGCCAATCCCTGTCCTAGGCTGTTTACCATTGCCTTGGCAAACTCCTCCTCCGGCCCCTCCCTAACTTCTCCCCAGGATCTAATCAGATCTCTCGGTATCATTTCTACAATAAGTCATTTGGGATAGTTCTGTTGTGGTATGCCAAAACTGGAGAACATTTAGACTCATTTAATTTCATTTTACTCTGAATCATTAAGGATTGCTTTTTAAAAATTTAATTTCATTTTATAATGTACAATTTTTACTTGATTCTAAAGTCACATTTATCAAATGTATATATATTCAGAGAAGTTATCTTATTACATATTCATCTCCCTTCCATTGTGCTTTTCCATTCAATATGTCCTGCAGTTTATAGAGATATTCCTCAATCCTTTTCCACATCCACATAGTTCAACAGTGTGTGGGTATGCCATAGTTTATTCATTCAGTCTCCTATTAATAGATATTTGAGTTTACTATAATGTCAATTTGAAGACAGTTGAAAATTAAAGTTTAACATGGATATTTTAGGGGGAATTCATGTTGAAAATGGCTGGCAGTATACAGAACCCAATTTCATGCTCTTAAAGCCCCATCACATTTCCTCTGAGTCCGAGTGACCACAGCTTAACATGGAGCCATTTAAAATAGTGGCATATGCATGCCACATCAATCTGATGGGCTTGTATGTCTTTACAAGGAGTCTAACCTATTTTTTATGAGCCTTTCTTGCATATTTTTTAAACTATGTTTTTATATATTATAAACCTCTATATGTATATCTGTATATATACACATAGTTTTTATTTTACATAACTCAGTGGCAAACTAACCTGTTAAAAAACTTATTTTAAATGACTTCAATTCATTTTGAATCAACAGAAAAGCTGCATTTCCTTTGCTGCAAAAATATGGCAAAAATAGGATGGTGGCAAGTAAGCTGAGAAAATCGTTTTTGAAAATTACTGTCATTTGTATGGGGTGGGCAAAGTATGAAATATGCAAAGTCTTTTACATAAATAGTAAAGGAATTAATACTGTAAAGTGCTTCAGAACAATGGTGCATGTCAAACACCGTATGTATTTTTGCTTTATTTGAAAAGAATCCAGATAACATTCCTAATTTATGGGGTTCCTAATGGAACCTGTAGGAAATCTCTAAATAGCATCTAAAAACATTTTAAAAGAATGTAAGCCTGTGGAAGTAAACTGTTGTGTTTCCCTATGATCCTATTACTTAACACTGGTGACTTCATGTGTCTGAGCATGTTGATTTTGATTGTATCAACCTTTACTTCAGTTATGGGAACCGTTTATTTTGATTGATTCCGTGTAATCCATTCAAGTGGATCAGTATTGAATGATCAACTCTAGTACCCTCTATACTTCACAGTGTAGGAGATGGACATTCAAATTATTATGACAAAAAAAAAAAAAACCTGAACAATTAGAATTCAATAATTATAAAATAAAATGATAAAAATTAAACTCCACAAAGTATCATTTGAATTTGATGAGTTTTCGGATAGCACGCAGAGAGGCAAGTATATTAGTACATAATGTGCGTGGACTCCAAAGAAACCTCTTCACCAGAAAGTGCCCCAGATCTGAAAGTTAGGGCGGCAACTTCTGCCTTAATTAAGAAAACAGTGAAAATATGCCTCTCTACAACGCAATCAGAATGGAGAGTCGGGTTTTCCAACACTCTATCCCAGTGTCCTCCATCAGGGCCCGAGAGGGCAGTCGGGCTTCTTCAAGTCCCCCTGCATTTTCCAGCTCTAGCTCTGCGGAGCCTCGCACCCAGACCCTCGGCCGAGAGCGCAGGGAGCGCGGGCGTGTCTAGCCCCACAAGCAGGCCCGCCCAGGCGGGCTCCGCGACCCGGCTCTCGTCCCGCCTCCCCGCGCTGGCTGGCCGAGGTTCCGCGGCTCCCTGGCGCCCCCTGGTCCGGCTCTGGCGTGCAGGTTTCCGGTGAGTCGCAGTAGCTGAATATGACGACTCTCTCTTCCTGAGCAGACACCATCTCCGCCGGCTTCGCCCTGACTCTGGAGTTCAAGGTGGGACTAGCGCCGGGATCCGCGGAGCTTTCACCATCCTCTTCGTGCCTCGGCCCGGCTGCGCGCACCTCTGTCGCTCCGAGGCGCGGTGAGCGCTCCTGGTTTCTTCCGGTGCAGCCACCAGCCGGGCCCCGGGCGGTCGACCCCTTCACCGTGGGCGTAGCGGGGAGGATTCCCGGTCCCCGGCCGACGCCGCGTGGACCCGGTTTCCTAGAACCCTCTCAGGCGCGCTGGGGACCAGGGTCGGAAAGTGTGTGGTGCGGGGCAGGGTGTGGGCGGCCCTCGGGACCTCTGCACCCCTGAGGCAGCCGGGGCAGTGCCTGGATTGGAGAACCTGGTCGCGGCTTGGTGGCCGCGGAAGGGTGTTCGCCGCTGACTCTGCAGCCTGGTTCCCCCACTGACGTTCTAGCCGAGCTGGCACACCTCCCCCGGGCATCTCAGGCAGCCAGAGCCTCTCATCCCCTGCCGTGTACTGACCGTGAGGTTTGTGGCATCGCAGGGCGGGCTGTTTTGGAGTCGTTGTGAGTTTCCGTGTGTTTAGCTTTTCATTGTCTACTGCCATCTTTAAACTTTCCTACGTCTGTCACAGAGCAGTGCTCCATATCACCCACTGTGGTCCCCATCAGCCGTGGCGTTTCACCTCTCATCATCCTTCAGGCATTTTCCTTTTGTCTACCCCGTTTAGGCCTCTGGGAATCCAGTCAAGGGATGCAGGAGTGGAGGGAGCCAACTGGTTTGTGCTGAAGGAAAAAGTACCTCAGCTGGTAAAGCTTCTATCTGCTGGAGAAGGACCTCCACCTCTCCCCGGCGGGACTTGCAGGAGGATTCGACAGCACAAAGGCCTCTGCCTGAACCTGGGGATGTGGTATCTTGCACTACCAGCTACCCACTTCTAGCTTATGCAAGTGAGTCCGTGCCCTCTGCAAAAGCCAGGTCTCTGATCTGAGTCTTTAGATTTTCCCATGACCTAAGCATTATGTGTTCATGAATCCGTGGCTTTAGTTATGGCTAGAGCTCAGTCCAGGACAATGGACTTGGAAAACCAAAGCACAGGACTTGGTCATAACAATGACTTTATTTCTGGGAAGGATGAGTCAAAGGATAGGATGTCCTGTCTCTTGAACAGTGAGGCTTAAGTAGTAGTGGGATTCAGTGAATAGGATTACTACCTGAGAACCCTGCCAGTTGTTTGCTCCTAGGAATGTTTTATCTGCCTGTACAAGTTGATGCCTGCATAAAATAGGCTGCCTCCTTCCTGCTCAGCCTTCCAGTCTGGTTGAGGGTGGTACCTGTAACTCTGCTGCTTGGTATTCATGAAGGCAAAGAAAGGGCACCAGGAGCTAGGCTAGGCCTTATATCACTAAATGCCAGCCCCTTTGTGTACAGGCTATCTCATAAATCATTTTTTTCTCTTAACATTTCCATTAATTCAAAACATCACCTGGAGTGTAAAATCTACCTCACCATCTTTTTAAGGTATATATTTCATTTCTGACAGGTTTTATATATCTGAAACTTCACAACAGCTTCTGAGTGGTTTTGAGGATTAAAGAGGTAAATATTTTCATTATAAGATACTGTTACTATTAAAATGTACTTTTACTTTTATGAAATTGCTGTCAACTGAATGTTTAATAAAAGTTCTAACCAAAAAGATTAATTCAGATCACCTTTACCACAGATAATAGTATATTCTTTAGCCACACCTACATTATATTTACACTCTAGAGAGGAAAAGATTTCTTCTTGGTGTCCCCATTGTTCAGTGATGATCTGTTCACCTTGGAACTTGAGGCTTGATTGATTGTAACCGTCTGTTTCTAAGAGCCCCATCTTTACTGCTCCCACAGGGGCATCTAACCTGAGGCCCACAGGTGCATGCAGCCCAGGAGGGCTGTGAATCCAGCCCAACACAAAATCGTAAATTTACTTAAAGCATTATGAGGGTTTTATGTGATTATGTGTCACTGTGTATTCAATCCATGGCCCAAGACAATTCTTCTTCCAGTGTGGTGCAGAGACTCCAAAAGGTTGGACATCCCTGCACCTAGTTAACGAGGACGGCTTTTGAAAGTTTGGTTTTCCAGTGTGCCCCTGTGACTGCAGACTGTGCTGGGGAGCAGCTAAACTGTAATATGGCTCTATCACCTTCTGGAAAGAACACTTTTTTTTTTTTTAATGTTGCTTCAACAGCAAGTCTTTTTTTTTTTTTTGAGATTTTATTTTTTTATTCTTAGAGAGAGGGGAAGAGAAGAAGGAGAGAGGGAGAGAAACTTTGATGTGTAAGAGAAATACCGATCAGTTGCCTCTCACATGCACCCCATCCAGGGACTGAACCTGCATCCCAGGCATGTGCCCTGATGGAAAATCAAATCAGCGACCTTCGCTTTGCAAGATGATGCCTAACCAACTGAGCTATACCGGTCAGGGAGCTTTTTTTTTTTCTTAATGGAGAAGAGATAACACTGAAGGGAACCAAGAATGATTATTGTCTATGATACTGTGATTATTGTCTGTGCTATATAGGAGAAATCTGGTACAAGAGATTTAATGTTTATGGGATGAGTTAGAAATGTACTAAGGTCTGTGACCATTATCTTTTCACAATTCTAAAGCAGGACAGGGAGAGTTTAAGCGTCCAGTCTCTGAGGCGGACTGCCTGGATTTCAATCCTGGAGTTTTCTGTCTTAGCTATTACTATCATAGACTGTCATACATACCAGAAGATAAGCTTCACAAGGGCAAGGAGTTTAGTTCTTGACTGCATGTTCATTGCTTCATCCTTGGTACTTAGAGTACCTGGCACATAGTATATTCTGACATACTGCTTGTGATTATTCGTTTTATTCAGCATATACACACTTGCTCAGAGCCATGGCACTTCCTTTTTCTTTTGTCCCCCTGGCATGTTTTCCCTGTTCCTTATTATTCCGGTTTCAGCTCAAATGTTACTGAGCACCCCACACCCCACCCAACATGGCTTTAAATATTTATTTAATAAACACATCGAATTAAACATGCCAGGAACAGCTAAACACTTTATCAATATTTAACTCAAAACAACCCTATGAGGAAAGCTTATTATAAATTCCATTTTTACAGATGAAAAAGCTAAGGCACAGAAAGGTTAAATAACTTGCTCAAGGTTATACAGCTTAGGAAGCTGCAGCTGGATTCAACCCAGTTAGTCTAGTTTTAAAGTCTTTGTTCAAGCATCAGCAAACTGGGTCATATCAAGGCCTTCCTCCTATTTTTGTAAATAAAGTTTTATTAGAACACAGCCACCACCACTCCTTTAGCAGAGGCCATGGCTGCTTTCCTGACGAAGGCACTGTTCAATAGTTGTCACAAAGACTACAGCCTGCAAAGTCAAAAATATTTTACTCCTTGGCCCTTTCCAGAAAAAGTTTTCCAGATCCTGGTTTATTTGATTCATAGCCCTTGTCATCATCTGAAGTTGTGGGTTTGATTGTTTATTTTATGTCTCTTGCATTAAGCTATAAGCTCCATGAGTGCAAGGGGTCTTTCATGCTTTGTTCTCCTCAGTATTCTTAGTTCTGATAGGAAAATTCTGAGATGTTCTCAATTAAATTACAGGGGCCAGAAAGTGAGAGAAAGAGACAGACCTGTTAGTCAGTGCATGGCTGTGGGCCAGCTAACAACAGACGGTTCACACTCCTGTTTTGCTTACTGGGATTTTGGGTGAATTTCCAGGTGATTATTCCGCAGATTATTTTAGCCAGGCACCATCAAACCCCAAGAGCCTTGCTTGTTTACACGTGGGCTTTTCAGACCTGTCCCAGTCAATCCACAGGAGCTGACATTTCTTCCTGTGGACTCTGCCGTCCCAGAGCTGGTGCTTCACCTCCCCCACCCCTTTACCTCTATCTACACGTAGATTCTTGCAGACCACGCCCTTCTTCCTGCTTTCCTCCTACTTGATGCATAAAAAACTCCAGGCTGACAGATATGCTGTTGGAAGTTTAGACTCCATGCCCCAAGACCCGTCTTCTTTTTTTGGCTGGCTTCTTTGGCTTAGTAAAACCTTAGTTATAAAAAGACTTGCAGCCATAGAAGTTAAAATATTTTAGTGTCACAGCTCCTAACACAGTGCCTGGTGGATAACAGGTGCACAGTAAATATTTGTTGAACAAAGGAACATTGCTCAGCGATGTAGCAAAGTTCATTGTAATTATGCTTAGCCCTTGATTTCTTTGATTTTTAAAGGATATGTCTTAATGAACATGTTTGCAATGTGATCTGTAGGTTTGGAGGTTGCTATGTTAATGCTGCTTGTCTTTGGACTATTACTGCATGACATCCCACTGAGCAGCCAAGATGAGGCTTCTTCTGGGGCCCATGGCATTCCGGGAGAACCTCTGTTTAACTATGCCAGCATCCGCTTGCCAGAGGAGCACATTCCCTTCTTTTTGCACAATAATGAGCATATTGCCATGGTCTGTAAGAAAGACTCACATTGTCCTTATAAGGTAAGTATTATTCCTTTTCCTCTTATTTATTAAAAGTGTGCAATTTAGACTAGCTTAATAATTCTGCTTTATAACTTGAAGGTAGAATTTCATCTTTTGGTAGTAACTGTAAGCCAATTATTGTATTTCATGTAATGCTTTTAAGTGACCAAACTTTGCTTAAAATGATGTCCTACTCACAGCAGTGAGATTTAAAATCTAAATCATTAGTAAAAATAAATAGGCAACTAGTACTATTTGTATACTCCGAAAATGAATCAAATTATATTTTATGCACAAAAGGATAATATTTGGTTCAAGGTGTGAAATTCTTTTTCTTTCAACTACACCTAAGAGGGTCTCATAGCACTTAATTTTGATAATAACACCACTACCCTGTCTCCACATAATTAAGACTGCTACTGTAGCTTTCCTTCTGTTTTAGAGTTGTTGGAAAGGTCACAAATTGGAGCCCATTAAGAGGCCTCTTGAGGCCCTAGAGATCAAAGCTGGGCAGACTAGACACTTCCTTTCCCACGGTGCTGGCACAGGAAGCCTGCTGAGAAGCAGGCCTGGGACCCAGACTTGGGAGTCAGACCACAGTGCTCCTGAGCTGTGCACAGGAGCTTTCCAGGCTCTCCGGCAGACAGCAGCTGTGGTGTTGCCCATGGGCTGCAGGACTTTCCATATCTGTGGGGTCTCTGCTGATCTTGATGGATGAGTAAATTTGTTGATCCATTTAATTTAGCTTTGATTCTTTTGGTGATAGAAATTTCATTACATTTTATTTTATTTGTATTTAATTTGTTATTGTATTTTTTTCCATTACTATTTATCCCCTTAGAAATCCCATTTTAGATGACCCTTAAGAGACTGATCAGTTTGCTCACTGAAGAAAGGCCGTTCATGAAGCTGCCTCCAGAAATTTCAATTCAAATGGCCTTTGGTAGTCTAGGTAAAGCCTAGACTTTTGTTTAGGGGACAGACTGAGTAGGAGGTGGTGATTAAAGATACTGTTTTTAAGAAACTTAAGACTACTTACTCTTCTTAGAATTGTTATTTTTATTGCATGAGTATGTATTATAAAATATAAAAGTGATAGTTCTATAAAGCTTTGTCTTCTTCATGGAAAAATCTAAGAGTTCTTTCTGAATGTCAGAATATGGGAGCCCAGTCTAAATGCATGTTTTATGTTCTAGAAACACTTAGGAAATCTAAAGTACTGCTGGGGCTATGAGGGATCCTGCAGACCAGAGTTCAGGTTCAGTTACCCTGTTTGCACCTATGTTGACATGGGATGGTAAGTTTCCAGATGGACTAATTCCTCCCCTTTAAGTCTTCTTTCTCTGCCCTGGATGCTGATACCCCAATTCCCAGTTGGGCTTTTTTGATTTTAGATAGTAATTCCTTTAGATATCAGTTTGTTTACACAGTCATGGATTCAAATGGACTCCTTCCCTTTATACACACACAGGAATATCTGTCATTTCCTCTGCCAGAGGGAGAAAACAGTATATAGAGCACAAAAACTATTTCCCCTTAGAAAACATGAAGAAGATAAATTGATGTTTTCCTCATGACTCTGGAGGGGAAGTTAAGTATAATTACTATTTTCAGAACATGCACAGCTAATGGAGTAAGGAAAATATAGTAATCACCAGTTAATTCTCTTTAGTTTCAGATGACACTAACTTCACACATTTATGTGTGTATTTGTATTATAAGGGAGTGCATCTGTAAATAATGTATTTTGGTAATTTCATGTAGCAAGGGTTTATTTTAGGAATATTGTGATAGTTTACTAAAAAAAAATTAATGAAAATCTTATAGCAATTTAACCTTTAGAAAGGAGATTCAAATTTCAGAAAAAGTAAAAAGGGAAAAAAATGACAGAATGTCTTTGTTTTCAAATAGGACAGACACCCTGGAGTCAGCCCAGGACACGTTCTGGAAGCAAGCTGACTTTGGATATGCTGGAGCGCGGCTGCGGGAGCTGCGTGTGCTCTGCCAGCCTGAGCAAACGGTGGGATGGCCTCGTGGTCACAAACGTGCACTTAATGTATTTGTGCCCTTTAGATCATGATGTGAAGACAAGGGAGACAGTGCTGTGAAAGGACTTCTTGCCCTCATGTATTTATTGGCCTAGATTTTTATTTAAATTCTAAAAACATGTTGTTCTGTGTCCTTTGGTAACTGTGTCCTCATTTCACACATATATTGGATGGCCATATTTTGAGATAGTTAAAATATCACTAGGTTTAGCATTTTTCCCCCAACATGTGCTAAAGAGGATAAATTTATAAATTGTATCTTTACATATTTCCTTGCAAGTAGTTTGGGACAGATGATTCACCCCAGTTTGCAAATGGCTGTTCTATATGTGAGTTCACAAACATAACAGAGAGGCAGGGCAGAGAGGAAAACAGGATCCTCAGAGACGTCAAGCAACTTTTTAAGACCACACAACTTCTACACAGTTATACATCTAGAAATAGAATGCAGCTTTTCTGTGTGCTGTCAACTGTGCCACATTGCACAGAGCTGGTAAAATAAATTGTCGCCAAGAGGCGGTTTGGGGTAGTCAGAGGAAGGACGGGGTCCACACTACAGGATTCAAATCGTGATTCTTGGACAGTTTTCTTTTTTTCAATTCTGCTTTTACACAATTCCTATTTCAGAGCTTGTGGTAAGGATGATACGAGATTCTGTATATAAAAATGCTCAGTGCAGGGCCTGGGTCCCAGCAAAGGGCTCAGTGTTCATTTTTAAAGGACTGGGAAATTGCAAGCACTTATGATTAAGGTCTATTTATCTTCCAATGGTTTTGAACCCTGGCCAAATCTCTGACATCTCAGGCATCTCCTTTATCTCCAGGCAATCCAGAAAAGTAAAAAAAAAATTGTTTTAAATACTCTTGCATTAATAAAACAATGTATGTTCTATATCACTTTTATAGGATGTCACATAATAGAACTTTAAGCAGTTCTCGCAAGGAAGCATGACATTAACCTGCACTGCTGCAGGTTGCCTTTAACAGATGTTGTTTTATATGTTGAATCCTCTGGCCTGAGTCTAGCTGTTCACATGGAAAGGACAAGGGAAGAGCCACAGCCCACCTTGCACACCTCTTCCCAGGCAGTTTGTAGAATGCTTTCTTGGCCATGATCTACCTCCACAGGCTTTGTGCTACCAGAGTATGATCCCTTACCAACTGTGGATTCCAAAACACCGTCCAGACCAAGGTGAAGTCCTTGTGTTCCTGGGAGTTATGGGAAAAACAATGAAATGGCATTTAAATCTAGAAATAAAATCATTGAAACTCTCTCTTTCAACACAAACCAGATTGGGAGAGACAGGAACAGGTTCTGATAGTTGAATCTTAAACTCATTTATTTCAGTGATTTAGAAAACACTGCCCTCATGTTACTGTTGAGACAGGGACTCATGGTTTGCAGAGAGTACCTCTTATATTGTCATGCTGCCCTTTCAGCCTTGTATTTTAATGTCTTGTGTGCATTCTTGTTTTATTTGGCTTGTCTTTGAAAAATGCTTTTTCACACAACTTGTGGTGGTGATGGTTGTGAGAGCTTTTTTTCACTTTTCTTAAAGGACTGAACCATGCATTTAGCTCTTGTCTTTAAAATTTGAGGTGATATAAATAGAACATTTGGAAGTTTTTAGCCACCTAAAAGTGTGAAAATTTTCAAACCTATGCTTGGCCAAAGCCTGCTGGGGCGGGGAAAAGTCTTTAAATACAGCAGTCTTTGGGAAGCTTGCCTCGCCACACTGTGGTGTAAACCCGAAGGTACATGTGCCATCAACATTTCTAGCAAGTATGGGTGTGTCCTTGAAATGTTAATACTCAAGAGGTTTTTTTTTTTTTCTTTTTTCTCAACCTTACTTCAGAATGACTCGAGTCTGACATGTTCCCGTTACCTTCAGTATTGCAGAGCAGCCAATCTCTATCTTGATTTAAGAAACATCAGGAGAAACCATGACAGGTATTTAAGTGGTTGATGTTAAAATCTAATGGAAATTCTGAAATATTTTTAGGTCCAGGGATATGCCTTGGATTTGCTTCATACTGATACGGTGATGGGGTTGGGGACAGGTGGAGGGTGGAAGATTCATACTGGCCATGAGTTGACCATTGTTAGGCTGAATTACAGGTCCTTCAGCTTCCTATGCCATTCTGCTACTTTTGTATATATTTGAAATGTTCTATTATAAAGAGTTAAATTCTGATGGAAAACCAATTTTGGAATTTGGTAAATCACTTTGGTTACAACCCATGAACTTGAGTCATGAAAAAATTTTCCAAGCTCAACTTAATTTTTTGTTACCCATCAGATTTAAGGAAGATTTTCTCCAGACTGGTGAAATTGGAGGACACTGTAAACTTGACATTCATATGCTGATGTCTGAAGGTCAGCGCAAAAGCCCTCTTCAGTCTTGGTGAGTTGTTTTGTTTCTGTTTTTACTATATTTGTAAAATATTTGCCTTTATATCTGGCACTTGCAGACTTTGGTAAGGACTTTCAAATGGAAAATTTTACTTCATTTGTGAATAATTTGGCTTGAATTTGGGGAGCAATGACTACTGATTGAATCTGCCAGTTATATCTGAATTAAATGTTTTTTTCCTGTTTTGTTTATGTTTTTATTTTCTCCTTTAAAACATTTTATTTTTCATGTTATTACAGTTGTCCTAATTATTCCTTTTCTGCCCCCTCCATCCATCCCACCCCCCACTCCCACAGTCAGTACCCTCATCGTTGTCCACATCCATGGGTCATGCATACATGTTCTTTGACTAATCCCTTCACCTTCTTTCATCCAGTCCCTGACTTCCCCATCCCCTCTTATAGCTGTCCATCTGTGCCATGTTTCTATGTCTCCGATTCTATTTTGGTCATTAGTTTGTTTTGTTCATTACATTCTATTTGTAAGTGAGATCACATGGTATTTGCCTTTCATTGGCTGGCTTATTTCACTTAGCATAATATTCTCCAGTTCAATCCATGCTATTGCAAAAGGTGAGAATTCTTTCTTATTTACTGCTGTGTAGTATTATATATGTGTAAAATATTAGGAAGTATGATACAGTGCTTACTGATCGCTAATGAAGAAAAATTAGTTCAAAATGAGTTTTTATTAACTCCTCATTATTGCTATATGTGTTTTGGGGAATACACTTTTTAAAAAAAGAAATACACATTTATTGAAGAAGTGTGTAACAAACATATAGAGAAGTATGCAGTTGGATTATGAATGAGTAAACCTACTTGCGTAGTTCTTACGCAGGTCAAAAGTAGACCCTCATCAGCACCCCAGGCTCTCTTCTAGTCACAACCCCATCTTTCTTCCAAAGGCAAACACGTCCTGACTTTCAACACTGATTGATCAGCTTTTTGAACTTTATATAAATTGGAGAATACATTTTGATTTAAAACATTTTCAAAATTAAATCATTTCTATGGTATACCAAGAAATTTAACAGTTCTAGAAGTTAAGGAATTAGGATAATTTAAGACAACTTTATTTTAAAATACTTTTAGACAGAAGTTTAAACATAATACAAAAAGTTCTCATTGTACCCTTATCCTGACTTCCTCTAATGATGACTTCTTACATAAATAATATAGCTCAATGATCAAAACCATGAAATTGACATTGGTTCAGTGTTAATAATGAACTTATTTGGATTTTACGAGTGCTTATATATGCTCTCATTTTTTTTGGATATCTAGATCTATGAAATTTATATCACATGCCTAAGTGCATGTAACCACTACTGCAATCAGGATACAGAACTGTACTAGCATCCCAATGAAACTCTCATGCCACCTCTTTATAGTCTGAGGTTCTGAGCATCCAATTCCAATATGTGTGAGGGGGTTTCCACATACAGGGAAGCAATTCTCTGAAACCATCTGGGCGTCCTACAGTTCAATTCAATTCTGACATACTGTTCCACAGGTTAAGGGCTCAGTCCTACAAGACTTCAGCTTCCCTTCCAGCCCCTGTCCCAAGGCCAGGTTGTCACCTGTGCTTCTGACTGATCATCTATAGATTGGAGGTTCTAATAATTCCCTTCTTAGGTTTAATTTGCTAGAGAAGCTCATAGAACTTTGAGAAACATTTTATTTATTAAGTAGTTTATTATTAAAGAATATAGTTGAGGAACAGTCAGATGGAAGAGGTGCATAGGGCAAGGTGTGGGGAAGGGTGCAGAGCTTCCTTGACCTTTCCAGGCATGCCAGTCTCTCCAAATCTCTAAGTGTTCCCCAACCCAGAAGCTATCCTTTTAGTTTTTCTATGGAGGCTTCATTATACAGGCATTGTTGATTAAATCATTGGCCACTGATTGATTCAACCTCTAGCCTGTCTTCCTTCCCCAGAGGTCAGGAGATGGAACTGAAAATTCCGAACCTCTAAACACCATTGATTCTTCTGGCAATCAGCCCCCAGCTTAAGGGTGGTCTAAAAACTACCTCATTAACATAACAAAAGACACTTATTGCACTCATCACCTTAGAAATCCCAAGGGTTTTAGGAGCTCTGCCAGAAATGGAGAGTAAGACCTAATGTTGTAATATTACAATACCACAAGTCACATAGGATACTCTTATATTAACTTTTGAGGTCAAACATTCATTCTAAGCAAATCCTTCAGGATAATTATCTACCATACATTTGTATAACATTTTATGGTCTGCCATGCAGTATCTTCTTTGACTTAACAGAGTTTTGCATGGGAGTTCCCGTATTCTAGTGGGCATTTTTATTTCTAGCCATTTTGATATATAATTCCACATGGTAGTTTCCTAGGATATATTTGTATCAGTTATTTATTGCTGTAAAACATTTTACTCCAAAATATCCCTGCCTTAGAGTATATTTGTATTTATTATCTGTTGCCTGTGACAAATTACTTCAAAATGGAGCTGTTTAAGACAACAAACATTCATTATCTCATGAAGTTTCTGATGGTCAGGATTTGGGGGCAGCCAAGCTGGCTCATGGTCTCCTACAAGGTCCCAGTTCGGTTGTTGACAAGGGCTGCAGTCATCTCTAGATTCAGCTGGGCCTGGAGAATCTGTTTCTAAGCTCAGTCACATTGTTGTAAGTGCTGACAAAAAGTTGCTTGACATTTCTCTAGCAAAATAAGTTTATTTGGGAATAACAAAAAATTGCAATTAAGGACATGCAGTCTAATGGTGAACCATGCCCAAGTCTAGAGAATGAAGGAGAGGAACATTATTTTTATAGAGAAAAGGGGGAATTTAAAGGGGTTGTTATAAACAAAGAGACCATTGGAGGAAACTGGGAGTTCAAAGTGTAGTAGCTTTTCATTGGCTGAGTTGTAACCATCTTTCATTGGTTGAGTGGGTTGTTAAGTGAGAAGATCCTTCTTACTGTTACAGTAGTAGTTAGTAGAACATCTTCCTATGGAGATGGACAATATATTTTTTTCCTGTTTGGGATGATTGACAATGACTGGTAGGGCATGAAAGCTCCCCCTACAAGTCCTCTCAACTCCAATATAAATGAGCTTTTTGTTGACTAATCTTCAAATAAATTTCAGTTTCTCATTGGCTGTTGTTAGGAGGTGTCAATTCTTTGCCATGTGGGCCTCTTCCTAGTACTACTCACAGCATGGCAGCCAGGATCCCCAACAGAGCCCTTGGTTAGAGAGGAGGAGGGGAGTGGATGGGAGGGGAAGGGGAGAAAGAGAGACAGCATGCCCAATGGAGGCCTTAGCCTTTGTATGTCCCAATCTCAGAAGTGACACACCGTTACTTCTACCACATTGTCTTCATTAGAGGTGAATCACTAAGTCCAGCCCACACTCAAGGGGAGGGAATTAAACTCCACCTCTTGAAGGGAAAAGTATCAAATAATTTGTGGACCTATTTTTGAAACCACAGTATTTTAGCATTGTGTGTGTGTTTTGAAAGGATCTGTTTGATATTTGTTTTGTATCAGAGGTGGCTTCAAAGATGAAGTGTTACAAATGATCTTTAGGTTAACTCTAAATATCTTTTTTTTTTTTTTTAAGATTTTATTTGTTTATTTTTAGAGAGGAGAAGGGAAGGAGAAAGAGAGGAAGAGAAATATCAATGTGTGGTCACTTCTCTCACATGCCCCTCTACTGGGGACCTGGTCCACAGTCCCGGCAGGTGCCCTAGACTGGGAATCAAACCAGCAACCCTTTGCTTGGCAGGCTGGCACTCAATCCACTGAGCCACACCAGCCAGGGCAACTCTAAATATCTCTTGTCACATTCTGTGATTGTCTTCTTTTATGTGGAAGAAACTTGTGCCATGTGGCTTTCAAAGATGTTTTCTAAGAAAAAGGCTTTCTTTTGGGAAACTTAGCTGTCTGCTACCTTTCCAAGATACTCGATAATTCTTTTTTAATTTTAAATTTAAATACTTTATTGTTTATGCTGTTATAGTTATCCCAATTTTTCTCCCTTTGCCCTCCTCCATCCAGCCAGCCCCCCACTCCCAAAGTCAATCCCCGCACCTTTGTCCATGTCCATGGGTCATTCATAAATGTTTTTTGACTAATCCCTTCACCTTTCTTCAACCAATCCCACTCTCCACTCCCCTTTTATAGCTGTCTGTCTGTTCCATGTTTCTATGCCTCTGGTTCTATTTTGGTCGTTAGTTTATGTTGTTCATTAGGTGCTACACATAAGTGAGATCATATGGTATTTGTCTTTCACTGACTGGTTTATTTCACTTAGCATAATATTCTCCAGTTCTAGTCATGCTGTCAGAAAAGGTAAGAATTTCTTCTTTTTAACCGCTCTGTAGTATTCCACTGTGTAAATGTACCACAGTTTTTTTATCCACTCATCTACTGTTGGGCACTTAGGCTGTTTCCAAACCTTGGCTAGTGTAAATAATGCTGCTCTGAGCATAGAGGTGCATATGTTCTTTGAAATTGGTGTTTTGAGACTCTTAGGATTGCTGGGTCAAAAGGCAGTTCCAGTTTTAATTTTTTGATGAAATTCCATACTGTTTTTCACAGTGGCTGCATCAGTATGTGTTCTCACCATCAGCGAACTAGGGTTCCTTTTTTTCCACATCCTCACCAGCACTTATTGTTTGTTGACTTATTAATGATAGCCATTCTGGTAGGTGTGAGGTGATATCTCATTGTGGTTTTAATTTTCGTGTCTCTGATGGCTAGTAAATGTTGAGCATTTCTTCATATGTCTATTGTCCGTCTATATGTCCTCCATGGAGAACTCTCTATTCAGGTCCTTTGTCCATTTTTTAATTGGATTGTTTGTCTTCTGGTGTCGAGCCGTATGAGTTCTTTATGTATTTTGGAGATTAAACCCTTGTCTGATGCATCATTGGCAAATATGTTCTCCCATACAATGGGTTCCCTTTTCATTTTGATGATGATTTCTTTAGCTGTGCAGAAGCTTTTTAATTTGATGTAGTCCCATTTTCTTATTATTTACTTTGTTTTCCTTGCCCTAGGAGATTTGTTGGCAAAAATATTGCTGTGGATATTTGAAATTTTACTGCCTATGTTCTCCTTCAGGATTTTTATGGTATTGTGGCTTATATTTGTCTTTTATCCATTTTGAGTTTATTCTGGTGTATGGTATAAGATGGTGGTCTAGTTTTATTTTTTGGCATCTGTCGGCGTCCAGTTCTCCCAACACCATTTATTGAAGAGACTGTCTTTTTTCTTTTTTCTTTTTTTTAAGAGACTGATATTACTTCATTGTGTGCTCTTGCATCCTTTGTCAAAGATTAATTGACCATAAAGATGTGGGTTTGATTTTGGGCTGCCTATGTGTTCCACTGATCTATGTGTCTGTTCTTATGCCAGTTCCAGACTGTTTTGATTACAGTGACCCTGTAGTATAGTTTTATAACAGATATTTTGATCCCTCCAACTTTGTTCTTCTTCCTCAAGATTGCTGAAGCTATTCAGGGTCTTTTTTGGTTCCATTTGAATTTTTGGAATATTTGTTGTAGTTCAGTGAAATATGCCATTGGTATTTTAATAGGGAATACCTTAAATCTCTAGGTGGCTTTGGGTAGTATGGACATTTTAATAATGTTAATTCTTCCAATCCATGAACACAATATATGCTTCCATTTATTTGTTATCTTCCTCAATTTCCTTCTTCTGTGTTAACCTCCTTGGTTAAATTTATTCCTAAGTACTTTATTTTCGTTGTTGTTGTTGCAGTAGTAAATGGGATTGTTTTCTTAGTTTCTCTTTCTGGTAGTTCATCATTGGTGTATAAAAATGCCATCCTTTTCTGAGTATTGACTTTGAATCCTGTTACTTTTGCCAAATTCATTTATTAGGTCTTGTAGTTTTTTGATGGAGCCCCATAGGGCTTTCTATATACACTATCATGTCATCTGGGTATAATGACAGTTTTATTTCCTCCTTTCCAATGTGGATGCCTTTTATTTCTTCTTGTTGTCTGATCACTCTGGCAAGAGCTTCCAATACTATGTTGAATAAGAGAGGTGAAAGTGGACATCCCTGTCTTGTTTCTGATCTTAAGGGAACTCTCTTAGTTTTTGCCCATTGAATATGGTGCTGGCTTTAGGTTTTTCATATGTGGCCTTTATTATGTTGGGGTATGCTCCCTCTACTCTAACTTTTATACTTGATAATTCTTGGAATGCCATCTTTCTCAGAATCCAGAAAGTCCAATACAAGAGAGCCTCTGGGTCAGTGTTACTTCTGAGTCTCATCAGACTCCAAGAAACCTTTTTGAATCCTCCCACTATACTGGTAAATTATTTAGCCAACTCATTGTGTAAATTTCTTCTTTGTCTAGAAAGTTACTAGTGTATCTTGCACTAAAACTTAAAATCATTTTTGTTCCTTGTCTCAACATTAAAAGCAATAAGTTATGTAAGTGTTAGTAAGTTTGAGAAGTTCTACATGTTTCCCTAAGTGCCTATTCTAGAAATAAAATTACCCTAATGAACGCATCTGAAGTGACAATGTTGTAGTAGGAAGTTTAGGAGAATCACTTTGAAAGTATCTCCCAAATCATACTTCCAGGTTTGCGGAGCTCCAAAGCTATACTCAACTCAACTTCAGACCTATAGAAGATACTAAATGTGATATTGTTATTGAAAAACCAACCTACTTCATGAAATTGGATGCAGGTGAGAAGTTAATTTGTCTGTAACTTATTTATTAATGAGGCTCTGTTCCTTTTTTGATATATACATGTAGTGATTTCCTATGACTTTTTGGGAAGCAGTGTGACATTAAACAGTGGATTTGCTTTCTGCTTTCTTCTCTAAAGAAGTGAATTTGTTTAGATTTCCCTTCATTTAATACTTTAGTTAGAAGAAACCTACATATCTGTATCAAATAACTCAATAAGAATCAAAAGGTGAGAAAAGAATGTGTATGTATACCTTTGTAACAAAATTTATCCCACCACCTTTTTCTAATCCCTTGATATAGATTGAGCGTCATTAGAACTTTTTTCAAACTAAAAGCCACGTATGTCCTGTGGGCAGGAAAGGAATGCCCGTGACCTCTTTTGGCAGACTTTCTGATACTGTTTCCATGACTAAAGTGAACTTAACATTCCTCTGGAAGTTGGGTTTGCTGTATATTCTTGGGAAAAGAGTGGAGATTACAATGATTTTCCCATTTATGCATATGCCTTCTTATTCTCACCGTACAAGCACAGTTTTAACTTTGTGGACTATTTGTCCTGTAGAGGAGAAACATGAATTGTGCTATACTCTCGCTCATTCTAAGAGGTGAGGATTACAATGCCACACCATATCAGAGTTCATGAGAGTATGGGCTTACAGTGAATATTCCAGAATTACTATAATTTATTGATCATATTTTTAATGTGCTTTGCCTTCTGAAGTCATATTCTTTTTTCCCCAAGAAAGACTTGCTTTTTTTAAAAATTTTTTTTACAGTTTGCATTCAACACTTTTTTCTTTTTTAAAAAATTTTAAATCATGTTTATTCTATTATAGTTGTCTCAATTTTTCCCCCTTTACCCTGCTCCACCCATCCCATTCCCATCCTCCGCTCCCACAGTCAATTCCCACTCTGTTGTCCGTGTCCATGAATCATTCATACATGTTCTTTGTCTAGTCCCTTCTCCTCTCCACCATTGTCCTCTTTCCCCATCCCCTCTGGTCACGTTCAGTCTGCTCCATATTTCCATGCCTGTGGTTTATTCTGTTCGTTAGTTTATTTTGTTGAATAGAGTCCACTTATAGGTGAGATTATATGGTACTTGTCTTTCACCAACTGGCTTATTTCACTTAGTATAATATTCTCCAGCTCCATCCATGTTGTCACAAAAGTTAGGAGTTCCATCTTTTTTTCTTTCCATCTTTTTTTAAATGTAGATTTTATTTATTATTTTAAATGTCAAGATCCATTATAAAATATTAAAAAATTTAAATCCATTATAAATTTTCAGCAATTAAACCAACACAACACCAGCACAGAAATAATCAGGTAGATCACTGAAATATAATGAGCATTCTAGAAACAAATGTATATATCTGTTTAACAATGTAATATATGATTAAATTGATATTTCAAGTCAATGGGTAAAATAAGGCTTATTCAACAAATAAGGTGCATGGATCACTATTACTTGAAATAAAACAAATATAGAGCCCTATTTCACACATTATACAAGAAATATTCAGGTGAGTTAAAAATCAGTATGTAGAATCGAAGGAGTTTTAGGAGATAATACAAACTAATATTTTTCTTACCCTGAAGTAAAATATTCAAACCCAGAAGCTATAAAGTAAAATATTCACAATATGACCATATTAAACATTTAAGACTGTACAGTAATATACGTATAAAAAAGTTAAAGGACAAGTAATAGAATAGGAAAATATTTGCAACACATCTAAAAAAGGGTTAATGGTTTGTTTTGTTTTTTTTAGGGAAAAAATTCTACAAACATTTAATCAAAAAATGGATAAAGAATACCAAAAAGCCACTTAAAACTTACTAAAAATAATAGAAATAGGCAAGAAATATACAAAGACAGATTTAATTTCAACAAATAATAAAGGAACAATTAAAATAACACATCATTGTCACAATCAGATTAATCAGTATTTAAAATATTGGTAATATCAAGTATTGGTGACTGTGAAAGGAACTGGGTATTCATAGACTCTTTTTCTTCATCTTAAAGCAGTCCCTTTAGCATATTTTGCAGTGCTGGTTTGGTGGATATGTATTCTTTTAACCTTCTTTTGTCTGGGAAACTCCTTATTTCACCTTCCTTTTTAATTGAGAGCCTTGTTGGGTAGCACAGTCTTGGTTGCAGGCCTTTGCTTTTCATGTGAAGTCATAATTCTTAAATTACAAAGTATTACACTCAGAAATCAAACAAATTTAAGTTTTTGAATGAACAAGTAAAAATACTAAGTTTGATGTCCTGCCTCATTTTTAAAATATGCAAATTAAAAAGGGTCAAAGAAAACATTGATCCATCTGTAGAAGGGTTGAACATGTGTGAACTGCTAAACTTATGGAGATATTTAGGCAACAGTGTATGTCAAGGGGAGTAATTGGCTAGGGTAGACATGCACCATTTCTTTCTTATACTTATAATTACATTTTTCTTCTGCCTTATGCTGTCTTCCAGTTTTCCTTTTCATAATAACTCTTACCTTGGAGGAATGAGCATGCTGAAGAATAAGAGTCGTGAGGGAGCACATTTCTTGAGAACAGAACCTGCATTTTCTCCCTCCTTTAGAAGTTCTCCTAGCACCACGTGTTCTTTGTGTGCTGCATCCCTCAGTACATGTGAACCTGCTGCATGATACCTGAGAGAGCTACTGTGTACCATAGTCTATCATAGGAAAAGGGTTCTGTTGGAATAGAATTTTCCCTTTCTTGTTTATTTAAAAATATACTCTGTCAAGATTTCTCTGGATGAAAAAAGGAGCCCCTCCAAATATCCATCTAAATTACCTGTGTAAAAAGAACTGAGTATTTTTAACTCTTATTTTCTTGCACACAGTGTGATTATTTGCTGCGGGAATGAAATCAGAGTAGTTCATGATTTCTGCTTTTAAGAGTCACTGTTTTTCTTTTAATAAACATTTTTCCTCCTTTAAGGTGCATGTTTTAAATGTAAGTTCCTGAAATTTCATCCTGTTTAGATTTGCACATTTCCAGGTTGAAGACTGTACACCTGAGTTAGGGGTGGCCAGTGGAGGGCCGGGAATACTTGGTTTCTTTTTAAAGATGACTTTGGGGAACTTTAGTACTCCTCCATCTGTCTGACCCAGCAGGATCTAGCTAGTCTTCATTGTTTCACTGTGTACCAGGCCCTAGCTGGGCAATTTTAGATAATCTTTGCATTTCTCCTAACAAAGCTGGCACCTAAGTATAATGATTTCTTATTTCTGGTAGACAAGCATAGGGACTTTAGAAACTTGTCTGAGAACATGGTTCATGAATGGCTGAGCTGGGATTCAACACAGTTCTTCTGGTTACAAAGTTCATGCTCTTTCAATTAGAACATGAGACATTCAGCCCTTTTAAACAATAGTTGGCTAATACAGGGTCTAGCAGAAGTAATGTCTGCTTGAGTGTGGTTGGTAGGGTAATAATATGGGTGTAATAATTTATACTTTTAATTTGAAGATTTCACTTAAAATGTCATATGGTGTGCTTGAGTGTGATGTTATGTTACAGAATTACATGCTTATAATTTTATAATAAAAGATTTTGTAATAAAACAAGGACATTATTTGTGCTGGACCCTGTATTTTCCCAAGAAGCAAAATTATAAATAGTGATTAATGTAGGAGGAAAAGAGACAGGAATGGGAAAAACATATCAAAATGTTAATAGTTGCTGTCATTTTCAGTACTTCTGTGATAAACAGGTGTTGTGTAATTGATTTTTAAAAATAAGTGGTCCTAAAAAGAAAACAACAACTAGTCTTCATGGCCCTATAGCTCTACCTAACTCTGAGCTAAATAGACTTCTGGTATTTTTTTTTATTGGGAACTTAATGATCATTTGTTAGTATTTATGGGAAAATGCATTCCTGATTTCTAAATAATCAATTTTAAAGTGAATTTTTAAACTCAGTCGATTTGTAAATTGAGGATTACCTGAGTGTAGATCATTTCATGTTTGTTAAAACTTTTTTTTCCTCATTTATTTCAGCTAAAAGTCCATCACACGATAAATAGATGTGGTAGAATAAAAATTATATAATCATTTGTTCTTTGGGGTTAATTTACATAGACTTCTTTTCCCAATGCTAGGTGTTAATATGTATCACCACTTCTGTGACTTTGTCAATCTTTACATCACTCAGCACATCAACAATTCCTTCAGTACAGATGTGTACATCGTGATGTGGGACACGGTGAGTAGGACTGCCCTCTGCTTCAACTCTGTCCTTGCTCAATATATTTGTGACTCTGATGTGGTGAAATGGAATTTTCTAAGACACACACACTTAAAGATACATATATCCATACATGTGCAGATGAGTGTGATGTGTCTGTGTGTATGTATATATATATATGACCGCATTTACCAAAAAGTCCACTTAGATTTTTCTGTAAAATAAAAGACACATTTTTCATTTTCACCAGTAACTTTATTGACTTCGAAATTTTGAGTATGTTGGCTATCTCCCACTATTGGCTTCTAGTGGGGAGAGGCCAGGGATGCTGCTGGACATCTTCCAATCCATAGACAGGCCCACAGCAAAGAATTATTAGGTCAAAATATCGCTAGTACCAAGAAACTTCGCAAACACTTTTGATATGTTTGATCAGTCACAGCATCTTCTTCATATACTGCACAAGTCATTTTTTTTGCATTTCTGTTGCATTTTACCTTTTTTTGAAATAATAAGGTATATTATGCTGAAAATGTGTATTTTCTTCCATCTTCAATATTAAAATGGCTGCACAAAAATTCACCAATTTTGATAACGTTTTTAAAAAAATCGAGGGTGGGTGGGGCAGGGAAAAGTGGTAGCAGGAAAATGGAGACAAATGTATTTGAACAATAAAAAAAACTACAAATATCTCAAAATTTTCAAATAAAAAGTTAGCTGACAAAAAGAACCACCAAAAAAAAAAAAAAAAAAAATCCATGCTGATACGACAGCTGTCTTAATACAATCTAACAATTAGTTTCGAGTGAAGTTAAAGACAACTAAGCACTACTAGAGCCATTATATGGAAAAAAATTAATGAACTTTTTGGCCAACCCAATACATATGTAGGTTTATACTTTCATTCTGTGAACTTGAGAGTTAGGCCGTGGAAGATTTTTTTTGCTCCTTTGTGCAGGTTAATCTCCAAAGACTAAAGACCCATCCTTAGTGTTCCTCTGAGGCAGGCAAAAGAAGACTGTCATTCCCTTGACCTATGGGACCCCTGATGGCCCTTGTGGGGAGCACCCTTGTCTTTACCATTGGTCTTACTTGCAGCTTCCCATTGCTGACTGCTTTGTGACATCTGTGCTGTGTGGATGCACTCACTGCACATGGCAAGTGATGGGTGTTTAGCTGCTATTTGCTTATTCGTTTTTAGTGCTGTCTTTTTTCCTTCTCTTTCTTTTCCTTCCTTTTCCCTGTTTCTTTCCATACTGGCCCATCCACCTGCCAAGGTAACTCACCCCCCGCCAGAGTTGCTGCAGTGCATAGAACTGTGAAATGGGACAATTATAGTCTCTACCCAAGTGTCATTTTGAGAATAAACCATATAGTGTATGAGTAGTTACAATGCCTGATGCATAGCACATGTGCTTTGAATGTTACTATGACAAAGACAATGATGAGAGCATGTGGTTTATATTGGGTTGGCCAAAAAAGTTTGTTTGGTTTTTTCCATAAGATGGCTCTCGTAGTGCTTAGTTGTCTTCAATATCATTCAAAACAATTTTGTTAGATTGTATTGTGACAGCTCTCATATCAGCATGCATTTTAAAAACATCAAAACTGGTGAATTTTTGTGTAGCCCTTTTAATATTCAAGATGAAAAAAGTATGCAATATTTTCAGCATATTATGCTTTATTATTTCAAGAAAGGTAAAAACGTAACTGAAATGAAAAAAAGATTTGTGTGGTGTATGGAGAAGGTGCTGTGACTGATTGAACATGTCAACAGTGGTTTGTGAAGTGTCATGCTGGAGATTTCTTGCTGGATGATGCTATCCAACTGGTCAGGTAGACCAGTTGAAGTTGATAGTGATCACATGGAGACATTAACTGAGAACAATCAATGTTATACCATGCAGGAAATAGCTGACATACTCAAAATGTCCAAATCAGTAAAGTTATTGGCGAAAATGAAAAATGTGTCTTTTATTTTATGGAAAAAATCATATGGACTTTTTGGCCAAGCCAATAATACACATGAGAAAGGCTGCCTAAACTGGGAAGTTGAAATACCCACTGAGAAGTCAGGTAGGGTTCAACTAAACATTCTAACACACAGGATACTCATTGGCCCCCCTCTTGGCATGAGTTTGTTCAGAACGATCTTGCAGGGGAACCACAGCCTCCTCATAGGAGAGCATCAGATATTTTCTCTGGATCCTTCCAGAGATCTTTCTAGCAGCCTGCACAGCACAGCTCGGGTGCAAGGACATAGGATCCATCTGGGGCAGGTACAGGTGCCTCATGTCCCAGAGGATGTCCCTAATATCTCCTAGGACAACTGTATTGACAAAGCCCCCAGTATCCCCTCAAGAGAGACAGCCAATTACAAGAGTCATTACACTCTTTCCCAGTCCAGGTGTGATTTACCTATTGAGCATCTTTTTTCATCATAGGCAGTATTACCTAGAAGCACAGTGGACACATGCTGTATTCATTTTCAGAGAACGGAGCTAGACAGCTGACTGCATTTCCATTTCTTGTGCAGAAGCGATATTGTTTTGCTGACATGTTTTTCATTACTATAAATCTCATAGTAGAGCTGCGTAGGAAGGTTTTCATTATCACTGCGTGACCTGTGGTTTGACATGAAGTTTGATGAGAGTTGGTTTTTTATTCTTGGATGTGAATGCTGTCTTTAGTTTCCTTCTTGCATAGATTTACATTTTCTATGTGTTCAGTTTTGCTGCCACCACAGTTTCATTTCCTGAAAATGTTTCTATGAGCAAAGGGCACGGAGTCCCTTTCTTTTCCTCTTTTTATGTGCTTCTAGGCCACAATCACTGGGTGTCCGCAGCCCTGAATGATTAACTCAGGGTGGTGGTGCTTTTTAAAAAATTACACCTGTTATCTCATCTACTGCTCACAACCCATGGTGGACAAGGGCTTCATTAGCTTATTTCATAGGTGAGGAAGTCAAGGCTCTGAGCAGTTGGCGGCTGTCCTCCAATAACACAGTCAGCAAGGGGTGGAGTCAGGGTTCTTGTGCATGCTGGTTGACTCTAGATCTACCCCAGAAACTACAGTATTTTACTGCCTCCCTAGAGTTCCCTACAGAACCTGTTAAGTTGATAGACGTTTTCCAGACACTTCCCAGGTGCTTCCTTGTATCTTGTTGCATGCTTTTCCATGACTTCCTTAAGGAGATTGAGTTAAGCTGAGCTGGTTTCTCCCACCCACCCTTCCCTGTGTCCTCCTGGGAGCAGTAAGCTATTCAGCCACCAGAAGCTCCTTGGTCACTCAGGTCACTGAGCACGTGTGGCGCGGCATTCAGGTTGGGACTGACCTGGGCGGGCAGGTAGGACTTAGCTCAGCAGGTTGGGTGCCCCGAGGGCACCTCCCTCCTTTGCTGCTCCCTGTGCATCCATTTTAAACCTGTATTCTTGGTCAGCGAGGCCTTTGCTAGTTGCTCATTCAGATTCCCAGGTCAGGCAAGTCTGTGGGGTTGCTATAGAATTGAGGCCCATGAAATACGGAAGGTTGCCTGGGGACAGTGGTAAGATGTTATGTGGCCACTGAAGTTTCTCTTTTGTGGTAAGGCCTTGAGTGAAGCCACACTGTGACCTGGGCTGACTGTGACTTGAAATCCTGACAGAGGACAACATTCAAGGCAGTTCTGGAGGCTTTGGATGAGCTGTGTGCCCAGGGGAGGAGCACAGCAGTGGCTGTGGCTGCCCTTCAGATCTTACTGACCTTTTACAAACTTACCAAAACGAAGCCTATGAGGCCTTCCCTGTTGTCCCTGCAAAATTTAGCAGTTTGGCCTCTTTCTTCAGTCACATGCCTTCCTCTGTGGGATAGGTAAGGCCACCAACCTCCCAAGATGCTTTAAGGGACACTTCTGTAGAAGAATTTCTGGGCATAGCAGGGTTGCTCTTACTAACAGAATGAATTAAAGGGGAGACTTCTGCAGGATTTCCATATTTTCTTGTGTTGAGAAGTAATATAACTTTATTATTATCTTTAATTAGGCAAGTAATATCTGGTTATAATGAGTTCAAACAACACAGAAGTATGTAATGATTAAAAAAAATTCTTCCTCTTTTCCCATTTCATTTCCCTTAAAGGTAATTGCAGTTAACATGTGAGAGTGCTTTGTAAGACTTACTTTCTTTGAATATATGTAAATATATCTTCATAGGAAATAAGCTCTCTCTCATATTAATATGTCATGGACATTTAAGGTTATCATTTTATGTTGATATTCTGTTGGATGCATGCCTTAGTACACGCACTTATCTCTGTTCCCACCTGGATCACGTGTTGTTTCCAATTCATTGCTATTTATTGAAATGCTGCAGTGAAAATCCTTCCCATGTACATATGCCTTTATATCTCATCCTAGCATTTCTGTAGGACAGATTCTTGGAAGTAGAAATTCTAAGTCAGAGGTTATATGCATGTTTAAATTTGAGACAAACACAGGAGGAAATGTTCTTCACTATGAGACTAGAAAAGAGTTTCTCCTTTGCCTGTGGCAGATAATTTGAATTTGAGGGACATGGCAAAGAAGCTCTTAGAGGTGGTTATTATAGAATATTACATGATTTCCTGGAAAAGGGATTAATGAGATTACTGTATTTCATTATTAAATTTTCCTTTCAAAGGCACCTTATTTTATCTGAGGTATTTTATCTCAAGAGACTTTCTAGTCACTTCTTTAATTGCCCTTTATTTATTATTGAGTCAGAACTGGGACATTTCAGTTTTGATGGTGTTGACAGGGGCCTTTCTTAAAACAGCATTAGAGAGACATTGAAAGAAGGAACTTTTTTTTTTTTAATCACCACATTTAACAATTCTCAGTAGTTTTGAAAAAACTCTCAAATGTGTAATAAAAAATTTTCATAGTCTGAAAAAAGTGCTATAAAAATAAGACATAAACATAATACATATAATCTATAACCACTTGAGACTTTGATATTTCTTACTTCTGCTGGTTGAATTTTTCAATCTAAGTTATACCATTTTAAAATAAATTTTAAATAAACTTTCCTGTATAGTTTGAAAAAAAAATAAAATAAATTTATCTTTAGCTGATGGAGCATGTAATCAATATTTGATTTTCAAAAATCAATGCATTTGGTAAATGTATTGGAAAGAACTAGTTCCCTCCGAGAGGCAACTGCTGTGTAGAGATTGTGAACGTGGAGTCTGAAACCACACAGACTGGATTAATCCCAGCCCTGCAAACATACCAGTTCTATGATCTAGGCAAATTACTTAAACGTGTGTCTCAGCTTCCTCGTGTGTAAAAATGGGGGTAATGATACTATATAGCTCATTAAGTTTGTGGGGTAATTTAATGTGTTAATAATGTCAAGTGCTTAGAACAGTGCCTGGAACACAGGAACATGCAAGATGCTATTATTATTATATTAATAGTTTTTATTATTATTAATGTTAATGGGGAATTATCACATTAAGTGTTAAGCAATGGGTAGATCATTTCATAGAGTTACACATGCATTATATTTTTAATGTTAAAACTTTCAAGGCATTTTCTTGTTCTGAAATATCTTTCCAAAGAAATTACCCAAATATCAGAGTGTTTTCAAAGGGTGGTGCATGTATGTGTTGTGTGTATCTGTAATTTAGATAGAAAATTCACAGGAAAAACCCCCCACAACAACTAGTTTCAGACATGAAAATACAAAGGACTAGGGTAGAAAGACAAACCACTTTTAGCAGACTAAGATTATAATTGTGATGATTATTTTTGATGAAATTACATCACATTAGGCCCAAGGTGAAAATCCGTTTTTCTTATATGGATTTGATCAGCTTGTTTAGGATCATTAGTTCTTTACAGTAACAAACTAATTCAGGTACATTGCTGCATTCTTGAAAAGCCATGTTGAATGATTTTATTGCTCTAACTTATTTTGTTTCCATTTTCAGAGCTCCTACGGATATGGTGACCTGTTCTCTGACACATGGAAAGCATTTACGGATTATGATGTGATACATTTGAAAACTTATGATTCAAAAAGGGTATGGGAAACTTTACTGAAATGTCTGTAAATAATTGTCATTGCAGATGACTCACACCTCAAATAAATACTTAATATGAGTTTCTGTTAGCTATTGGGTTAGCCAAAAAGTCCATTTAGTTTTTTCCATAAAATAAAAGACACATTTATCATTTTCATCAGTAATCGTATTGATTTTGATATTTTGAATATGTTGGCTATCTCCTGCTATTTTCTTCTAGTGGACAGAGGCCAGGGGTGTTCCTAAACATTTTCCAATGCATAAGACAGCCCCACAGCAAAGAATTGTTTGGTCAGAATGTCAAGAGTACCAAGAAACTTCGCAAACCACTTTCAACATATTCAATCAGTCATAACACCTTCTCCATACACTGCACAAATGTTGTTTTGCATTTCAGTTGGCCTTTTTACCTTTCTTGAAATAATGAAGCATAATGTGCCAAAAATGTTGTGTATTTTCTTCCACCTTCAATGTTAAAATGGCTGCACAAAAATTCACAAGTTTTGATAAGTTTTTGAAAAAAATACATGCTGATATAACAGCTGTCACAATGCAATCTAACAAAATTGTTTTGAATTAAGTTAAAGGCAACTAAGCACTACTAGAGCCATCGTAGGGAAAAAACATTAACGGTCTTTTTGGCCAGACCAATATTACCATTGATTTTTTAGTTCTTAGTTTCTTTTTTGGTAACTGGAATCCTCATTGTTATTAACTTGTAGCTTTGAAAAATAGTTTTTCATAGCATTTCCAAAAACATGTATTTCACTTGAGTAAAATAGTTTGCTATTCAAAATATTTTAAGGTACAATAGAGGTTAATTAAAATTTACTTTCTGTAATTATAAGTGCTGTTTTGGTGTGAAGGGTACACATTGTCTCTTCTTACCTTTTAATATATTTGTATTGTTAGGTTTGTTTTAAAGAAGCGATTTTTTCACTACTCCCCCGGATGAGATATGGGCTGTTTTATAATACCCCTCTGGTAAGAATGTTATCTGTTGCAAACTTTCATATTTATAGAATTTATTCTTGATATGTGTTAAGATAACACATATAACATATAACTAACATACGTAACCTATGCAATAGTAATATATAAATACTCATTGTAATATAAACTATTTCTTTTATTTTAGATATCTGGCTGTCAAAATACTGGATTATTCAAGGCATTTTCCCAGCATGTACTACACAGACTGAACATCACACAAGAGGGACCCAAGGTAATGAATACACAGCAGGTCAAATAATGTGTTTCACTCAATGTTATTTCATTATAACCTCGATGAGATGCCACAGGAACTTAGCTCAATTAGCCTGCACTAACATTGATTTCATTATACATCATTTAGATTAAAGTCATAAGATAAAGTCAAAGAACTTATAAGATGATGTTAAGTGAGAGCTAACTGCATTATGGGTTCCAAGGGGAGCTTGACTTTTTACCCTGAATAAAAATCGATACTACCTTTGCAGAAAAAGAAATACTCAGAAGACGACGTTTTCTGTGTTAACAACTTCTGAATTGGAGTGATCTGAAGTCAGATATCTACTGCCTAATAAAGATAAACTAGGGATAGTGGAAGAATGTGCTTTTTTTTATCCTTCCCTTTTTCTTTTGTCATATCTCTTTTCCACCACCAAATCCCCACCTGAGCCACACAACCTCTGCTAAAAAAAAAAAAAAAATCTACCCAACCATCCAAACAGAAGTGTAGTGAACAGGTTTTGTCTTCTGTGACTAAAGTAGATGCATTCTTTTATTCCCTGAGAGAACTATGAAGGAATCATGCTTAAAAAAAATAAAAAGAAGTTCCATAATGTATTCTTATTGAGCTTTATCTCTTTGAGAAAAATCACATTTTAGGTTCAGGTGTTCATTTATCTGTCCTGACACATACAACATCATTTTGCCTTTTCCCTGTTCTTACAGGATCGAAAAATTAGAGTCACTATTCTTGCACGAAGCACAGAATACCGGAAAATACTAAACCAATATGAGGTTAGTTTTTCTCTGCATTTTTAATATTGAATTTAACTTTCTATAACTAGTGTGCTTTATTTTTTACATTGCAGTAAATATTGCAGTTTGAAATTATTAGCCTTTAGAAAAGGTTATGCCCAGTTCATTTATTGGATTTTTACTGAAAGGTACCAAACCACTTATTAGACTCCCAAACTCATTTCAATAGCATCAGCTCATAAATTATATTTAACTTCAGAAAGATCACCATGTGTACAACAACATGGCTGGAATATCATGGCTGGAAAATCACAGTAGTAGGATTTATTCCACAAAAATGTATTAAGAACTGCTATGTGTTAGGTTATGGTTCTGGGACTTGTTAGAAACAGGATAGGACCAGTTTACAAATCCGTCTTTTTGTTCTTCGTTCCTCAATTTTGGGGAACATGGGTGCTGTAGCCACTTCCTGCTGATAAGGGGGCAGTAAGTCAGGAAGAGTGAAGAAAGTGTAAGAAATATGCTGAGAGTACTAGACCTGTATAAGCAAATATCACAACCAGGAAAGAAAAACTTGGTTCAAACCCAAACAAAAACACATTAGGATAGATAACTTAGGTTTACACAGGCCTGGCCCAGACTCTTGAGAGGAAGCAGTCGGTCTCTTTTCGAGCTGTCTGTGTCTTCTCTTGACCAGGCAGGGTCTGTTGTCCTGTTTCTTTTGAAATGTAACTAACTAGAAGGACTTCACAGGCTCTGTTCCACTTAGGTTGCAGCTGACTCTCGGTGTTGGTTATTCTAAGTCTTGAAGGTCAAATAAAGCCCACCTAGAGACTGCACACATTTGATAGCATCTAATTTTTTTACAATATGCTAAAGGAAGGGTCTCCCATATAACATTTCATATGGGATCAATGCTGCTTGGTTGTAGGGGACTACTCTTACCTTAAGCAGGGCAGTAGATACAATGTTATCCCAAGTTAAGTTGGTTTCTTGACTTACTCCTCTATTCAGTCTTTCATGAATACTGAGGCTTCCATCAAGCCCGTGATTTCTGAGGGTCTCGCACCTTTTCTATCTTTCCTTGGCTATGCCTTCTAAAAGTACCATCCAGCAATATTGTTTCCCATGAGCTTCGGAATCATCCCATTCAAAGGCAAACAGTACTCAGGGGTATACAATAAAAGGCATCTTTTTTTTAGCAAGAACTGTAAACTAGCGGAGGTCTCCAGATCAAGTTGTAAGCAAAGTAAAATGATTTGGTCCCACCATATGTATATATCCTCTACAGTTTGGATCTCAAGTCCTGTACAAAACTGTTATTTCCAGTGCTGGGTTTTTTATAGTAGCAGGCTGGGAATGTTATATGGATATTGACAAGGTCAGATTAATTGGCATTTAAGAAAGGTAGTGGTCTGCCCTGACCAGTGTGGTAGGGCATTATCCTGCAAAGCAAAAGGTCATCGGTTCAATTCTAGTTGGGGTGTGTGTGAGAGGCAACCAACCAATGTTTCTCTCCCTCTCTTTTTCCCTCCCTTCCACACCTCTCTAAAAATAGAAGAAGAAAAAAAAGCCACTATCTGAGGCTATATACCTTCTTTTGCAGGTCTTTCCAAAAGGTATTTTTTCAAGTTTGGAATTTTAGTACCTGGGTGAAGTATTACTGTAACTGGGTCAGCACCTTGGCTCTTCCTGGCCACTGTCAGCCCAAACATTTCTCTTACCTTTTGTAGAATTACTCAGGGATTTCTGGTTGAGGCTTGTCTTCCAGTAGTCATAGTACAACTTGGAGGGCACAGGCTTGATCTGGCAGAACCCTGATGCTGATTTTTTCCTGGTGAGAAAATCCGGTGGGCATTTAATTTTGTTAGTGGATCTCATCCCAGTAAGAGAATAGGGCATTCAGGCACATATAGAAAGCTGTGTTTTCTCTACATGACATTTGCGTGGCCTAAGGAAGGGTCTGCAGGGGGGTCTCCCCCCACAACTATGATAGCTATGGTTTTAGGGAGGGGGGCCTTGCTCAGTGTTTAGGATAGAATATGTAGCTCCAGTGTCAGTTATAAAGTCTACGAATCTCTGTCCCACAGCTGTTGTCACCCAGGGTTCCTTGTGTGAAATGAAAGGCTCCCTTGCGTGAGGCTCCCAGGGCTCTGTCATGCCTGGTCATTACCAACCAGCTGTGGCATCTGGTGGGTTTATTTGTGGGAACTTCCTTCTCCATCCTTTCCTGCAATTAGGACATTCTCATCTCCAATGACCCTCTTACTTGAATATGCACATTGTTCTGGCCCTAAAAGGGGACAGCCTTTTAGGTAAGGGGGTTCTTGGGGTCTGGCCCATGGTTTTTGTTTTCTCCAGCAAGCCCCTTACTGGGTCTTGATTGTATGCCGATAAGTGTTGAGGAGAGAACTGCAGCTTGTCCTCTCATGTCACATTGTGAGCCTCAAAAACCCTGTCAAGGAAGGTGTGTGGGTGCTTCTTGGGCCCTGGTTTGGGCCCATTAATAAAGTCCCATTACCGGGTATCCGCTTCTGCCAGGCCAGGGATAGCATGCCTTGCTGGATCCCTGGGGGCTGCTGTGGGCCCTCTTGCCACTGCCATGTCTGCATGGAGCTTGGAGCACATGGCCTGGGCTTGGCCCTGGGGCTGGCCTTGGCAGCACCCCAGCCACAGCAGGTGCCCAGCCTGATGCTGTCCAAACGCTCTACTTCCTGTCCTGTTTCTACCTGGTAGGCTTTTCTCTGAGTCATGCCTTCAGTATTCAATTGACAATGAAATTTGAACATATTTTATAACAATATTTAACATTTTAAGGTAGCAGCTAGACTTATTTCTTTATTTGACAAATCTTTCCATGTAATTTTAGTATATTAAATAGGCCAAATTAGTTTAAAATATCTCTTTTATAGAGAGAGAGAGAACAAGTCTTTGGGGCATTACAGGAGAATAACCCAAATCTATTTCCAGATTAAGAAAATACCTCTTTTTTAAACCTGGGTGTTGGGAAGTTTGTCAAATGCACTTGACCAAAAAACTCATATATCACTATGAAACACTATTAAATTACTCATTTACCCAAAGTGACAATAAAAGATATAAAACATATTGGTAGCTTAGGTTAAGGGTTAATGACTTTTCATTTTCAAGATAATTAATATGGGGCTTCTGTCTGAACTGACCACAGGGCTTGGGACTGAGTTTGTTGCTCCTGGAGCGGGATTAGGGGGGCAGGGGACGACTGCGCCCTCAGGCTTTGCTCTGCAGCCTGGACCTGGACCCTGCACTGAGCTTTGGGAATCACCGCATGGTAGCTCAGGGCCAGGATGGCATGCAAACAGCTGTGGTGAGCACCGCCCTTAGGGTAGGCTAAAGAGGGCAACATACACAACCTTAAAACTTCACAAACTTCATGAAACAGAACAGTACAGTAGATTGAGGACTCTTCTGGACAAACATCCAAGACCTGAGACAGCACCTGACACAATCTCTCAGGGTGAGCTCTACCCCACAGTCCTGATGAGGCTTTAGGCAATGAGGTGACTCAGTCACTGTTCCTTTACCCAAAAGTGAAAGTAGAAAGTAGCCTGGAGGGATCTGAGCTCAGGGGCTGGCTGACTAAGCCTGTAAGTGGCTCCTTGGGTTCCCTCCAGGGCCCATCTGTGCGGGGCTCCAGGACCTTGGGCAGTGGTCACAGGCTGCATCCTTTCTGGTGCCTAAATTGTCACCAAGCCAGGGATGCTGCCCAATGCACACAGGAGCCAATACTATGACATCTGCTTTGGAGAAAAAGAAAGGTAGAGACCGGAGGCAAGGATCCAGGATTTGGGAGGGATTTTAAGGTGTTTCAGCACTGGATTTTCCTGGAAAATGGACCTTTGCTTCTGAAATGTTCTGCCCGTCAGGTACCAGTCATGCCCGATCCTTTGAATGGTTCCATGGGGGTCAGTTAAAGGTTCACAGTGTTAGTCATGAGTGGCATTCCAAGGTTGAAACTTTGGTTCCAGGTTGAAACTTTGGTTCCAGGTCTTGTTAGATACAGGAAAGGACCTGTAGGGGCTTTGTAGTTATAATCCTGGGAAAATTATTTAACTTCTTTAAGCCTCTGGTGCATCACCTACGAAATACACATAATAGTAATACTTCCTTGGTAGGATTTTTATGAGGATTAAGTGACCTAACTGTAAAGAAATGCCAGCATAATTCAAGTGCACAATCAGCGATGTTTTTGTAACTATCAATGTTGTGCATCCTGTATGCCACAGACGCAGGACACAGGCATGGGACACAGGTGTGGGGCATGGGTGCATATGTTTCTGAAGAGCAGGAGCCACGGTGTTGGATTAAGGTGGTCTGATTCTGAGGGACATGAGAACCATGGTTATGATTTTAATAATAGATTAATTTGCTTTTTACTTTCTGTGTGCTAAAAGAATAATTGTTTTTCTGTATAGAAATATTGACAATGTTTTCCTGCCAAGAATTTAGTATTTTCAGAGGATGAGGTCCAAGGTGCTAGTAATCTGTCTGAAATGAGATAATGGATAGAAAAAAATTTCTTAACATCTGGAACAAAGTGCCCAGGAAATTACATGTTGAAACTTGAGGGAATAACTAGAAAATGGTAATAATAATAGCTAACATTTAGTGAGCCTCTGTCTAGAGCACTTGGCTCCCCTGAACTTTCTCCACTCAGCCTCATAACAACCCAGCAAAGCATAATTTTAGGGAGATAATATATCCAAGGGGTGGAGCCAACATTTGAACTCCATTACGTGTTAGTAGAGCAATAGACCTGAAGGATATTTAATACATGGAAAATATTTTGTATGAAAAATAAGAAATGTGAGGACTCAAAAGTAAAACTGAATAGAAGGAAAAGAAATTTTAAATGTTTCTGTTATTTTCCCAGCTTGTAAACGCACTGAAAACAGTATCTACATTTGAAGTCCAGATTGTCGATTACAAGTATAAGTAAGTAGTCACCCACCCTCGGGCAGAGGCTGTCACCTTTTTTGCCTGGATGAGTTAATGGAAGATAGAAAGGATTTTTCAAACTGGAGTTGTTGGCATATTAGACCTGGAAGGGACAAGCAGACACCAGCAGTGAATGAAGTGGGCAGGTCAGGAGCTTGGGCACAGGGGTGCTTGCTCTTCGGCTGTTGGGGCCTCATGTTTACCATCTCATTTTTCAGGAGAAATGAAGAATCCATATTTTCATTTGAAATTTCTGAATTTTTTAAGTTAGCAGCTAATTCTGAATTAAAAAAAATGTTGTAGGCCTAATTTGCCCTGCTAGCTGCTGGGTTTCAACCTTTGACCTAAAATTAGTTATATATGAATAATTTCAGGGTCATAGAACAACAATGTGAAAGTTTTAGAAATCATAAAATATTTACAATGCTATTAAAATTCTGATACAAGTAAAAGGCTTCAAAAGACAGAGTATGTCTATCCCTGTCTAGCTAACCTCTGTTGATGCGAAAACAGTGATGCTATAAAGGCAGTATATGTTCCTGGATGGAAAATCAAGCTACATAGAAAATGTTCAGAGGAAAGGTGACAGTTTTGTCTCCTACCCTCATCCACCCACAATCATCATCTTGTTTTCCAAATTGAACTCATGAACACTTTCTGTGTTAAAAAAGGACAAGTATACATTTACCAGCATAACGATATCTAATATGGACACGTTTAAACTTATCAGTGTTGCACCTCACTCATCACACATTCATTCTTTCACACAAATCATTGTTAGGGTCCTATCATGAGCTGGTCACAGGCTTCGAATTAGGAATGCAGTCATGAGGCTGATACGGCTCTTGTCTTGAAGACCCTAGACACTAAATAAAAATAAGGAACCATTATAAGGAACAGCGACCCTTTATTGAGACTAATTATTATGCTTTGCTTTATCTTATCTCACTCTTCCAACAGTCCTGTGTGATTGTCAAAGTTATTCTTGTTTTATGAATTTTACCGTACCTTGGTGACCCCCCTCACTGCCACAGGAAGAAACATGGCAGGCAAGAAGGGACTGGGCATCGGGCTGACAGAACAGAGGTGCGGGCATGCACCTCTGAGGCTCTGCTGTTGACTGGGTTTCCCAGATGAAGGAAAAGGACAATAAATTCAGACCTTCCCAGTCTGAGGATCATGTTAGTAATGTAATCACATGGAGATTGGTGACGCCCAAGCCATAGACATTTTCCATAACTGGTGATTCCGTGCATATATTCACCTGGATGGCTGCCTCTCTTTTCCTTGGCATCAGTGTCATTCCTAGGGAAACTGAGGCACATGTATCTCATGTGAGACACATGGTATCATTGTCTTCCTTTCTTTTTATGGGTTTGGGCTTTTTCTTGTACTGTGAGAAGAAGATCTTTAAAGAGAATAAGCTGATTAAGAGGAAATTTGATTTCCCTTCTTAGGTTCAAAATAATCTTGATTATTTATTTTTCTTTATTTAGGTAAGTGGGACTGGGAAGTCTAATCCCATTATGTTTATTCAGAGTGTTATCCTCATTCCAGTATTTCTTCCCAGACTCCGGTGAACTTTTTTCGCACTGATTTTGGTTTAGGGTTTCAAATCTTTCAGTGTCTTGAATTCAAAGGACACTTTCACAATCTTAACATGCATAAAATTGTGGATTAGTCTACTGCAAAGGCAAGAAAATGCTTGATTGTATTGAGATAATTTTAGTTATTCTGATGGCATTGAATAAGTCAACTCACACAAGGAGGAATTAATTTCCTATTTTAAAAAAAGCATTTTTTCATCTTAAGGAAATAGTTTCCAGTTTGGTGAAGTATACCGTAACATCTCTTCAACCCTTGCTTTTTCTTTTTCATTTCACTTTTTCATAAAGAGAAAGAAGACATCAGACTTAGAACTTTGCCTAGCAATGGAATTTATCTAGATTTGAATAATACTTTTTAGTCTGATTTTATCTATTTCTGTAGTTTTGTTTATGTCATGTATTACTGGTTTTCTGTCTAAGATGGTTATAACTTTCCTTCTAAGATAAGTACATTTAGGTTTTTAAAAAAGAGAGTTGACTTAGAAAAAAAAGTTAAATTATTGAGTCATTAAATTATTAAATACTGAAGTAGGCTTGAAATGCAAAACAAATATGATGAATGTGATTTCAATTGTGAAAGACACTTGTATAAACATTTTTACTATGAGTCATGAGCTCAACTCCACTTAGTACTTTCTCTTTTCTCTCTGTCTGTCTTTTGTTGCCCTCTATGTTCACAGGGAACTTGGGTTTTTAGATCAGCTAAGGATCACCCACAACACAGATATATTTATTGGAATGCACGGAGCTGGTCTTACCCATTTACTTTTCCTTCCAGACTGGGCTGTTGTATTTGAACTGTAAGTATTTGTGGGCAGTTTTACATTGGGGCAGCTCATAATGGTCTTTTTATGCATGCTGAGTCTTTCACTCAGAGCATCAAAAGGCTAAGTATTTAATCATTCTAGCGAAGTCACATCATGTAGGCATCTGGAAAGAAAAAAAAGAACTAAAGCTAAAAATGTGAAGTCTACAGCCTGCCATTTCACTTGGCAAGCAAACCCGCCCTTTTCTCCCCTATCTCAGGAAAATGTGGCTCTGTGATTTCTTACTCGGGGTTCCTTCCTGTGTACCTCTTATATTGAGCATCTCCCACACTCGTAATTACTGTGTTAAAAGAGAAACTGTGTGTTGCATACCCATGTTCACAGCAGCATTATTAACTGTTAAGTTGTGGAAGCAACACAAATGTCCATCAGGGGATGAATGGGTAAACAAAATGTGGTCTATACACACAATGGAATATTATTCAGCCTCGAACAGGAAGAAAGTTCCATCACATGGTACAACATGGCTGGACCTTGAGGGCATTACATGAAGTGAGATAAGTCAGTCACAAAAGGACAAATACTGTGTGATTTCACTTTCAGGTGATCCCTAGAGTGGTCATAGTCATAGAGACAGAAGGTGGAGTGGTGGTTGCCAGGGGCTTAGGGCAGAGGAGTGATTAGTGTTTAATGGAGACTGAGGGTAATTTTTCAGGATGAAAAGTTCTAGCAATTGGGTTACACAACAATGTAAATTTACTTACCATTACTGAACTCTAAACTAAAAGGGGTTACAATGATACATTTTATGTTATGTTTTCTACCACAATTTTTAAAAAGTGAGAATTTGAGAACATGTATTTCTCATGAAGAACAGAACTCCAAAACAGGCCGACCACTTCACCTAATGCTCATTGATTCATACGTGGAAACTGATTGTCTTGGGGGCTCCTCCACCTTAGTGGTTGGTTATGGAGACATGGCCTTCTCCCCCTTAATAATTCTATACTGTGCCTCATCTTTAGTTCTGACACATCACTTGTTTCAGAACTAAACACACCACGTTTCCCTCTTTGCATCCAAATACCTTGATTTTATGGTTCCACTTTAAAAATGACTTGACTCAGTATTTAAATGGGAGACTATTTAAAAAAACATTATCATGAACTTCCATACTGTGCAAAAATATTTAAAAAATATACATATTAGAGAAGTAGACAGATAATTGTGGATTCTATCTCAAGTCTTTATTTCTCTTAGAGGTAGAGAGGGAGGGAAGAAGGGAAGAAAGGAAGGAAGGAAGGAAGGAAGGAAGGAAGCAAGGAAGGAAGGAAGGAAGGAAGGAAGGAAAGACGTGTAACTGAGAAAGCTTAGACCTTGGAATTCAGCAGGCCTGGATTTAGTTTCTGCTTCACTAGCTCTCTGACCTTGGAAGTGTTACCTACCCCAAGTCCACATGTGCAAAGGCAAGTATATGAGAAAATACCAAATTAATAGTCAGCTCTGTTGATAAAGGCCAGTCTCCATTATATTCTGTTTTATAAAGTTAAGGTAATCTAGTTATGAGAATATTACAAAAATACAAGGTTGGGGAAAAAGTAGGTTTATAGTTGTTTGTATGGAAAATAATACAATAATTAAAATAATAATACAAGAAGAAACTCTTTCACATACAACTGTGAGCCTGCTTTTGCCCCACCCTGTAATCTCCCTCAGTCTTGTTTACTGTTTATACAATCTTTTGCAAGAACCTATTTGGAAGGTGCATTTTTCCCTCTGAGAACTGTGGATTAGGCAATAACTGCAGGCAAAAGTCTTATGTGTGGATGCCCTCGGTCCCTTAGGTACAACTGTGGAGATGAACGTTGCTACCTGGACCTGGCCAGGCTCAGAGGCGTACACTATATCACTTGGCAAAGACAGAACAAAGTCTTTCCTCAAGATAAGGTAAAGTTCAATGGCAAAACTCACCTTGTTTTTGCTTTTTAATTAGTTTTAAGTGTCTAGTTATGAAAAGCTATTATTGAACTTCAATCCAAGAATAAATTGTTCTCTGGAATAGTGAATTGTTACATCTCATATTTGCAAATTGGAAGAAGAGGGAAATTATTTGCATGATGGGTGAAGGGGAGGGTCCAGGGCCATAAAGTAACCCCAGGAAGAGGCCAGAGTGACCAGACAGTGTAGCAGCAAGTAAAGGTGGGGATGCGGGAGTGCAGTGAAGGGTTGGGATTGTGCCTGAGCCTGATCCCCTGCTCCGTTCTCCCTCTGAGTGGTCTCAGGAAAGGGTCTTTGTCCAGCACTGGTGCGTTGGTCACAGGGAGCTCTGGAAGTTCTGGTCAAAGTGTAAAGCCTGGGGCTCCAGTGATGCTCCAGGCAGCAGGCAGCGATGGAAGCCTAGATGTCTTGCTGCAAGGAGTCACCAATTGGTTCTCACTCCGAGTCCAAGGCACCGCCTCACTGAGGGAAGAAGCTTATCCCGGTTGTCTCTCACCCGGTCATCCTGTCTCCCAGGGCTGCCCGGGGGATCCCACTGCCAGCCCAGCTCACCAAGTCCAATGCACCTGTGCACGTGGACGTGGGCAGCCCCAGGCCCAGCAGCAGCCTGGCCTTGCTCACCAGTACCCCACCTGCAGAATGAGCTGCCTCTTCACTGGTACTGAGCACCATGTTTTGGATAGTTAAGCAAGACTGTTTCATTGACCGGGCTGGGGAGATTTTCTGCTGTGTCCTGAGCTTTCTTTGGACTGAAAACTGCTGCTCCTCCCGATGACTTCTAGGCTGTCAGCCTTCCGAGGAGGCACACTGCTACTAGCTGCAGGCCGTGGTGCCTGAGCAGGAGCACAGCCGCACCTCGGTGAGCAGGTTGCCCTCCCTAGTGAGGAGGTCTTCCTGGAGACCGGCGATGTCCTGTGCAGCCCGCGCAGCACTGGCTGGAACCAGAACCATGTCATCCTGGAGATGCTGTTCAAAGGAATTTCTGCTGGCTGCATCCTGTGGGGCTGGCATGGCCTCCTCCCAGTTGAGAAAGTAGTGGTTGGCCTGGTGGAGTGGCTACCACAGGCCACGCCTACCACTGTCCCAATAAAGCTGAAGTCCCTGGACTGGGTCCTGCCTCAGTGCCCACCTGACGCCCCTTGGCCCTGGGGACAGCCCGGGGATCTGGAAACAGTTCTGCCTATACCTGCTCAGTGGCCTTTGTGGGCCACGAGTGGTGCTGGAGGGTCCAAGGCCAGTCCAGGGCGCCCTGGGGCCCCAGGTGTCATGCAACAGAATGTGAAGTGCTGGTGGCATGCTTACCGAAGGACTGTTGATGTGACCCAAAGATGCCCTGGTGAGAACTCCGCCACCAGTTCCCCAGCTGATGGGCTCCCTGGCCCCACGCAGCATCCTCCAAGGCCTGGGAGCCGGCCATGGTCGGTTTGGCACCGCCTCCCTGGCCCACTGCCGAGGAGCTCTTCGCCCTTCTCCACACGTGGCAGACTCCAGTGGGTCTCCTTGAGTCAGAGATGGCTTATTTTTCTACAGTATTTAAACCAGAAGTGACTATAACTGCACAAGCCAGAGAGGCAGACGAGGACTGACACTTTTTCATCTGGGGCTCCATTCTCAGTCAGGTGCACAGCACGTTCACCCCCAGGGTGGAAGAGCTGCTGGGCACTCTGGCCCAGGGACCCACCGAGTGGGGCTTAGAGAGCTCTGGTCCTGCCCTAAGGTCATGTGGGGAGAGCGGTGCTGTGGGAGTTGAAGCAGGGTCCCCAGGGAGTGGGGCTGCTAGGAGGAAGGTGGTTTGGGTGTGGGGGACAGACGTCTGTGGAACTACCTGAGACACTCACCTTTACTGCCACCTGGGGCGCAGGCCACACTTGGTGGGTCACCCGACCTACTAATGCCCAGGGGCTTCCAATCTGGTTTGTGTGTCCTCACACTTGGGCTCCTGGAGGAGTCTCTCCCCATCCAGATCAGCCACAGGGCCACATGGCATCCTTACCTCAGGAAGGGGCACCACAGTGAAGGCCCACCTGTCAGCAACATCTGGGTACGCATCTCAGGATGCTGCCCCCAGCCCTGATTTTCCCACACTAACATGCACACTAAATTTTTTTAAAAGATTTCATTTATTTATTTTTAGAGAGTGGGAAGGGAGGGAGAGAGAGAGAGGGAGGGAGAGAAACATCAATGTGAGAGGGAAACATCAATTGGTTACCTCTTCCACATGCTACAACTGGAGATTGAACCCACAACCCAGGCACATGCCCTGACCGGGAGTCGAACCAGGGACCTTTTGCTTTTGCTTTGTGGGACAACACTCACTGTTATACCAGCCTGCTGGTGAGACCTGGACATAGGCATACCTGGAGCTCGGATTCCAACAAGGAGTGGCCTCAAGGGGTCCTCATAGACCTGCTGCCTGTTAGACAACAGGCCCAAGGATGGATACCCCAGCTTTGTCACACTTGACTGAGCTGGCTCTTCTTGGGTAGAGAAACCACAGACAACTTCTCGGTGGGTAGGGCACCCAGCTGGCACTGCCCTGCATATTATGCTTATAGACTTCTATACAATCCTTTAATGTTATAAAGATGCTGATGTACAATTGTTGTGTTTGTGTAAATACATTATATTCCTCGTTCATGCCATATACAATGCTATAAAGCAAAACAAATGAACAAACAAACAGCTTCATGAAATTTGGGCCTAGAATGGTCTATTAAATTATATATAGGAAGGATCAGCCAACTATAGACCAGCAGGCCCAATCTGGCTCACCACCTGTTTTTATAACTAAGGTTTATTGGGACACAGTCGTGCTCCTCTGTCTATGTGTTACCTGTGACTGCTTGTGCCTGTCAATGGCAGAGTAACTGTGTCAGAGACTGTATGGTCCACAGCCAAAAATGTGTTATCTGGACTTGACCAAAATAAAATGTGCTGACCTCCGAGGTAGAGCATGAATTAAAATAGTTCCTTTGGCCAAAGTAAAGTAAAATGTTTCTTGTGCAGAAAAACATGTTCTCAGTGACTTATGGATGTGTGTTTTGCTTTGTTTTTGCAGGGTCACCACCCAACTCTGGGGGAACATCCGAAGTTTACCAACTACTCTTTTGATGTAGAAGAATTTATGTACCTCGTCCTTCAGGCTGCAGACCATGTATCGCAACACCCAAAGTGGCCATTTAAGAAAAAACATGATGAGTTGTGATTGTGCTGAGACTGTTTGCAGAAAGGCGGTGTTTGAACTCTCTACCACTCACTCCCAATGCAGTCTGTAAGACATCTGGTGTTTCTTAGCCCTCAAGTGATCTGTTCTATACCAAAACATGCCTTTAGGATATTGCTTATGGGTTTTGTGCTGCTTCATGTGATTTTTGAGTCATTGCTATTTATCAAGATACTCTTTTTGCACTGAAAACTTTTTGTAGTTCAAAAATTGGACATGGTCTTGCTGAGTATTTGAGCTTTCTTCTTAAGTAGTTGACTTTCTTAGCTTTAGAATTTGTAAATGTTTTCATAGAATACTATGGGATTGTTAATTCCAGAGACTTCCAACTTAAGTAAGTTCATGATAACTTCTATTTGCCATAATTTATTCATAGTGCTGTTCGTGGTAGGAAAGGAAGACATGCAACACACACTAAGTTTGGATTCTCAGTACCAAGCTATAGGATCAAGTTATAGATCAAACAGTGCTATAAATAGATCATTTTTACCCTATCAGAGTCCAAATTAACTCCCACTGAATTCTCTGCTGTATATTTTCAGTCGAAGGCAGGTTATATAATCAAGAGCCTGAATCAATCATGCTGCTATATTCATATGTATTCACATATTTCATATGCAAATAAGATTCCCCCCAATGCACTACATATGATAAAAACAACTTAGAATATCCTTTAAAACTGTTCTGCATACCTTTTAGCTGGTTTCCCCTGGCTCCTTAGCTGTGGAGAGCACTTCTGTGTCAAACTGTGGTCTCCACTGTGCGTACTTGCTGCTGCTATGCCTGTGCATGCAGGTACCTCTTTCACGTAGAGGTATGCCAGTATTTTTGCAGACTTTATATTAGCCATGTGAAAAGATGTTTCTCAAAAGGACATGTGCATTATCCATTTCAAAATGAAAAGAAGCAATAAGGAAGTGCCATTTATTGAATATCTGAAATGTAGCCCACTCTTTGCATGGGATTCATCTTTTACTGTTTATCAACTTCCTATTTTGCAGCCAAAAATCATGGATTTATTTCACTGCAAAACATGTTTACATTTTAACACTTGACTAGTCTAATTTAGAGACTAGGGACTTCTATTTTCTTTAAATTCTACTTTTAAAAATTAGCAGATTACAGCAGAGCTAATAATTTTTTTTTACATTTTAGAGTTTTTTAAAATTAGAGTTATTAAAGTGTAACAGAGAAGTGACATGAGAAACCTAAAATAGTTATTATCTAGACTTTCACAGAACAAGTTTGCTGCCCTGATTTAAAGGATTATGAACAGCATTGTAGAGTTTAGGAATATTTGTTAAAATATCTGCCAAAAAAAAAAAAAATATATATATATAGATGGAATTTGTATAGCAATAGCATTGATTTGGATCTTGAAATTGTGTAAAAACAGTGATAACATGAATTTTAAGTGAGTGGTATTGCTACTGCTCTTTGTGCAGAATACTGAATACCTGCTTGGGAAGTATCCACATGAAAGGAATGGTCAATGTGGCATTGCACTTTTAGTGAGAGATAGAAACAGCTGAAAGATTATTTTTTTACCTCATTTTAAGAAGCGTGTGGAAATGTGATCCTATTTACTTGCTAGTAATAGATGTGATATCTTGCATTTAAAGAGAGAATATGTTTTATATGAACAAAGTATATTTGACACTTTATGGAATTAATTTTTAACAGACTTTTATGGTAGCAAAAGAAATCTTCAAATGTTATAAAATTTACAATGTAAAGACTGCTCTTTTTATTAAGTCTTTAAAAGAGATGCATTTCATAGTTTGTACATTTGGGGTATGGCTTTGTAATAAATCTTTCTATATTTTATTTGAATACCAGACCATTTTCAAGGTTTTCTATGTCTGAATGTTATATGCTTACTTTTTGGTAATCTGGTAGTTATGGATTATAAAAATTAAGTAGCTCACTGATGAAGAATTCAGTTTAAATAAAAACTACACCCTACCTTTATTTAGAAGTTTATTATATGATGCTTTCACAAATGTTGTATTACATAATCCTTTCAAAAATGACATAAGAATTGTTCCCATTTTTCTTTGGAACAAAAGCAGATGCTCTTCAAGGGACTTCCCTGAAGATCACAGTCTGTTTGAGTGCCCATCCATAGTCTTCTTTCATCCACTCACATGCTCACTAAATACAGATTGAGTGAGCAGCTACTATGCACCAGTTACTGTTCTTGGTTCTGGGTATACAACAGTGAAAAGAGCAGGAAGCAAAGTCCATGCCCTCATGGAGCTTGCATTCTGGGGGAAGAAACTAATATTAAACAACATCAATAAGTAAATATGCTCTATGTGAGGTGCTGATACAAGCCACAGAGGAAACTCAGTAGGAATGAGAGGTGTGATGCAGATGCGGAGTTCAACAGGCGTAAGTGGAGGTTCAGGAAAGTCCTCACCAAGGCAATGTTTGAGACAAGATTTGAAGTTGGTAAATGAGAAAGCAATGCAGATAACTGGCCAAAGCACATTCCAGGGAGACAGAAGAGTACGAGCAAAGGCCCTGAGGCAGGGGTATGCCTGGCGTGTTTGAGGAAAGGTAAGAAAGCCAGTTCAGCTGGAGTGATCAAGGGCAGAGGAGTAGAAGATGAAGTCCAGAAGGTAACGGGTGTGGAGTACACAAGGCAAGGCTTTGATTCTGATGAGATGGGAACCCTTGAAGGGATCTCAACAAAAGAGTAATGATTTGACTTACTTTGAACAGGGCCCTCTAGCTATTATGTTGGGAATATACTGCAGAGGAATGTTCTCAGGAAAACAGTCTCTGGTATGGAGATTTGTAATCAGTTCATTTACTGGGGGAGGTGCTCATGATTGATACCTGTGAGTTAGTAAGGGGCCCAGGCTTGGGCAAAGGGAGGAATTGAACTGCCAGTAACAGGTGAGATCTCAGTAGGGGAGGTGTAGGGTGGGGTAGTGCTTCAGTGGGGTCCCCAAAGGAGGCAGGAGTTATTCATATTAATGAATCTTCTAATACAGCCACCCCCATGGAGGGCTGTAACATTGGGCATGCAGTCACCTTCAGCTGAGGGTGATTCCTGCAGAGGAGCCCTCATCAGCCAACATCCCCAGCAGTCCTCAATGGAGGGGATCCTGGTGGCCCACTGCAGCGCAAGGGTGGTGCCATTTAGCTTGTTGCATTTCCCTCCCAATGTCTCTCAACTGAAAGACCTAAAGGCTTCACTGGAGTTAGGATGTATTTGTTTTACAGATGGTGCTGTGTACTTTATATTGTAGAGGATTAGACTTGGCTCTGTGGCCACATGTTCTCTTCCCATATTATTATTTGTTGCTCTCCCATCTTTAAAAATGTAAAATTCATTCTTCTACTAGGATGTTTAAATAGAAGAGAGAGGTTAAGAAACTTTCCCAAAGCAACACAGTAAGTAACAGATGGACTGAAGATAGGAATTTCTTTGTACAGAAATTTAAAGTTAAAAGGAAAGTTTACAGGTGATGAAGGAAGGAAGGAAGGGAAAGAGAAGAAAGAGAGACGTTAGTTGAGGAAATAGGGAATAGAGGAAACAGTCCTGTAGTTAGGCCCCTTCTTCGCATTACAAATAGTTTTCTTTGAAAAGTAGTCAATGAATACTTGCTTTTTTGAAACTAGGCACATATAAGCAAATATGCTCAAGCTGGCAAACCAGTTGTTTAAAATAACGTATTCCCAACCAATGGCTATTGCCAGACGTTTTAACACCTTTCTTCTGTTTTAGCTTATTGGGGCATATCAAAGGATGTAAGTAAGCATTCCTGTCATAAAAGAAGAGAGGCTCAGGGCAGTGCACAGTTTCTGTGGGCCCTTGCTTTGACCTATAATGCCCATTTTGACCAATAGGTGGCAGTCAAGCCCTTCAGGGGCGTGAACTCTGGTATATTCCTTTGCAGTTTCCAGGGACTTCAACAACAGGAGTATGGTCTCACTTTTGTGTGTGGTGGATTTTTTCATTCCTGAATTGAGGGAAAGTATGAAAATTATCACACAAATTTAGGTATGGAATTTCTTAGCTGCAGCCAATACCTGAATTCTGTGTAAGATCTGAATGCCTTGTGTAAACAGCATTTGACCCTGGGAAGCTGATTTTTAGTGAAAGCAGCTGTTCGGTGGAATGCATTTTCATTGATGTGCAAAGACATTTTCTTGGGATGAGAGCTCTATTTTAGGATCTATATATAGCATATTAGCTCCTCAGTTGTTTTTAGGAGCTAATTTCCTTCTTGTATTGGCTTTGTAGGTTATTGCATATACAATGGCTGTTATTACTTAGTTTGAGCAGAACCTAACTGTAAGCAAAGGAATTCATTGAAGATTAGACACTCAAGTATTGTGCAATTTTAATTAAGAAGTGCTGTCAGCATAAACAAAGAAGGGTTAATATCTAGTCTTTACATGGGTATGACCTAATGCAGTTCTCAAATTGTGTGATAGTGTTTTATTTCTTCACAACCTTGAGTTGCAGAATTTTAGAATGTTTTTGCTGAAAGGGGCCTTGGAGGTCCTTCATGGCATTTGTTCATTGCACAGTGGTTTGTTGACTCTGCATCAGTAAAAGGAACTTCCAGACCAAGGGAAGAAGTTTCCTGGGAGAGACGTTGTATGGACTGAAGATTTCAGGTATAGGAGCGAGAAGGCCCTGACTTCTCAGCCTCGCAACACATAAGCTGCGTGATCATGGGCTGTTGCCTAGCCTCATGCAGCTTCGGTTTTCCTACTTGTAAGTTGGTGATAGTGTTATCTATTTGGCAGGGTAGATTTAAGGATAAAATTTAAAAAATAAAGTTACACTGGCTTGGTACCTGGCACATAGTATATGTTCCAGAAATGTGTTTATTATATATACTATGATGTAGAGAACTATTATTATTTAAAGCTATAGTACCTGAGGAGCATTTAAGTTCTGATCCCTAGGCCTCTCTCCAGACCAAGTAAATCATAATCTCTAGGGCTACAGTTGGCCAACTCTATTTAGTTGAATGTCTACTGGTAGTTCTGATCCGCAGGAATTGGAAGCTGCTGGTTTAGGAGACAATGACAAAGCTCACAGCCGAGATAGTTCATGAGGTCTAAGTCAGCACTTGTCAAAGTATCTTACACTGGGTATCAATTGATGTCACATAAAAGACATTTTA